GCGAGCCAAAGTGGTGCTTTGAGCTAAATGCTAACATGTAGACATGCTCACAATACAATGCTAATATACTGATGATGAGCAGGTGTAATATTACCATGTTTACCAACTTATGTTAGCATGTTAGCATGCAAATGCAATCCATCTAATAACAGAATTAGGCAGGTAGTATGGCTAAAAACTCAATCAGTGCCCATCAGAGAGACCTTTTCATACCTTTTTGTGTTTATTGTTATACATTTCCAATCATGTGACTAATTATAGATTAACTTTCAAGATATCAAATATGCCATTTGCATCTAGACGTGCTATTAGAACTCATGATCAACTTATTACATCTGAAAATCTTGTTTTTGCAGACCTCCAGTGCTTTCAGTGCTTTCCTTGCTGTAGTGAAGCACAAGTGTACTTCAACAACCTGTGACATCACTGTTGGTTGGGATTACAGGTGCAAAACTGCTTTTCTGCTTGGTGTTAAGTGTCCCTTTAAAGAGTAACTTAATACCAGGATGAAAGGCAGTGTTTTGTTGCACTTTGGTTGCACCTGTAACCACACCCATCACTGATATCACACCCAGTGGCAACACCCAGGCCTGCAATTCCTTGAATGGCCACTTGAGGCTGGAACCAGAAGTGAGTCAATCCCTATAGACCCCCATGGACCCCCGTTTGGTCTCAGAATCAAATTTATGCTGACTGTATGGGGGAGTGAAATTCACCTGATTACATTTGTAAGGGTTTAAAGTTATGCATAACTAAGGGTGAGGCCGCTATGTGTGTGTCTGCAAGGTGTCACCAGAGCCAAGTCAGCTCCACCCTCTTGTCCAGATTTAGTCACTTCTGTCTCGAAAAATCCAAAATGGCGTTTGGCAAATCACCAAACTTGAGGCTTCAGAATGGGACTTAATGAACCAATGAACGATGCCATGGTTGCTATATTAGTTTTGCACAGTCTATGGTACTGACACACCCTAGAGTACACTTCTATATCACTGCAACCAGGTGAGAAGCATAAACAAGATTTCCAGGTGGTGTTAAGTTACTCTTTATTCATTTTTCCAGCTTCATTAACTGGGCTCATACAGTCCACTATCTTACCTCATGGATCTCCGTAGATGTATAGAGGGGTTAACACGGTAGGCCACCGCCTCTGGTTGGGAGCCGTCCACTCTCCTCACTCCTCTCGACTCGGGCACATGAAACTCCTCCAGCAGATCAAAACCTCACAGCACAAACACTGAGCTTAGTTTGACGTCACAGTGATTCAGCATCAAAGGCGCTTGGACTGCTTCTAGATCTTACATCAGCGCTAATATCACTTATTTATTTCTAAATTGTTGCATTATTCATTGTCATTAATAACACCATCACTTCACAGGTACAGTGAGGTAATTTATGAAACCCATTAACACCTAGAGGCTGTTTATTTTCTGTCATTGGTGGTTTTGGCTACTGAATCCTAAACACTGGGTGCTTTGTGCTGCAGTTTGAATGAGATCAGCGTGGCTGTGGTGTTTCCTCTGAGGATAAAATGTGTGAGTGAAAGCTGGTGAAAGATTATGATTATACATTTTATGACTCAAGTAGAAAATAAGTCAGAAAACTGCTCTAATACATATTTAAGTAAAGGTTACAGCACTGAAACCCATTACAACTGGAATTATTATAGCTCAGTACTGTCTGTTTTATCTTTAAGCAGGACAACTTCAGATAGAGACTGATTTATTTAGATAAACAGGGCGACTTGATGGCAGGGCTTCAAAGTTGATGTGCCCAGATTAACCCCAGGCTGACCTCTTGACCTCTAAGTGTCCACATAGGCACTGAAAGCAGGAAATACAATACAGGGTCGACTGCTGTGAGGCAAACAATGGACTGTGAAGTGACAAACACTGACATCTGCTGGTCATAGTGCCACATTACAGTATCCAACCTTTAAACTATAGCACATTATAAATGTGATGTATGTGATTATGTAGGTTATTATTAAATTTATTTAACAAGGTAACACCTCACTGAGATTAAAAATCTCTTTAACCACAGTGTGTTGGCAAAGATAGCAGCAACATGTTTAACAAGTCCAACTATACAGAACCAGCGTTTTGTGTGGGTAATGATCCAGTGTTACTTTTATGCAGTGAGAATTATGCTTTTGTCATCAAATAAGATGAAAAAAAAATTATTAAAACTTACTTGGCAGCTTTTGACATTGGGTGAGGACCAGGAAGGCACAGAGTGCTGCAAACACCAGCATTTCTTTGGAGGCTGGCATTTTCAAATGTTTGAAGTCAGAGGCTATAAGTGCCTGCAGTAGAGCAATTATATGAATCAGTCGTTCAATAAATCAGATCCTCTGATATATGAGTGTACAGTAGGCTGTTAAACTGAAGCCATGCATTCAAACTTGTTCCTAACTATACATTTAAATGCAGAGATGTTAAAGATTTAGAAAGACTGAAGGAAGAAAAATGTATAAAGACACGTGCTGTTAAATTTCTACACCTAACCTAATGGTGTAGCAAAGCAAAACTGGTGAAATTGCCTTTTAAAGTTTTTTTAATCGGCTAAATATTTTAATTTCTTTGACCTCTACAAGATTATCTTTCTACAAAACAAATATTTGTCCATGCAGATATTCTTATTTTTCACCAAATTAGAGAAAAACAATACACAAATCACTAGATAACATAACCAGCTGATCAAACCCTCATCATCCTCCTTTTGATTAGCAACTTTACATCACATACAACCCCAATTTATATAAAAATGTATTTAAAAAAATAAGGGAAAGTGAACGAGAGAAAGATATTACTTACATATTCCTGAAAAAGAAAGTCCCTTGACTCCTGCAGACGGGTCTCTCTATCAGTCCCTGGTGTGAGGATGTATCCCGCTCTAAAGTGCCATCGGCGGCCCAGTGTTTGAGCTGAACAGGAGGACCATTCAAACTACACACTCTGGGTCCCAGAGGAGCTTGACCCCTGAGCTCCACTCCACCTTTGGTCCCCAGGGGATCTGTCTCTCCTCATAGGCCAGTTACACCTAGTCCAGTAAACTGAGTCATCACATGAGGGAAATATAACATACAAGGGCTTTTATGTAGCTACAGACAGAAGATAATAATGGTATTGTTAAAGAATGAGTCTATATTTTAGCAAAGGTTTGTTCAGCGCACTTCTCAGGAAAGAGTATTTTGAGTTTTACTGTGCAGAGGTTTTACACGTCTCCAATCACAGCCACTGGTAAAATTTGAAAAAAATACCTTTGTGGGCGCTGTTAAAGAAACTTAGTCTATAATTGCTTTAAAAAACAGTAACACAATTGTATGTATGATCATTCAGGACTGTGTTTTACCCTCTGCAGAGTCTCACTGAGAGAAAGATGTAGTATGTCACAGCTACACACAAGATGCTCTGCAAACATTCCACCCAGAGGAGACCACACCTTCGATCTGACCCTCCACACTGCAGCTAACAACCAGGCTATAGGGACACTGTGGGAAAGACTTCTGAATAACACACATATACAGTGAAAAAAATGCTTCAGCTCATGGATACAAGAGATAAGAGCTACTGATTTAATTGTCCAATTACTGAACAGTTGCTTTTTACTTTATTTAACCTGTGTGAAGCAGCATGTCGACCTTTAATGCTCATCAAATTACTTTAGTTCAGCAGCATGAAAGACAGAGACACAGGAGACAGAGACTTAAAGTGGGGGACATGAGATGAGGAGGAAATAAAACTACAGTTTACAGCCATGCTAGCTGCTCTGTGAGGCTGCACTAAAACTGAATGCTGATGTCAGCATGCTAATGTCTTCACAGTGACAATGCTATATGTTTACTGTATACATCTTAGTCAACTTGTCTGCATCACATTTGCTAATCTTGCACTAAACACAAAGTCCAGCTGAGGATATGGCGAATGTTTTAAGGTTGTTCAACCAGCAGTATTGACGAAGAACAAAATTTAGACCTGATGGTGCGATATAAAATATTCTGGGATCAGCAACCTGTACAATCCATCAAGCAGAGATATTTCACTGGATGTTAAAAGTTTTAAATCATGATGGTACTAGAGCAGAGATACTCAACTTGTTTGGCCTGGGGGCCACTTTTGCAAAATGACAGGAGGCCAGGGGTCAGTTAATAAACAAACATTAATTAATATATAAATAATTAGCCAGGCCCTGGACATCTGTCAGGGGGTTCAGGGAACACTTTTTTTTAACCTAACAAGCTCTATTTTGATTATTTTTTACACACTTTTTTATGCAAGAAATTCCTAGTGTGAATCAATTTTTTGTCATTGTGAATTAGAAAGTGGTTGACGGACCCCCCAGCACCAAATTGCAGCCCACGAGAGTACCACTGCCCAAGAGGAAAAGTCAGGGGATGGGGAAATGGACTTGCACTTATGGTGCCTTTCCCGCCTTTCAACCATTCAAAGTGCTTTTACACTACGTCACATTTACACACTGGAGGCCGAGGCTACCATACAAGGAGACGCCTGCTCAGTTGGAACATTCACATGCACTCACACACCGGTGGCACAGCCATCAGGAGCAATTTAGGGTTCAGTATTTTGCCCAGGAATTGAACCACTGATCTTCCACCACTCTACCACCTGAGCCACAGCCGCTACATTACTATTAGGATTCACCCTTAAGGGACCATGATCATATTTAGCAATTTTCATGGCAATCCATTCAAAAGTTGTAGAAATTTGTCACTAAAAACCCAAAATGTCAACCCCATGGTGGTGGTAGAGGAATTGTCAGGGGATCACAATCGTCAGGATACATCCTCTGGGAACCATGAGCGTCTGTACAAAATTTCACAGCAATCCATCTGACAGTTGTTGCGGTAATTCAGTCTGAACCACAGACTGTGTAAAGTATATCCAGTCTGTGGTCCGAACCAAAATGGTGGACAGATCGACCAACCGACAGCTTGCTGCTAGCACGGCTAATGAAATGAGCCAAAAGCGAAGCAGAGAGGATTTTGTGGTCCACACCAGTCTCTGGTGGCTTTCTGCAAGCAGGTTTATTACAAAGTAATGTTACAGTAACAATTTCAGCTCTACCGAAATTAACCATACATTGACATGGATGCACAAGAGAATGTCTACATGGAGTGGCACCTCTTTGAGGTCAATGCACACACTGCGGTGAAGTGGTCAAACAAAACAGGGACTTCAGCTGCTCACAAACAAACAGGACTTAAAAGCTTCATGATTACGAGGTTTCTGCTACTTGCCTTAAATAGTGTTTTTTTCAAAGGTTTCTGCAGTGCTTACTGGGGTTTATTGTAGTATATTGCATTGCCCTTTAAATGCGTGTTGGCAGTATATCATAGCACTTAAATAGATAACTGCAGTGCCTTAAATGGTACCATAATGCACCATCTACTCCAAACATCAGCAAACATAAATTACAGTACATTCAGTAACTCTCAGAGCGCTACCCCACATGTTGCCCTTCATTAGTGTGTTTAGAAATGTTAGCTAACCATACGACATAGTCATTCCCGGGTTTTCTAGTGTTCGTCAAACCTCTACAGGTTTTGCATCAATAAAATAAAATACAATAAAAACAATTTGACATTTTTCACAAAAAATAAAATACATTAAAAACAAATACACAAGGCCATTAACATTCCATTCTCACATAATATTAAACCATATTGCCTCTCAACAGAATATTTTACATCTTCGCAACAATTTAAATAACACTCAACACATTTGCAGTCTCTTAAGTTAGATATCTCCAGTGTCCGTTACGTGTTTAGGGTGCAACTAGCTCCTGGGTTGTTTATTTTCAAGGCCACTGACTATCGCTTGGATCCCTTGGCCAGTTTGCTAGTGGGAGTGGTTCTTCTCTGAGGTGTGGGGATCTTAGAGGGTTTCCCTCCGTGCTGACGGGATGCAGAGCGTGGCGTCGCTCGGGACGAGTCGCCAACTGTCTCGGACACGTCTGAGCACACAGACTGGATGTCTGAGATGTCAAAGTCAGAGGCGTCACTTCCTCTGCGACTGCTCCCTCTGCTTCCGGCTTTACTTCCAGGTCGGCTGGAATTTTTTCTTGACTCTAGAAGGTTAAAATCAAAGACAATAATTAATAATAATGAACTAATGAGCTACTAAGAATGAGCCTAAACAGTAGAGGGTATCAATGTTGTGCCACTGGCTGCTACTTTCAGAGGTGCATAACTGACATAAATACTAATTAGCATCCTTTATCTGCACTTTGTGGACTGTTATCAATACATACTGCCTGCTGACTGCTGTTTGAAATTTCAGTTTAGTGCTAATAGACAAGCAAGGTTCATGTGTAGCCTTGTAGGTAAAGTGAATGTGAACTTGTAATATTCTGTCCAATACTGTTTTGCAATTTCTGCAACACCCTCAGTGACCTCAGAACGGCATCTCAGATGCTTCATTATTCATTTCTTACAGACTGGAAATCATTCCTTACATCCCTGAAAAGTTAAACATTCACACACTTAAAGGAGCTGTGAATCTGCCCCTGATAAAAACATATTTTCTTCAAAATATAATGCAAAGAGTCACCAGCATTGCCAGATATATTATTGTATTTGTACAATGCTTTTGCCCTCTGTACTTTGTGCAATTAATAATGCCCAAAGTCGCATGATGCATGATAATTTGATCATTTTTTGACACTTGGTACAGAGCAAACTGCATGTGCTACTTTAATTGCTGCCTTCCAGTGCTGTGGCAAATTAAAACACAACTAGAGCACAGAGGAAAGACACAAACTGGACAGTGGTCTAGATGTCCAAAGCTATATCTATAAACATCACACTGTCAAAACAACTTCAAACATGCATGTTTTTTCCCCATTATGCCTCAACTGATAAGACATTTTATGTTAGTGAGTAAGATTTTTTTTTTAATCAAAGTGGGACTTTATGAAAGCACACATCAGCCAGCACAGGTAGTGGCAACAGAAAGTGTTCTCTGCAATTACACATTATACCTGTTTGTTCTCTTGGTTATAACTCACATTTGCTAAATTTCCTCTAAAAAGGATAATCATAAACATTTCCCATTTGGCACCGCCGGGAGTCCCTGCAGTTGCTCTCCACTCACCGCCTATTGTCTGTGTTCGAGCTTTGAGTACGGCAGCGCTGATCAAGGTTCCCTCCTCACTTGACTGGAATCCTTTTCCCGACAAGTACCCAGGAAGACGTAATTTGCTGCCTTGAACTGGTGTACTCTGCAAAAGACAGAACTTTAATTACTTTTATTTGCAATCAATGGGAGTTAACTGCACACTTCAATGACAGTGTTTTAGAAAATGGTCCTTATCAGCTGACATAGAGCACAAGTTGTACCAGAAAGCACCACAGATGTTGCAGAGTTAGTTGTAAATTCAGTTTTAAAAATGCTTAAAAATCTCTTTTCGAAGCAGTTAGTATTTTAATTATATGTTAAACCTGTCATTAGAAAGCCATTAAACACTCACACATGCACTGGTCACACATAAAGCTGAATAGTGGCATTAAAATGAGACAGACATTTTTGTCAGACAAGAACTACATATTCAGCCCATTATTAATTGCAGAAGTTAGAGCTTTTAGACCCAACTGAAGTCTGCATGAATATCAGCTAAATCAGAAATATATACCAGGAACAAACGCACCTTTTACAAACTATGAGCTCTGCTGAGGCTGACTGGTAAGATACATATTTATATATATTGTCTCTGTTTTGATAATTACGCAGTAGATTTCAGTTGGGTCGTAAATCTGAAGCGTTCCACATCATGTGCTGTATATGACCATACTATATGACTATACCTCTGAAGATGAACCTTGGCTCCCAAAGGAGTCTGATGATTTAAGAGGAGTGGAGGGTTTGCTGTTTGTAAGCCAGGGCTTATCATAATTGCGGGTTATGTGTTGGGGAGTCTGGGGAACAATGGCAAATCAAAAAACACAGACATGGATTCAAAAATCAAAAAACTACCAGAAACACTAAATGGAAGAAACACAAAATAAATAAACAAGAAAGTGATCAAATAATGTAAAATAAGTCAACTAAGGCAGATAGATGAAAGGAAAATCATGGTGGGGAGTGGTTGATCAGACGTGTGGAGAAGTGGAGCCTCTCACCTTGGGTGTACTGGTCACTGCTGGGTTTGATGGGACCGCACAGCTCTGACTGGAGGTGGATCTGTTGGGAGAAGCTCCTCTGGATGACGGCCGAGATCTCCGGCCTCGGTAGCGGAAGCTTGCCATCACCTGAGTGGTTCCCTCCGGGAGGATGAACTTCTCTCGCAGCTCAATGTTGGTCCTGCCTTTAGCTGAGAGATGACAGTCCGAATGAGCCATTACATAAATACAACAGGGATCATTTTCATCAGCTATTTTGTGTTGATGATGATGATGATGCGAGGTAACACTTTATTTCCCACTTTGGTCCCTAATTTCTTAATAACTATGTAATTTGGTGCAAATCAAAGGCAAAACAGAAATTTCCTTAAAAGAACTGCTCCATTTTACTCAAGAAGATAATACGACCTCACATCCAAAATAGTTAGGACGCTGTGTAAAACATGCATAAAATCAGAATGCAATGATTTGCAACTCCTTTACTACATGCAGTGGGGGAAATAAGTGTTCAACATGTAATTTTTTCAGCTGATAGATCACATGCAACCAGTTGGCGAATCTCATTCATTCCTATTTAAACTGCTCTGATCTGGTTACTGTTGCTGCTTCCTCTGCAACCTGACTCCACTCAAGCTGCTCCTTTTCATGCTGTGTCTGACTTGTGTGTCATTTCTGTTTGTCATTGATGCTGCTCTGTTCTGTTCCTGAGGGGGCTTCTGCTCTTTCTGCCTTAGGTTTTCCATGTAGGCGCAAGGAAGGGCAGATAGGTTTGCCTTCTCTGCCTCAGGCTTTCTGTGTAGGACCGAGGAAAGGCAGAGGCCCCAGAACAGAGCCATACTGCCAAATATGATACTGCAGATGGAAATAAAGTTTCTTTGACTAAGTGTCCCTGACTGAACTAATGTCTCACAGTGTTCAGGTGGGATTTTGGCCCATTCTTTCACACAGCCAGTCTTAAAATCTCTAAGATTTTGGGAGACACAGTTGTGAATCTTAAGAAATAATTTCAGTTTTAAATCTTTAAAAATGGGTTTCCCCAGTTCCCAAATGCTTACTGGGTGTTGTGAAAAGATGGGTGATGTCACACAGTGGTAGACGCCCCTGTCTTAACGTTTCTGGAGTGTCAACACTGATTATCTTGCCTTTGTAGTGTATTCAATTGAATTTGGATCAAAAAAGGATTTGCAATTTGAAACTGCATTCTGGTTTTTAATTACGTTTTACACAGCGTCCCAACTTTTTTGTAATCATGGTTGGAATTCACTCAAATAACTGTCATTAATTAATTGGAAACATGCCAATTGCACACTGTTTCCCCCATAATCAGCACCGCATCACATAGTTATTCCAATGAAACTTCTAAATAACCTTCTGGGAAATCATTAGGGAAATATGGAAAGTAAAGTGTTACAAAGATGTGACAGTCTAATTTGAAATAAAGCTGAATGTTTAAAATGAATTCAAATAAAAGTTGGGTTCCAAATAAACAACGAAAACACAAGACTCATGCTGTTTCACATCCCATCCACACTGCGGCAACAGATGTGGAATAAACATTTTGTTTCTCAACCAGCAACACGTCTTTGTTTGCTCGGACTGCAAACAAATGGTAAAAAAGATTAAAATGAACCAAAGTGCGTCCAAACACTCCCAAACCAAGACGGCCCAAAATGAGAGGAATTACAAAACCAAGGAAACATAAACTACTTAGAGTAAACCAAACAGACCTTGCACCAGTTGTGTTAAAAACAAACTGGCTTACATGCAGATTAAATCACTGAGCCACACTGTCAAATAGAGCTAACAGTGCAATCAATACTGTTTCAGTTTTGTTGCGTGTGTTATAGAGACGACTTCATGGTTTCCCCAAATGATGACGTTAGTTCAGTTTGTTTACAGATCATATATTCAGCTAAGCATCTCTTGAGCCTCTCAGAGGGTTTTTGTTTGTTTGATTGTCAAGCAAACCTGAAAACTGCAAAAGAAGCTCAGCTGAGCACCGCTGACATGCTGAGAGAGACAAAAGAGCTCATTTGACGCATCAAGTCCCAAAACAGTGCCTCGGAGAAAGTGACAGCGGGATATATGACTCACACAAAACAAATGCATGCATAAAAACCAGCCGGAGCTGAATGACATGTTGATTGTGAGTGAATCCGGTTTATGAGAAGGCCATTCACCATGAGCGCTCACACTCACACAGCTACAGTAGCACAACACAAGCGGCACACACTCGGATGTGCAGACACACATACCACAGGTGGGTTCATGGAGCATGGTGAGTAAGTTAGAGATTTGCCAACCTATAGGAGACTGAGTAATTGAAGAGTTTGATTCCGAGCGCAACATTTTGCTCCCGTGGTGATGAACTAGAAGAAATGATATCATGTTCAGCAGGAGCAAGGTTAAGCAGGAAATACAGGAACTGATAATCAATACAGAAGAGAGCAGAAACAAGCAGAGAACATAAAGCTATTGCAGTAGACGTGGCACAGTGAGGATGGTCTCATACTGATATACATATGTAGGTGGTGAGCAGTAATTGTACTCTGCATTATAGCTATAAATATATTTTCTGGAAGGTAAATTGAGCCTCGTTGTGTTCTTTCATTTAGTTATTTTTGGTGTTGTGTTAAGATAGCTTTAACAGACTTTAACTCTTTGAAACATCACTTTTGTTTTTTTGTCTTTCACAAGGATTTAAACCTTTGATACCTGAGCAAATTAGTTTGATTTCATTTTTTAAAAAAGGCAATCAGCAATTTGGTATAAAATGTCCTGTAAATTACAAGAAATTTCTAAAAGGTGAAGAAGAAAATGATCTGAAAATTAGCTAGAAAATGAAGAATAAGAAAAGAGAGTTCGGCTCCCAGTCATATGCTCAGTACTTCCTATAAACTTCGCTAAAACTTTTGCTATTTAACACTTAACTGAATGAAACTTATCTATGCTCTCTTCAAAGCCAGACTCCATGCAAAAATGCATGTTTGTAACATACCTGTAACAAGTAAAATGAGAGTTTGTAAAGTGCTGTTTTGATATGTTTTGCTGTTGCTAAATGTGGTCCCCGCTCAATCAATAAATCAATATGTTCACTGTTTTCCTGTGGAGGCATGCAATAAAAAAAAAAAAAAAAAAAAAAAAAGGTTTTCTTCACAGATTCAAGGTAACATGGCATGACTAACCGATTGGGGAAAGTACTCCTATAAGAGAAAAGTAAAACAACCACTGACATGATTTGAAATTAGTTCCACGGTCCAACAAAAAGAAAAAGAAAAGACGGTTAAAGTGGTAACTTCTACTTATATTCAAACTGAGGATTAGACTCTTAAGCTTCTCCAAAGCCTTTGCTGGATTTAGAACTGGAGAAATACTAATCCCTTTACAATCCGTTTTTCTGAGTTATCATATTAACTAATGGACACTAATAATATTTATCATTTCATTTTGGTGAAAAGAATGTCAGTGTCCCTAATAGAGAGATGGATTAGTTGGCTTTATGTATAGGATACTTGTGTATTTCTCACCCTAAACAAGCTGTGATGATTTCAAATCAGTTAACACTTTCACTCTGTATCTGTTAAAATAATAAGCAAATAATCTAAATGATGATTATAATCTTCATCAAGAGTAACTATTCATACAGTAATAGTGCAAAGCAATAGATATAGTTGTTGTACATCAGAAATTGGACAATCAAAGTCAATCAAATCATTTTATCACACAATAACAGAGAAAAATATGAGTACAAAACAGATTGAAACAGATTTCAGACTAAATCGGGTGTGCACACTTCTCATGATTTAATCTATCAGCCCTGGATTGTGACTTCTTGTGGTGAACTTTTGAACTCACCTCGACATGGGTCGTTCTTCACCAGGAACTCATCCAGAGCCATCCAGCCACCTCCCACCCGCACCATCACGGTGCTGCGTAAAATCCGTACGAGGCGAAGCTGCTGAGAGTCTCCAAACTACGGCAGGAGGGGAAGGAAAACAGAGAGGGGACATGTGAAAACACTGACTTGTGTATGAACACTTGTTCTTACTGCTGTGCAATACTGGAAACCAGACTGGTCTGGACAATCACATTTATTCCAATTCACTTCATTTACTTTTTCATTTATTTATTTATATATACATATATATTGTGGAATTAGAAAATTCGATCAAAATATTTCAGTGCAAAAATCAAATATCCATCAAAGATACTTTGTGTCCACGTCAGTGCTGATTTCCTCTCTATGGTGCACAAATTAACACAAACAGGATTATGACACAAAAATATACATTTTCAGTTTTCATTCTCAAAGACACAAATTACACAAATGTCAATCCAACTGGGTTTCTTCTAGCAGTCTGTGCTAGTGTCTATGTGTGCTCCTAAATTGTTCCTAAATTGCTATTATCCATTAATCCTGAATGAGCTCATGCTAAATTGTTTCATTTTTTCGTAACTAGGGCCAGGTGTCGTTTAAAAATTATAATACCAGTACCCTTAAAGTGATACCAGTACCAATAGATTACTTCATTCAAAACTTTTTTCTACTTCATTTGATACCCATCATGTGAATGGAAGCAGCCAGTTGGGTAAAATGCCACCAGACACTGCAGGCGTGTGTTAGAACAATACGTATCGGTGGCAAATACACTGTGCTCGACTTCACCACATCACTGACCATATGGGTTGTAGCCACTGTGGTAGTGGGCCAGTCACATGTCGCATTAAATCAAAGAATGCTTGCAGTGATTGGCTGTGAGCAAATCCATACAAATAATCATTTTTTTCTAGATCTCGGTACAAAAAGGATCAAATGCAGGTATAGTTTGCCTGCAGAGGTTTTGATACTACTTGATTCTGGGTTATTTCATTTGATACCTTAAAGGTTATTGATTACTGATACCCAGCCCTACTCATGAGTAACATTTCGTTATACATACAATCATCTGATGTTGAGCCTGACTCATTTATTGTTGGGTCAAACTTATTAGCTGATCTTGGCTTGCAGCAGATACTGTATATTGGAATCTGCATATGCAATTTTGGCCAATAAGAAACAAAATCACACAATAAAATGCCAAAAAAAGCACGTCAGGTAACTTAAAAACAGTGCTTTTATCATAATCAGGCCAAAAACTACAGTATCAGTCAGGCTCTACATTAAAATCTGTTACAGTTTATAGCTAATTAAAATGGAGCTCCTGTTTTGTATTGTAAAGCTGACCAGTTTAAACAGCAGTCACACAAACTTTACAGCCTGTATCAGTGGATGTTATTTGAAGTTGAATAATTTCAGCTAGTGTTTGTCTTCATGTTGTAATGTCTGACTTTATCCCCACAGTGGCTTCAGTTTTGCCATTACTGCAGGTTGAGCCTGTGAAAAAAACATTAACTGAAGGCACATTATTCTACCACAAGGGGGTGCTAGTGTATAATAATCTGCCTTCATCTCACAGTACCACACAGACCAAACATAACGAAACTGAGCATGTTATGGATGCAAATGGTTCAGGCTTTATGAGGTGACAGGAAGTCAGCCAGTTGGATGTGACCACGAGCATTAGCACAAAGACGTAATTCACACAGGACGATCACAGCCGCATGCTTTCTGTCAATAAAACAATTCCACATCATGATCAAGCGGACAGACAGCAATCTCCTGCAATCCAGCACTTTGTTGCACTTTCTACGACTACGACTCAAATGCTCGGGATGCATTGACACTGATGCAGATCCGATGCAGCTGACACACCGAGAACAACATGAGGAATGGTTCAGATCATTTCTGTCTAATCCACCACAGTGTGACACGCAGACATGACCAAACAATGATGACCCTCCGCTAGGTGCCTATTATCTTATGATGTCTCTTCAGCTGGTAAGAAATCTTGTATGATTATTATAATGATTTAATGCCACTGGTGATTTTAGTGATCAAATACATTAAAAGGTGATGATGATCTGGAGGAAAAAGAGGCACAAGAAACATCTTAAGAATAACCATTTACCAGAATACAGCTTTCCAAAACTGCAACGTGTAGGTGGGGGGTAAGATTTTGATTTTCCCTGTTTGCTATTGTCTCATCGCCGATTAAGGAGTCATGTAAGCAGTGAACCAGACCAAACTGTCAAAAGAATTATTTCAATTCAATGTTGTGTGACACATCAATACAAACTAAATTCATAAACCAACACTACAGCCCCTATCCCCTCCTACTAACATCTCCCGTCATTAATCCAAACAAGCTTCAGGAAGCATGTGGCATATGAACACATATCAGGAATGAGTTTTAAAATTGCAACATGCAATTTGTCAAGACATATTAACTCAGTAGGTAAAATGAAAAGCAAAGTATTCATTGAAATCATCAAGGCTGCCCGACTATGAAAATAAATGAATAAACAGTGTCAGTTACACAAAAGTATGTCAGCCAATGTTGAGGTCAATCATTCCCATGACACTGAAGCGCCAAAGGCAAGCACACAGAAAGCATTATTCTCCAAACTGCCCAGCAGATGAATTTATGCCCGCGGACTAATAAAAAATATGGGCTGAAATGGTATTGGCTTGTAATATTGTATTTTCTGAAACTCAAAAGCAGATTTAGAAATATTTACTACACTTATTTCACCTGGTTTGTCTTATTTCTTAACAAAACAAAAATTATTGTCGTCAGAATTAGTGAAGAATCAGATAAAACTTAAAGGTCCAGTGTGTAGGATTTAGGGGAATATATTGGCAGAAACTGAATATAATATAATAAGTATGCTTTCTTAAGTGTATAATCACCTGAAAATAGGAATCCTCGCATGTTTGTTAACTTAAAATGCTGTTTATATCTACAGAGGGAGCAGGTCCTTATTTATGGAGATATGTTGCACTGCCATGTTTCTACAGTAGCCCAGAACAGACAAACCAAACAGTGGCTCTAGATAAGGCCATTTGCGTTTTCTTGTCTGCCACCGTAGTTAGCAGCCCCTCTGCGACAAGCCAAACATCATCAGAAAAATGTAGATTTTTAACACGTAACTGCTCTATTCTGTGTTTTCACTGATTTAAATCACTGTGGCTGTTAGTTTTGGATAGGAAGAGACCTCTGCGGATAGTTCGGCTCCCAGTAAAAACCTCCTGAATGGCTGAATCTTAAATTATGAGAGAAAAAAGGTGAGCACACATTCGCAGACTGGGCTAGCAGCCTGTCTGCAACCAGCTAAATAGTGTCGGAGAAACACTGACCTCTGCAGATAGTTCACCTCCCGCTAAAAACCTCCTGAACAAAAAAAGCACTTCAGGAATCCTAACCAGGAGCTCACGCTTAGCACATGGGAGAAGTTTCAGTTGGTTGCAATCTGCAAAGCTCACCACTAGATGCCACTACATCCTACACACTGCTCCTTTAAATACAGGGCCTTCATTTGTCATTTTAAACAAAATTTTACGCTGGACTGAAAACACATTTTAGGCCAGCGTTCCTTATGGATTAAATCAAAAGGCCATAGATCTTTATTTCTACTTCTGAGTTTCAGTCTGTAAACATCAGCCAGGAGTCTGGGCAGAGAGTGTTAATTGGAAAGCAAACATGGTAAATGAAAAAGGACATAAGGCTTGATAAGGCACAGAACAGAAGGGTAAAAACAGAAGAGGGCTTTCACATGTACCTGGTTTCCAAGGTAGAACTGGTGATGTGAGGAACAATAAAAATAAAGAGAGGTTAAAGTTTTTACCATGTATTGGTTTGCACTGACACTTTTTGCAGCACTTACCTCTCTGTGAAATTGAGCTGCTCGTATTTAAAACATTTTATAATTATGCAATTGCTTGTAATTGTTGAAACATTTGCTATTTTTGTGAGTGTAAGAAATTAAAATCTGCTTACCCGGTACTTGTTGGCACCTATTTGCTCCACTTGGAATCGTTTTGGACATTTACATTTCGCTACTTGTCGTGTTACCTACAAACAGACAACATATTATTGAACCATAATTCCTCAACACATCTAGATTTTTATTTCAAAATTCTGGGCATGGGAGTTCAAATAACCTCATCTTCTATTTTGTCAGCATCTGTTAGTGGTTTGTAAGCGTCCTTGTTGGGATGAAGAGCTGCCACAAACTCGTAGTAGTCAATGTAGCCGTCACCGTCTCTGTCAAATATGTCTGCCACAGCGCTCATCTCCAGACGGCTGGTGGGGAATTCTATTAAAGAGTAATTAAAGTGTTATGAAATGAGCATTGCTGGCTGGGGTACATGCTGTTCAGTTGTGAGTTTGTATGTTGGCCACTTACTGGAGGAGAGGATGCCCTCTATGAACTCCTGTCGGGTCACCTTGCCATCTTGATCTTTGTCAATGCGGCGGAAAAAGTCCATGACACGAGACTTTTTATGGTTCATCCAGCGCATGTAGCGCTTCCGCCACACATCAAAGTCAAAGTTGGCAAACTCCTTCAACTGCATAGGAAAAAAACAGGGGGTGATATCAGCCAGAAAAGGACAAATTTTCAGAAAAAATGCTTGCAATTATACTGAGAGCAGGTGTGTGTAAAAACTTAGTGTTTGATTACCTCCTCCAGTCTGTCCAAAGCATCATTGAGTTTCCTCCTTCTGTCCAAAGCCAGCAGCCACACGTGCTGCCACTTAGTGACCAGCAGGTTAACCCGGGGGTTCTTGGTTTCAATGGGAGGCTGCGTTGCTGATGCATACATCGTTTGTGTGGGAGAACGTTTTCCTGTTGGTGAGAGACAAAAACCTTCACAGTGACTGTGCTCACACCATGTAATGAGGAGGAATATATTAGCGATGACATCATTCCAGGTGTTAAAATGGACAAGATGAGGATGTGGAGTCACCCTGCAGTGACTAAACACTGGGCCAGATGGCTCAGGTCACGCTCTCTGAGGGGTATTTGTGGGATACGTACTTCCAGTTCTTCCTTTTTCGAGCACGGGGATCTGTGACTGGACTGGGGGTTCCACAGCAGCCTTCCTTTTGTGTGTCTTGGTGATTTTGTCAACATCGGGTTGCTTCCTGGTCATTTCCTCCATGAATGCCTGCAGGGAAAAGCAACATGTATGCCTCCAGTTTGGTTCATGTACACCTACAGTCAGCTACTGTAAATAAAATGTAACGGTTTAAAGAAATACTTAACCCCCCAAATGGCAACATGTATATCAATAATTCACCTGTGTTACATTGAATCCATACTGTGCATGCCGTCGCGGTGAATCAAGAAAATTCGAGATGAATTGAAATAATAGGGGTCAACATTTAACAACAGCAAAACTATGTCAAAAATATCCAAATACAAACTCTCAAACAATCTGTGCAGTATAATCCGTAAAAGTCTCATTTATCCTGTATCCTCAGTACTTCTCAAACAGACAGCCCTTTCCAACGAGGAACTGAACTAAAATCGAAACTTATCTATGCTAAAAATCAAAGTTTTATTCAAATTCCACTTAAAACGGGGCAATTAATTGATATACAAATTTAGGGGATTAAGAATTCCTTTAAGAGACTGAAAACTACACTAGGATTCTTTATATCTGCAGGTTTAGTTTACCTGGTGCTCTGCTATGAGGCCTTTGACCTCCTCGAGCTCTTGCGGCAGCTGCTCCTTGTCCTTATCGTTGAGGTTGGTCTCGGCCCACTGTAGCCAGGTCAGCAGATTCTCCAGCAGCTCCTGAGTGGCCAACAGCTCAGTGAGGGCCGTGGCCAGCCGCTGCTGGTGCTGCCTGGCCCAAGCCTGCACCTGTAACAGTAACATCACACACATTACTCACACACAGCAATTCCTTTTGTGTGAAGAGGCACACACGTGCCACCACAAAATGTAAATTTTGAGGAAGTCTTGTGCCTTTGTAGCTTGAAGCATTCAAATTGTGTGCTCGGTCGTATGTGTGGGTATGAAAGGCGTGTATGCAGCTGTGAACTGACCTCTTCAAACCGGGCTTTAATGATGGTGTTCCAGTGTTTGATGGTTGTGATAGAGTCTGGGTGGCAGATGACCAGAATCGCCTCCCCCATACTGGTTGCTTTATTTAGAGCCACTCGCTTTTCCTCCAGTTTCTTCATGAACTCCTAAAACACAGCAAATGGGAGCGAGTTTAGATTTATGGTTGGATAATTGAAGGATTGCTCATGAAGTCGTTTCGATGTCTAAGCAAGGCAGAGCTTGTTCAATAAGATGAAATCATTGCTAAGTAAAATATCTGCAAGATTGCGTTTTGGCATGAAAGATGACATGGCACGTACTTTTAGACATGCTGCAATTACAGAATCAAGCAAAGTACAAAAAGATGTCAACATGTTAAATGTCTTTATTAAAACAAGTTTCAGTCAAGATGAAGCAAAAGATAAATGTGTTGCTTGCCTTGTGTTGTTCAATAAGTGCTTGCAGAGCCTCCTCATCATCAGGCAGGCTGCCATGGAAACGCAAACTCTGCTCCGCCTCAGCCAGCCACTCCAGCAGGATATGAACAGTCGAGTGAAACTCCTCAGCCTGCAGCCACAGGACACAAATCGGTCAGGTTCACAGATTCATTATACCTTTTATTTAAAGTCTGTAGGTGCTCGACAGTACCTGACACAGGGCCTGCTCCAGCCGCGCCTGTTTGGACACCGAGAGGTTGCACACCGTCTCCCAGCGAGTGCTCAGCTCCTGCATCTGGACTTTGACCCAGGACGAGTCATCATGACTGCTCTCGATCAGCTCCCGGGCTGAACGTTTGAGGGCCTGAACGCTCACTGTCCTCTTTCCCAGCTCCTTCTGGAAAACCTGCGGCAGCCAATCAGATAAGTACAATATAAACCCACAGATAACATGCTTACTATTATAAGATTCAAGCATATTTCTGCTATTTATAACTTCAGTGAGAAAAAACAGAGGGGAATTCTACTTGTGGATTACAACTTTGGTCACAGTCACAGCTGTTGGTGAAACAAAAAACAGAGCACTTGTGTTGCTGATGTCGTGCAGTTATTATTGATGACAACATTGCAGATGAGCAAACAATAACATCAGTTTTCCAGACATGCCTGCGGGAAAGAAAAACTTCAAAGAACAGGGACTCTCAGTGGAAAGGTACTCCAATGCTAGTGCTTTTGTTGTTTGAATTAATAGTCCAACCCTGGTGAGGTTTAAGTGTCCTTTGTTTCCTATTGTGACGAGAAACAATGAGTGATAAAAAGAGAGGGTGGTGTCCATGCAGCAGTGAAAACTTCTAAACTTCTGAAGTTGGGTTTCGATGCTGCCACTAAAGACGTCTTTGACCTGTGTTCAACTTGCAGAGCAACACAGCTTTGGGTCGTGCTGTTATGTGGTCTGGTATTGTCGCCTACCTTGTGGTTGTCTATCAGGTTGAGAACGAGGTCTATGTCTCCATGTACGGGCTGGTCCTCAGCCAGCTGAGGCTCCACTCTGTACAGCCAGTCGATGAGAGCCTGGAGAGCATCTGTGAACTGGCCGGAGAACAACAGGGCCTCCTCCAGCTTGTTTTGTCTGCAGCAGAGCATGAATGAAAAGTGGTCATTTTCAGGTTCATACTTTTGGGTTTCTGCTCATGTTTACATGCTTTAAGGTTCAAGAAACACTTTATTTTCCTCATACTGTCTGTGCTGGACAGCTGTATTCACCCTCTGTCTGAGAAGCTCAATTTAGCGCCCATCTTTCTAAGCCGCCCTCCTGAAAATGCCCTCTGCTATGATTGGTCGAGGGGACTGACTATAGTGGAACTTTCTCCTGTTTAAAATCACCAATAAAAGCTTCTAACACAATTGGACATGTTCCAGCAGGCGGGAGAGAAATTTACAACACTGGCAACAGAGATTACATGTTTTTCTGACATTAGCATGTAGCGTCTACGTGATGTAAACACTTGCAGTGCGTGCCTGGAACAGATAAGCATACAACCAAATCCATCAAGAGCTGACATCGGTTTGTGTTGAAGTAGAAAAACATCATTGGAAACAGAGTATTCAAACAGTCTGAAGCCTGAGGTTTTTGCTCATAGGGATTCATTTTACACATTTACCTCATTATTTAAAACTTTGGCCATGGTTAATATATACACCCAACATTGTAAGAGTATATATAAATATATATATATGACAGAAAAATAAGGAAGAGCATAATAGGTGCCCTTAAAAAGCGAGTGAATAATCTTACTACAAACAGTCTGGATAGTAGTTTATGATGTAAAATACAGCAACAAATGCAAGAAGATGTATCCTTACCGTTCCACTGACTTGCCACAAACAGTGTCCCATTTATCCCTCAGCTCACTCAGCATGTCGTCCAGCTTCTGATTATCATCCTGAAGGGAGGTCTTGTCCTTCAGCGCCCGCCCTGTTCGAATGGTGGTGTCATACACAGAGTGTTTGCTGCCCACAGCTTTTTGGAACTCCTGTGTTTGAGAAACATTGTAAAAGAAAATTGGGAAAATGAACAAGCAGACAATAGTCAAGTTTAGTGGATTGTGCACAGGGTTACAGTGATCCTTCTCAGATTTTCTCCTTAATACTATCGGCATGTCAGATCCTAATCTGTATGTGTGTGTTTTGGGATTAAGGAGACTGTATTCTGTGAGGGAAACAAAAAAAGAGGTCAAAACTCCAGAGCCACTGCTTCACAGAGATTAAAAGTATCCAAAAGCAAGGTCACTCATGATACATTTGGTCCATCCCAGGATTATGATAGGATTAGCACAATATCCCTGCATAACACTGCAGAGACAACAAGACAGGACTTTCTGTAACGCAAGCAAATGCACGACTAATGCATTCTGTATATACTGTAAGTCCCATAAATAGATTTTGCTGTTGGAATCTTCTACGTCCAACACTCATATATCACGCAGTAAACATGGCGTTTAAACAGCTGTCTCATTATTCTGACTTAAAAATAGTTTGGATGCAAAAATGAATGAAACTACTGCCAAAAGGTGCTTGGTTATGTCAACTTTCATTCTTTTCCTGGTAATAAATCATGATAAGACGACTCGCAGTCACCTTGTGCTGCGCCAGCTGCGTCTTGATTTTGTCTGGATCGTTGGCAATTTCCACCTCCGAGTCCAGAGTCTTCTCGGATTCGTCCAGCCATTCCATCAGTTTATTCCAAGTCTCATGGAACTAATGAAGGATAAAGAAACAAACAAAGCATTTTGAAGAAGGTATGATTTCACTTGATTAATGGCCGAGTCCTGTTAAATGTTCAAATGATTAACTTTTCAGGCCCAGAGAACAGAAAGGGGTCACACTAATGAAAACACTGTAATAAGATGCAGACAGAATATGAAACAGGATTAATATACTATTTCCAGAGCTTTCCAAAGATAATAAAAAAGTCCCAACAGCAGTGAACCAAAGCCTCATTCAAACCAGTATAAATATGCACATATCAGTACCTGTTTGGCCCTCTTCCTGGCGTCATCCAGCAGACGCCCTCGCTCAACAGACCGCTGCACCAGCTTCTCCCAGCGGCCTTGCACGCTGAGCAGCAGGTTCTTGATCAGGACCACATCCTGTTTCTGGCTGAAGTACTTCAAATGTGTTCCTGTCTTGTCCAGGTCAATGATGTGTTCCCTGTGGGAGTTCACCTCTGTCACAAACATCTGCACAGAGCGAGAGGAGAGAGCTTTAGGTCAGCTGTTATAGTATCAAAAGGGGGAACAGGCTTTTTAATTGACAGCGGAGGTAATGTGATTCATCTCATTGATGTGCTAATGAGCTTTGTTCTACATGATGCAACAGATGGAGTCATTAATGAAGAACTTCACTGCTGGAACGGTGGTCTTTTCACAAGACTCGGCTGTCGATGCAAAATGACACTAATATTTTTGAAACTGTTGCTATATGACCAATGAAGACAGAGAAAAAAGACTGTGACATTTGTTTTGTTTATGAAATAGAAAACCTATAAATAAACACTCCCGCTGGGGGGTGACGAATGCAAGTTGCTTGTCGGAAAAACAGTATGTACCAAACAATCTCAAATTACAGGTTAACAGTACACTAAAATATGTTTCTGAAAACATTTGAGGCAAGAAACAGGCAACACACAAACAGAAACTTGGTTCATATTTGATCAGCACTGCTTAGTTTTACTGTTTGATGTCAGTATTTTCAGCCTCCGTATTTCAATACAGGAAACTGTGTGGCTTCTGTCGTGCTCCCTTTTCACAAATTCTCATATTACAGCCAAACAGTGCACTAAAATATGTTTCTGAAGACATTTTAGGTGACAAAAAGACGACACAGTGACATAATCATGGTTTCTATTTGATCAGCACTGTTTAGCTTCACAGTCTGATCTGCTTCTATAATTTTTGTGTCCGTGGCATGGATGTATTAAGAGACGTGGTCACACTGAAGACCAGCCCCCGTTCATTCCGATAAAAGTTGCTTAGTGCTCTGTTTCCACTGCATGACGTTACAGTAGATCTTCCACATTATGGGGCCCACACAGACAGCACACTACAGACTTACAGCAGGCCGAGGGCGGCTGAGTGGCTAACTTCTAAAATTCGAATCGAGAAACAAGTCATTTTGGACAGGCTCTGATGTAAAAAAAAAATTTATCCACTGATTTACAGACATCTCTTTTACGATGGAAGTCTATGCGAAAAACTCTTTTTGGGCCTCATGGCATCACTTGACGGACCCAGACGGTGTAATTCCACTTTTGGCTATTATGTAAATTGGCTTTAAAGTCCGGCACTATTCCTAGGGGCTTGGTCTGTGATGGCGGAGGGCTGCCAAAAATGAGGAAGTACAATCTGGAGTTCAAGACCCCAAGAGCCAGCAACAATCCGCTGGCAAATGAGCAGGGAGATCTGGGCCCTGGCAAGATGCGGGGAAGTTTACCACAGTTCATTTACACATTTTACCGACGTTGTTAGGATTTAAAGCTGCAAAGATTCCTTTAAGTTGATGTTGGCTAACAGACACAGCATAAAACGCTTCCACTTAGCATCAGGAAAAAAAGCCAGTAACAGCAGTCATGTGCAAACATTAAAAAAAAATAAATCATGTCATCAGCATTTCATTTCACTTTAGAGGCCGTGTCTCTGTACAAACATTACCTTATGCTCATCAATCTGAAACATGATGGTCTCCAGTATGAGGGAAGCGGGGGAAACCATGTTCAGCGTCTGCTCAGCCTGGGTCAGCCAGTTGATGAAGTCCTGCAGAGAGTTGTGGAAATCCGTGGCCAGCGTCAAGGCTTCTTCTAGTTTCACCTGCAGACAGGACACATCATCAGGCTCCATTTGTAGCGATGGAAATAATCCTTTCTCTCTAAACAGATCACAATTATAACCTGTATCATGATGCTGGAAACAAAATGCTTGGTTGCCACAACACTAGATAAAGACGGGGGGCGGGGGGGGGGGGGGACACACACACACACACACAATTACACTTCAATTGTGCTGAACATGACCTCTGTTTAAACAGGGGAAGTTAACATCTCTGGAGAGGCTGGTGGTGGAGCAGAGAGGGGAATGATGAGCTTTTAATTGAATGAGAGAAACATCCACGGTGACTCCATCGCTGGAAAACATCCATTTGCTACAGCCGGGACTCATCACATGACTGTAAACGCTGCGTTAATGACATTACAAACCTGATGAGGGTTTAATAATGTGTTCCTCTCATGCATTGTGGGTCATGTTGAGAGTCTTGCTAAATATGGAACTGCAGTGTAGTCGTCTCTACTTATTTTATTATTTGAATAAAGTCTTGGTTTCGACTCACTAGACCAGAGAAGTGTCACATTGCTGAGGAGAGTTTGGCCAGCAGCTGCAAACTCTGTGCGGCTCTAAGATTTACCAGACTTTGAATTCCTGGGAACTGGACCAAAGTAAATAGGAAGCAAAAGCAAACTCTTAAGCAGCCAGAATGAGCAGCTCCATATCTGGAGTGAGAGCGGTAAAGGAGAGAAGATTTAGCTCTCTTTTTGTGATGTAAAATGATGTTTATTTATCGTAGCAACAAAAGTGAGAAAATGCCACAAAGGCATAACACATAAATAAGATTTCCAAAAGAGCAACACAGTGACTGATGAGTCTTTATTTTGGCTCAATTATTAGCTTAGCTCGATTATTTATTTTATGCACTTGTCAACTGCTCACTGTGGAAACACACGAGACGAGACCGCAGTTGTTCCACGCTGACTCAGATGGTAACTTGCCTGCTGTGATCTACACCGTAAACCGCATCCTGTGTGTCCCTGCCAGCACGCTGTCCTGACACCATTCATTATCAGCACCAGGATTAGAGGCTTACACATACAGAGTCATGGCTCAAGTGTATGTCAAAGATCTCTCACTGAGACCTAAAGCTCAAGTTGTGAATCATTAAACTGAGAGCAACGCAGCTTCACCGCAACTCTTAACTCCATACCTTTCTCTCAGTGACCTTCCCCTGCACCGATTCCCATTTGTCCTTCAGGTTGGCGAGGTCCTGCTCTGTGTTGCTGTCTGGACCCTCGGGTGTTAAGGCGAGCAGCTGGTGGCCCTTGTTCATCAGCTCCTGATATAACTCCTCCTTCACCTCGAAGGCAGAACACAACTCCTGCAAGAAAACAAGACACAAAGACATGAGGGGAGCGATGCTTTCGTCAAACGGACTACATTACAGCTCTGGGGCCTCATTACAGGAAAATATCCCGACTGCTTGTCCTATCTTAACTTGAGTTTCAAAGATAGGAAAAATCTTTCTACTACAGAGGCAATTTCCAAACTCATGGCTGTGTTCTATCCTATCTCAGACCTCTTATCCTAACTAAAGAAATCTCAACTATAGCCCTTTTTACACTGGACTAGTATCACCTGGGGACCTTAAGTGAAGTTGAAACAACCCTCCCACATCTGAGTTTTGTGCAGCACCTTCACACAAGATAAGAAAAGTCTGATATTTTCCCCATGGTATGATACGCAGTCATTTGTAACTCCACTCTACACAACACAGAAACATCAGACAGCACTACTAGCAGTGACGTACAGTGTTAACCCCCTTTGTTTTTCTTTTCTTTTTCAAAAAAATTGGGATAAATAAACAGATTTTACCACACGTGATCTTTCTTATCGTCTTTCGAGATTTTGCTTTCCTGATGAATGCTGTGTAGCGACAAGAGCTCCTGCATCCAAAATGCTGTCAAAACATTCATTCATAATTGCCAATGCAGCCTCCATAATTCTCCACTGGGAAAGAGGCGGAAACCAGGGGCAGGGAAAACAGAAAACCTATATACCACCCCAAATCATAGAGATGCCCATTCGCATGGGACTATTCTCATTCTCATTTGGTGAAATATGGTAGGTTATTTGCAGTTGAATTTTTACTTCCATGGCAGATTTGTATGTGATTAAGACCACAGACAACCTCTGCAATTTTGACAAAACACGAGAGGTGCCCAGGTCACATAAGTCCTGTGCAAACAGGGCTTTTAACTGTAAATTTGATTCTTCAATCGGCCTGTCATGCCTGTATCTTTGATTAGTACCAGTAGCCTACTCGAGCCATAATAAAAAGAGCTCTCACTTGTTGCCACTGGCAGACAACAATGCCTCCTTGTAGGCCTCTCTAAAACCACATATAGCATGACAGTCCAATTAAAAATGAATCATCTTGGCAGCTGATATAAACCCATTAACACATGGTCAAAGTTTTAAGCATCATTATACAGTTTGAACAGCCCTCTTATCGATGTTCATGTTTGCCATCTTCATTGTCACTGTCATAAAGACCTAAAAACACTGCTGTTGCCATTTTTGGCAATATTCTAAGTTAAGATGATTCTGTAATAGCTAATTTCTTATCCTAAGATAAGATAGGATTTTTCCCCTATGAATGCAGTCAGAAAACATGTTTCTGTAATGCCCAAAATCCTAAATCTCGTAATCCCAAAGTGAGGTAATGTAATAATATTCAATAAAAAGCTTAGGAAGTTTCTGTAATGATGCCTCTGCTTTAATTTTGGATAACAATATAAGAGTCTGAAGTGTCTGATGTGCATGTAAGGAACCAGTCAGTGCACTTTATTTTTGTGTTAGCCCAAATCTAGTCCAAAAATGGTGAAAGAATTAGGCTCTCAGGGGCATGTTCCCACCAGTAATCCCTCTGTTTTTGGTTCCATAAAATGTCACTACTGATGCTCCTTCAGGGAGAGTTTGTTGTGAAAGTGTCTTGGGTTTCTCCATTAGAGAGAAGGAAAACAAAGACGGGAAACATTCCTAAATTCATTATAGCCTGACACGGCTTAATCAATTTGAAACACTTTAAAGGCTTTTTGTCGTTTTCTGCAGGGGGATGCAAGTAGTGTACTTTGCAGTGTCATTTAATTTTCACACTTCAGATAAAACACAGAAAAGACATCGTCGTCTCCTTACAAGCCTGCCATCTGTATGCGGCCTTTCATATTGTTAAACACATACCAGATGGGCGTTAAGCTGCTCCCGGGCCGTGTCTGGTAAGCCTCCCACAGCCTTTGATGCCAACAGCTGACGTTCTGTGTCTTTCAGCCATTGCTGCATATCTTCTATCTCACCATGGAAACCTTGGGCCTACAACACAATACAACATGAGTCAGGACAAAAGGTGTCACACACACTCATTGTTAGCAACCTACGGCTCAGACAGGAGGATGTCTGAGTTATTAATTCCTTAGATTCATTTGGCGAGAAGTGACTATCTGTGGTATTCAGCAGCACAAATTAAGAAGCCTGAAATGTTAATAAAAAAATTGCAAGATAAGAAGGTGCTGCTTTTATGTTAAATTAACTTTTAAAACTGTTAAACTTTGTAAATTAACTGGCTACCAAATAAATCCTTTGACAGGATTTTTTGGCACTTCCTTTCTGATAAATCCTCTCATCTATAAAACAGTCTCAACCTGGAACAGATTTTGTATTTTTTGGAGAAACTTTTCAAATATTTCTTCAATAAAATCTAAATCCAGGACATATTTTTGTTTCTTCCCCTCTCACATCAAAGCACCCCGCTAAAGGTCAAAGTTATGAATAGAAAAGGAATGAGGAGGGGGCAGCGATAAGGATCACTCCTCCAAAAACAATTTATGACTTTGACATAACTTAATCGCTCCCCTGGGAGAAAAGAATCAATCACAGCTTATTAAACAATGAAAAATGACAAATGAGGCCATTAAGTTGTGATGAAAACGATTTTAATACCTGAAGCAGAGAGCTCTCCAGCTGTTGCTTTCTCTGCTCTGTCTTCTCCAGGATGGCTTTCCACCGCTGGTTTAGATTCTCCAGTTTGCTCTGCAGACCTGAAGCTTCCTCTCCAGCTGTGGACTCCACCAGATCATTACCGGCCTTATTGACTGTCTCGACTGTTGCCTTGTGAGCCAACACGTCATTCTGGAGAACCTGTGGAGATAGTTCATTGGATAGCCAAAGTTCATTTTGGAATTAACTATAAAACAAAAGGACGATGATTCAACTGCCTTCTTCTGTTTCTATGGATTAAATGAAATGTAACACTGAATTTGAATGGAAAAAAGATATCTTTTGTCGTACATGATGCTTGGCAAGCTCTATCTCGATGGCTTTGGGGTCTCCTCCGGTCTTCCTCTGGTCATTGAGCAGCTCCTCGGTGTGGCTCATCCAGGCCAGAAGCTCGTCCAGTGCGTGCTGGAACTGGCCCAGTGCCAGAAGGCCTCCCTCCAGTTTGTGCTGGATTAATGACAGATTAAACCATTCGATATTGCAGCACGCAAAAGCACATGACATGCATACAACACAACACATTTTACAGCCTGATTGATCCATTGTTGAGTCTGTTTGCTAGTCCAATAGGAGCTGTAGAGGTATGATATAAATACAACCCATAGAGACTTATTATATATTGTATTAACAGCCACACTGAATGGTGTAAATAGATTCATTTCCGAACTGCAAAATATAAATTAGCCATGATTTCTTTTTATGTAGGCTTATACAACGGATCTCCCCTCAATTCAGCGACAAAAACAAACTATAACAAAAGAAACAAAACAAAATTTATAAAAATACAAAAAAAGACAAAAATTTGGATGTACAGTAAAACTTTTAATTTTGAAATGAAGCTCTTCCTCCACCCTCCCTCTTTCCCTTTTCTCACCTGTCGGCTGATGATCTTCTCGTCCAAGTTGTCCCACAGCATCTTGAGCTCAGACATCGGCTCCTGGATTGCGCAGCGATCAGCCTCCTCTGTCACCTTCTTCAGCAGGAGGCCTGCCTGGTGGTTCAAGCGCTCCATCTCAATCTGTAGCTGGTACGCCTCTCCTTTGAACTCCTGAAACACATATTGGTACACCCAGTCAGTCAACAGAAGTACAAAGCTTTGTAGGTATTACATCTGGCCCTACTGACTACGTCCTTTCAGCACTAGATTTGTCTTAATGTACATCAAAGACATTGTGACTACTTTATAAAGCTATTTTTTCTAAAGCTTTTGTACTAACGAGAGCAGGTTATGAATCACTGAACATAAACACAGCTGTTACATGACAGAGGTGCTGTAACAGTGGATGCTGCAGTAAAGTTAAAGAGGAGAAGAAGATTATTCATAAAAACAAATCTCACACTTTACCTTGAGTTCTACAATCTGCTGCTTGACAGTTTCCAGGTCTGTGCCTACGGGTGACATCGAATCCAGTTTGTTCTCCAGAATATCCACCCAGTCAAACATACCCTGCGCACAGCGTGGGAAACCATTGTTACTGTGAGAAAAGCTTAGTGCACAGGGAGTCATATTTCACATCTAGTGTCATGTTATGCCCTGAATCTTACAGCTAGTCTGCAGTAAAGCTATACGGCTGACAAACAAACACTAAAAATGAAAATCATCTTAGAGGAGTGTGATCCTTAAAGCAGGCGTGAAGAGGACTCTTCCTTCCCCGGCATGAAAACATCTTTCATGTTAGCAGAACTTTATACACTCGAGGCAAACTTTGAGCTAAATATAGTGAAGCACTGTGGTCGGTGTTTATTGTTTCATAATTAATAGGTCTCTCATAAACTGTTGCATCACTTCATTCAAGTGCAATAAAAAAAGCACTGTAATCTGTGGTTTCATGTAAAATCTGGCGGTCTGCCTAAGTGTCTTTAACTCCCAAACACATGTATACGTCTCAGTGAGCAAGTTTACTCTATTATAAGTTCTACAATGAAGACAAATAATAAATAACAGTAATGAAAAAGTCTGTTTGATGAGTAACATCAGAATTTAGAGAACATCTTACTGTGTCACACCTCATTTCATTCATGATTCCCTTTAAATACAACAAAGCGAAGATCAAAGTACCTGCAGGCCATCCTGAAACTGCACAGCAGCCTGCATGGCTTCTTCCAGTCTCTCCACTCTCTCCTTCCAGGTCTTATTGAGATTTTCCCACGCTGAGTTCACCTGGAAAAACGACACCAGTACTTCACCACAAGCCATATGCAGGCAAAGAAACTGACACACAAGTATAAAGAAACTGTCTTTGTAAAGATGATTTTGAGTGTTATCTGTTACCTCATCAAGACTTTTCTTTATCACAGGTTTATCAGGTTCCCCGCAGGCAGTCAACAGCTCTGCACCCTGGTTTTGAACCACGTCAAGCTCTTCCTGCAGCCCATCGATCTCCTCTTTGAATCCCTGCAGAAACAAATAGCAAACAAATAGATCAGGACTTGGCAAGAATCTGGTAATACATTACATATCACAATACAGGGGTTACGATTCAATATACTGCGATATATCATGATACTATAAAAAAGGCGATGGATTGTGATTTTTTTAAAATCTGATTTTAGGAGCTCGTGTTGCGCCATTTATGACTCTGCCTGTATCACAGGCCCTTGTTCTTTGTGTTTAAGCCAATGATATGTTGTTAGGTTGGAGTGGAAGAGTTAAAAGGATCTAGCCCCTGAAAGAAGTCCTCCTTAAGTCTTAATTACCCACTGGTCATTTCAATAGTTTTATTTTGGAGATCTGTCTACCTCGACAAACTCCTGCTGCTGTTTGACAACCGAGGGATCGACTCCAGGCTCCTCCAGCTCTTTCAGCAGGTCCTGACTGTCTTTGATGGTGACGATGAGAGCACAGTGGTCGCACCAGAACTTGTCTGCAAGGTCCATCACATCCAGCAGCTTCGCCTCCCGCTCCTCCATCAAGGCCTGGATGTCGTTCCAGAGGAACACCATCTGGTCCAGTTTGTCTTGTACAACTTGTGGTGGAAAATAAATAATAAATAAATAAATCAATTACCATAAAATGTGGGCTACAAACAGCAGACAACAACAATCGACCTGTGTTCATCAGCTGTGAGCTCTCGGGAACACATCTTACACATTCACAGGTTTTATGAGAAACTATTTAGTGCTTTGATTTTTTCCGTGTACCTAAAAAAAGAATGGCATCCCCATTAAAGCCACACCTGGAGGAAAGCTTTCGCAATCCAGCGAACAAAAACGTCTGTTCCAACACTCAAACTAAGACCTAAATCCAAGGATTTCAAGAGTGATTGCACATGTTTTGATAGGTGGAGAATTAAAGATCTGGCCTCTGATAGTTTTCCTACTGTTGACTTTTCATTAAACTATTTGTCTTATTACTTCTTATAATCGGCCTAAAGCCCTATTATGGTATGACACTTGTAACTGGATTCAGTAAAATAAAAAAAGAAAGGGAATAAAGTCAAACAAATAAGATGATATAACATATACCATACCTTTGGCAGATATGTCCTTGTCTGCTCCTTCGGATCGTGCGATCATCTCCTCGCCCCGCTGCCTCAGTGTCTCATAAGAGGGCTGCAGCTTCTCCAAATCCACAGAAACAGCTTTATTTTCAGTAATCTGCTCCTTGATCTTCTCCACCTCCACTGAGATGGACGGAGGCTGCCGCAGGCGCTCAGCGATCCGCTCCAGGGATTCCAGCATCGGGTCAATTTTATCGTGGAACTGGAGGAGAATGAAGAGAGGAAACACCTCAGTTTGTAATTATACTTTATACAACAATCTCACTCATTCAGCTCATTGCAGACGGCCACTAGCCGAGCACTAGCTAATGTTTGCTAACTTTTTCTCTCTGAACACTCAAGATCCAGAGGTTCAGGAGGTTTTTACTGGGAGACGAATTATCCACAGAGGTTTATTTCTCTCCAAAACAAAGTGACCCGGTGACTTAACCCAGTAAAAACACTGAATAAAGCCGTTACATGTTAAAATCAATGTTTTTCCTATGCTGTTTGGCTCATCATGGAGGGGCTGCTAACTACTGTGGCAGATGGGAATACGTAAATGGCCCTGTCTAGACCCAGTGTTTGGTTTGTCTGTTCTGGGCTACTGTAGAAACATGGCAGTACATCATGGCAATCTCCATAAATAGGGACCCGCTCCTTATGTAGATGTAAACAGCTCATTCTAAGGTAACGAAAATATGAGGATTCCTACCTTTAGGTGATAATACACCAAATAAAATGCATGTTTTTTATTTTATTTTTCATTTCTGCCTATATATGCCCCTTAATCCTACACACTGGACCTTCATTGGCTGATAGTCAACATTTAAAAATTGAATTTCTTCCGAATTTTATCATGGATAGACATGACGGGGACCATGATAGGAAGTAGACGGTTCTTTTAACTTTATTATGACATTAAATTGAATATTTCAAATATACATATAAAAAAAGGCAAGAAACGTTGCCTTAGAACAACCCAGTGAATAAATGCTGCTCACCTGGGTGGATTTGGAGATGGATTCATCCAGAGTCGCAGCTCTCTGCTTGACATCAGCCTTGAGTTTAGTGTAGAGTTGGTCTGTGGCGGTGTACTTCTCTCTGATAGGCACTCCCTCTACCGGGCTGATCTCAAGCAGCTGAGGCCCGGTCTTATTCATCTTGTCAATGTGAGGCTTGTGTTCGGCAATCAGTTCTCGCATTTGCTGGAGAGGATATGACACATTAGGTTTTTCATTGCTCAAATAAAAGTATTGTACTGGACACCTGCTTCTGTTGGCATCTTACCCTGAGCTCCTCTTGCTGCTGCCTGAGTGTTTCATACTCGATTGAAGGTGGAGGCAGCTGGCTGAAGGTGCTCAAGGTTTCCTGGAGCCACGGCCACATCTCCTCATAGGTCTCCCAGAACTGACTGGCCAGAGACTGGGCTCGCTCCAGCTGCAGACAGCGCTCAGAGTTCAGCTGACTGACGACGCCGTACTTCTCCAAGAGTGTCTCGGTCCGAGCCTGATGAAAAACCAAGAAGGTCCTTTTACTCATGTGCACATGCTAAATGAATAATTACCCATTTCAAATTGGAAATTTGATAACACCTTCAAGATTTCTTTCTCCTCTGGGTTTTTGCTGTTCATTATGGCCTTTCCTGTTTTCACAATATTATCCACAGCATCTTTGTGCCTCATGATGTCCATGGAGAAGATCTGGAAAACCGGTAGAGTGAGTTGGGCTGGGCGTTACAAAACAAGCCGCTGTGTTTACTGTACTTTGTAGTCTAACCATACACACACACACACACACACACACACACACATACAGTATGATAGGCTAACCTTCTGTGCTTGGAGCTGGGCTGTGGTTTGATCCTGCTCCAGCCTGATCTCGCCCATCGACTGCAACTTCCCCTCAGCTTCGGTCAGCCAGGAGAGTTCGGTGTCTGCAGCCTGTTCAAACTGGAAACAGACAGAGATCATTGACATTTTCCGTCGCTGAAAACAACTCCTAATTAAATACGGAAATTAAAGTAGAAGGGGAACACTTAAAATAGGGAAAAAAACACAGGAGAAAAGCCAAAGGAGAAAAAGCTGTTTATCAGTTTACCTGCTGTGACTTGAGTATATCAGCGTTGATCTGGTCGACCTGCTGGGTGACGGTGTCGCACACGGCTCTGTACCGCTCATTATCCTCTGTCACCAGTTTGTCCAGACCCTCACGAGTGTGCCAAGGGATCAGATCCAGAAGAGAGCTGCTCAACTCATTCAGCTTGTCCATGACTGGTTTTTGGTCTTTGCTTTCCTTCAACAAGGCCTGGACATGATGACATGACATTAAGAAAACATAAGCAGCATAATGAATACACAGACCTGTTTTTATAAAGCAGTTCACTGACTGTTAGAGGTACTTTATGTTAAAGATTGTATTTTATTGTCAACACTCTTACCCTCTGCCTGTTTTGTGCATATACGAGCTGTTCGCCCACTGGCTCCTGATCAGCAAAAGCGCTGACCTCAGCCTCCACTTTCTCGAGCCATGAGCTCAGGTCCTCATGAGTATGCTGCAGCTTAGTGGACAGACTCAAAACCCGTTCCAATGTCTTCAAAACGCCATCACTCATGGAGTTGATCTCAGCATACTTTGCTTTTATTCCATCCAGCTTGCCTTGGATCACAACCACCTCATCACCTATAAATAGAAAGTAAATTATACATTGATTCAAGTTTTGTATTTCTGCTTTAGTGAGGGGAAGTACAGTATGCTGTTCAGTTGTCTTAACACAGAGACAGATTCATGTATGCAGCATCCTGCAGAAATTCTGTCAGTGATGTATTTGAGACAACATTATGCTTGAGGCCACAAATTTAAATGTCATATATCTTGGAACATCCAAAATAAAAAAGAATGCATGCTTACAACCAACTGCATGTTTTACACCATTGGTTCCCAAGCGATGGGTCGTGGTCCAAAAGCTAGTCGTGGGTCCATTCTGACTGGACCGCGAGTGACTCGCACATGTGTCAAAATTTTTAAGTACAGTGTATTTCCAACACAGAGCTTTTATTTTCAAGTGTTTCCAGCTGTAGAGTGAGTGACTAACAGACAGCCACTTGACAGAGACAGCAAATGAGATCAAACACATTGCTAAGGGCAAGTATGACATTGAATGTATTAAACTGTGTGGACCTTGAAATGGCTAAGGAGAAATCTGGCCCCTGTGACTGGACCAGTTGGGAACCACTGGTTTACACCATTTTACAATTAGCTGTAACATTCAGAGCATTAATATAGCACCAAACAAAAATTTACTATGTAAAGATATAATAGAGTAATGGGGTCCTGAGCAGAGACTGAACTCACGCTTCCTCTGTGTGTGTTGTAATCCAAGCTTCTCTGTTAGTTGTTGTGGCAGACTGTCTGGCTGGCTAGCTAATCGCCGTCGCTCTACACAGCACTCATACGATGGTTACTGCTGATAATGCCATCCTGACCCGCGGTTGTGAAACAGCATCATTGCAAAAGTGCAACACCCACCCTTCAGTTTCCCCCCAGGTTAGCATCATTAACTCTGCCAGCACTGTTGCCGTTGTTACCATTGCTCTCACTGTTAGCAATGTTAGCTGCTGGCCGTCGGCTCAGCCCTCTCCATGTTGAGAACTGTGTGCAAGCAATCAAAGACCAGACTCTGGATCATAAACATGCTCTGAATGTCGGATACAGCTTCTTAAGAAAGAGTTTTAAGTTTTGGGAAATAGCTTATTTGCTTTCTTGCTGACAGTTAGGTGAGAAGGTCGATGTGGCCAGTTAGCTTATTTAAGCATAAAGACTGTAAACAGAGGGGAAACAGCTAGCTTGGCTAAATATGCTTACAAGCACCTCTAAAGCTCACTACCATGTTATATCTCATTTGTTATTGTGTGCAAAAAACAAAGTGAACAAACAACACATTTTGGTTTTACATAGGTAACGTGCCAGACTATTTCTCATCCAAGCAACTTCCTGAAGTCTTCTCTAGTCTTCACTGCGACAACATAGACGGTGGCATCTTCTCATTTAACTCTCAGTAAGAAAGCAAAAAATGTCACTTTCATAAGCCTCAAAGAACTTCTGAACAACAATGTTAGTCATTTATGAATTTGATAAAGACTTTGTTGAGCCGCTGCCTAATAAGGCCAAAAATCTTTTGATGATGTGTCACAAAGACACAACTGTTTGCTGAGATGAAAGTGCATGAATTGTGAAAGGAGAGTGATGAGTCAGACATGCCTGTTGTTTGTTTCAGAAGCTCCATCCCATTAGAGATGGCTTGGTCAACATTCTTCTTCCTCAACTCAATATCACTTTGCAGTGCCTATAAGGAAAACACAATCTTAGAAAGTCATTCGGAGTGACAAGAAACTTTCTACTGTAAACAAAGTACGACACAGAAATGACTTAAATCAAGTGAAACATAAAGGATGCAACTTAAATGAAGGAAAAACATAATGTATGGCCTGAGGAGGAGTGTATACCCGTTGTTCTGCCAGTTGCTTTTCAAGAACATCTACTTTGTAGTCAGCCACGGACACTTCGCCCAGCTTCGTGTGCACTTCGTTGAGCCAGTTCATGAGGGCCACCTCATCCTCTCCAAAGAGCTGGGCGTTTGCCAGAGCCTGCTGCAGCATCTCGGCTTTCCTCCTGCATCGCTCCTGGAGCTCTATGTAACCGGCCTGGGTGGCGTCCAGTTTGGACTGAACAAACTCCTTTTCTTCGACTGAGCTCACAGTTTTGAGCATCTGACCCAGACTGACAGCCTGTAACAGGTCTTTACTGTGATTCATAATCTCCTCCTCTAAGGCCTGACCACGGGGGATGGGAAACAAACCAAGGAAATGTGATACAAACAGAAAACACACACATAAAACAAAAATATGAAAGTTAATGAAAAACGGAAGGGGAAATAATGAAAAGCACAAACTCAAAGTAACGAGCAAAATGAATAAAAGTGAATTCAGCTGGACAGAAGTGATTGTGCCATAAAAACACATGGTAATGATGTGAGGTGATGAATATTACCTTATGCTGAGAGATCTGATCTTCCAGCTTAGACGTCTCAGTGCCGATGGGTTCAGAGTTGGCGAGGTGTTTCTCTGTAGCGGCGAGCCACTCGCTCAGGGGCTCCAGGGTCTCGTGGAACTGCTGAGTGACCACTAAGATGCTCTCTAGTTGCTTGTGCCTGAGACATTTATGCAGATAGTAACAGAAGAAGAAAGAAGAAACCTATAAAAAATGTGTTTTGGGGAAATGTTTGGACCTTATAATGTTTTACAGCTCTTTTCTGAACTTGAGCTGAGAGAAATATAAGGTAGCTCTAGGTTTGCTCTGCATAGTAGCCTGACCCTTCAAAACTGACCTCTCTTTATTCACTTGGAGGAAAGAAGAAGTGAATTTGGGAGTTTTACAGTCTTAAGTTTCAAATACTCCCGGATCCAAACCAACGCAAAACACAAAATTAGGCCAAAAAAAAAAAAAAAATGGAAAGACTTGGCAAACTTTCATTGGCAACATTTAAAGGAATAGTCCAACATTTCTGGAAATGGACTGAGAGAGTTAGGACCCTGACAAACCAAGCCAACAATCAGCCGGCAGTCAATGTGGGGCCCTCAGTGAGCATCTGTTGCCCCTGTATTTGCGGTGTGTCCTGCACTATTAGCACTTTGGGCCTTTGTCAGCTTGTTTTTTTTTTGGGCCGATTCAGCATGTTTAATCGGTGTCTGAGCCATCGGAGCCCGTTGTTGAGAGAAATCACTCTGATTGGCGGTTCAGCTCAGTGCACAAGAAAAAAAATTAAGTGAGAAAAAGAAAGAAACGGCTCAAGTCAAGAGGGTGTGAGATCGAAACAAACATTATTTTGGCTAAAAAAAAAAAAATCTGTATTGAGCTCTTAAGCAAAAATGGTTTGTAATTGGTTATGTTACTGTTCTCTTACACAGTAAATATCATTTGTTCTTTCAACATCAGGTTGTGTTAACGTGTTAACTGGCTAGCTAGAGTCTTGAATCTGTCCTGTCAGTCTCCCTTTTTGAATGACGAATACAGACTATCTTTGCGTTCTAGCTGGTTTTGAGCTGTAGTCTTTGCAGTGTGGTCAGGGTAACTTTTTGGCCGAGACACAAGCAACAGTCAGCCTTTGTTGCAACCAATTCTTTGATGTCAGTTGGGTGTGTCTGGGCCTTTAGAAGAGAAGACTGATATCACCCTCATGTCTGTACAGTCTGCACAAAGCTACCCTATCTCCAGCAGCCAGTTAGCTTAGCTTTGCAAAAAGACTGGAAACAGGGGGAAACAGCTAGCCTGGCAACATCCAAAGGTAACAAAATCTGCATACAGGCACCTCTTAATCTCATCAATTAGCATTTTATATCTCGTGCTGGTGCCAGGGCGTGGATCTTAATACCTTTGGAAAGAGACAGGCAGGCTGTTTCTCCTTGTTTCCTTTGTGCTCCCAACTAGTTTCATATTTACAGTACAAACATTAGGCAGGTATCGATCCTTCCATCTAATTTGTTGAACTAGTCCTTTAAGCTCATGTGGAGGAAAGTAAAGCTGACTTTAGGAGTCTGACATTCTTATGAAGTTTTGAATATACCCGGATCTAAATCAAGGCAAAAACACAAATTCAATTATGGGGAAAAACAGTGCTTTGATTCTTAGGAAAACTTTTCATCAGGAACATTTAATTCTTAACCGCACTGACGCTTTGCATTAACAAGGAGGTTTACCATTACAGGTGTTTTATACAGACCTGTTTTCAGCCTTCTTGAGCAGAGTGTCCCACCTCTGCCCCAGGCATTCGATCTCTTTTGCAACCTTGTCTTTATCCACAGACTCTGCCAGCTCTGCAACCTTCTCTCCTTCCTTTTTTATCAGCTCCACTGTTGGCTTTCTGTCATCCAGCAGTCTCTGTAAGAGCTGTCAAAGGCAAACAAAGGAGGAGAGTTATTGGGCGCCTTTAACATGCTCTGACCACGAGCATTGCTTGGTGGTGAAAAACAGTAAATCTAACGGGCACAAATTAAGTGGCCGTTAAAGGAGAAGCTTTGTGTACCACACTCAAGTTTAACAATGGATGTCAATTAAATAAGATGAATGGCAAAGTAATAACGTTGTGTGGATTTTCTAGCGTTGAGGTGGAAAGATTAAAATAGAACTGAAGTGTGTGTGTGTGTTTATGTGTTTGTACCATGTGAGACCGGCTTACTTTCTGCTCTTGTATCTGTGCCTTGACCACTTTGAACTCTGCAGACGGAGGTTTTTGATTGGCAATGAGCTCCTCTGTGTCAGTCAGCCAGCTGAGCAGTGACTCAAGAGCATCCTGGAATCTCCCACAATGCAACAGGGCTTCGTGCAGCTGGGCTGAACGCTCAGCAATCTGCAAACCACATGGCAAACATAGAGGTCACCTGTTTAAAAGCCAACTTCAAACTGCACCCAGTAGCTCATCAAAGAACAGCACTATAACAAATACTAAGAGCGGATGACTCATTACACACACGATACTTCTCAATGGTTTCATTAATAACCACTATTTAAAAGCAAAGCTAAACCAGTCAGACAGGGAGTATAAAACAAATAACCTTTTTATTGAGGGTATTCCACTTTGTGTTGACTTCCTCCAGGTCATCCTCAAGCTTCTTGGTGCTGGTGCCTTTGGTTGCGTTCTGGATTAGGCTCTGGCCGAGGGAGCTGATGTCTTGAAGCTGTGTCTGTAACGGATCAATGTCCTCTTTCTGGAAGGCCTACATACAAATGAAACAAATCACGGTAAATGTTCACAATGTTCACAATTCCATCAGTCTTATCAAAAGGTTCATTAAACCAACTTGATTACTGTTCAAGTTGTAAAAAGCAGAGATTTCATGAGGCATTAGTTTTATTACATTTTGTGTAAATAGACCAAATTAAGTACTTGACTCATACTGAACAATTCCCCTTTTCAGTGAGTTTTATCACAATTTATTGCTCCCTGTCATGTCGTCTAAAAATCATTTTGTGTTACATAGCTGTACACACACCTGTTCTTTGAAACATATCAAAAATTTAACAATAAACATCTTTAAAATTGGATGATTTAGATCAAGATTTAATAGGAAAAAGTCCAAAATGATGCCGGGAAGTTACCAAATCTAGAGGCACCATCGCCACGACACCACCTCGGTTTTGGGGTTAAAAATCCAGCTGACATAAACAACTCTCTAGACAGTCAGCAGCTTCTAGAAAAGCAGAATTAACAGTTGCAACACAGCTGTGCACAATCACACAGACCGACTTCATGGCTGAGCTCATGAGCAAAACTCATGATGTGATCGGATAGAAAAATATCAAGCCAGCAACTGTGAAAAACTCATAAAGAGGCATATGATCTCGTGAAATGTGCTGGACCAGCTAACGAACTCAGAAAAGACTCCAAAATGAAGAAAGAGGCTATTTTTGGGCACCTGTGGGGAGAAATAACCCATCGGGTCCATTTCAGGACACGCGGCGATGGCACTCAGTAAGGCCTCTATCTCCTGCTCTCCTGCATGCTGGAACGTCTGTAAACTTTTAGGCAGACAGGCCTCCACTGATTGCAAAAACTCCTCCAGCTCCTCCATGTTGTACTTGGACGCTCCTTGTTGGACAGTACATGGTTTTGTGTGCTGGCGGCTCTCTATGGGTAGAGTTACAGAGTTTCCATACGTCTCAGGCTGTGTCACCACCACACTGACCAACTCACAGTCGCCCTGACATGACACATCCTCCAACAGCTCGGCAGTGGACAGCTCATCATAGTCTGTTAAAGTCCTTGAACGCCACCCAGAGCTTTCGTTTTGAGTCCTGGAGGCTGACCCTGAGGATGACCTCCCGGTGGAGTGTTTGTATTCTCCATTGCTGAGGGAGTCCTTTTCGTTTAGATCCACCACACCAGATTCTGTTTGTCGCAGCTCCTGGACCAAGCTGCTGCTGTGGTAAAGAGACCGGTTGTCCCTCGCAGGTGAGAAAGGAAACTCCTCCTGCCCTGAGCTAAGAGATCGCCCAGTTCTCAGGTCCCCGGACATATGCATCGCCTCTGAAGATGAGAGGCTCCTGGTGCCGGGCCCTGCTCTTTTGTGGGATCTATGAGCATGTCGCTCCCTCTCAACAGTCGGGCTGTACAGACCCGAGTCTTCTTCAGATGTCAGCGAGCTGGTCATACTCTGCCCTCTCCTGCCATTGATCAGCCCCGGCCTCTCAGCACTCCCGGAGCACAAGGTGCCACTGCGGCTCACATACTCCCCCAAATTAGTTGGGGCAAAAGTCCGCCATGAACGTCTGTGATGCGGATGATCCTTCTTCTCTCCTCCCTGGAGACGCGACTTCGGCAGCACTGTGTCAGTCGCCCTGATTATGTGCCCGTTGAGTTTAAGCCCATCAAAGACCGCACGTTCATCCAGCAGGGCAGGTTTGCGGGTTCGGAGCTCAAACGAACTGGAAGCAGAGAGAGCTCCATTTCCACACAGGGTGCTGAGGTCTAACGTGCGGTGAGTGTAAGGTAGGGTGCCTGTGAAGTGCCGGGAGGAAAGGCTGCCTTTAGAGCCCGAGTCTATTTGTTCATTGAGCCTGACGGTGTCATAAATGGACCTCTGGGGCACATAGCAGTCATCAATGTTCAGGTCCTCCTCCTCCCCCTTCCCGACACAGGAAGGGTTTTGTCTGAGGCAATCTGGTCTGCTCAGCGGTTTGCCCATGCTAAAACAATTGTCACTTATTCACTACAAAGAGAAGATTAAGGATGTATTGAAATCCTCTGAGGTATATGTTGCTTAAGTGCACACTGAGTAGTTTAAGAAGAAGTACAATGTCACCAATTTACACAAGAAGCTGTGTGCAAAATAATCCTCTCTTAAATATCAAATAAATACTAAATGTTTCCACCTATTATTCAAAATAAAATCAACCACTCATGGAGGCTTCCTTTTAAAAATATGGACACAATTAAGTTGATCTACATTTAAAAAATAAAGGCTTTAGAAATACAAATATGTAAAACAATATTAAAAAAATCCCAAACAAATGCTAGGACTATATAGCAGCTTCATACTCCGTATCAGGAATGAAAATCCAGTCTTTCAATACAGTCACCGATCCCAAATATATTCCTCCAGGCTCTTCTCTGTGCCTTGCCAAAACTTATCACCGTTCCCCTGGTCCAAAGTGCTTCTTTTTCCCTGAAATCCTCACAGCATCCAGGCGAGCCAAAGGAAAAAGCTTCAGTGCAAAGTGAAAATATCCACAGGGCAAATCCAGCAGGCTCGACTGAAAACTGTGGGCAGTTCTGAGGAGAGCTGGTACTCCTGGATAAACAAAAAAGCCTGCCCTTTCTCTCTCTCATCGCTCCCTTGCAATGACAGACACCCTCCTGGCAGAGGGTTTCATGCCCCGCCCCCGCTCATTATTCAGACAACATCTGCCACAACTCCATTTGTGCTGAGAGCCGCTCCGGCACATGTTGATTGGTGGACACATGACCCTTTTTTTTTTTTTTTTTCCTCCTCCTTTCTAATTCCCCCTTATGTCAGCATGGCCCATATGACTTCACTTCTAAGCCATCTCCTGCATCCTGACACAATCACTCACTTTTCTACTTTTTTTATTTTCTTTCACTGACTGAGGGAACGGGGAGGGGAAGAGATACGCACCAGCTTTTCTACTTCATATATAAAAAAAATAAATAAAAACAACGTAAACCAGCAGGCAGCAACAGCTCCCACTCTGATGACATCACACTAGGCTGAAATAGATACACATTTTCCTTTTTTCTTTCTCTATGCCCTCTGTTGGCTCCTTGTGGACGGCTGCTGTGAACCCTGCAGATATTCTTAATTACTGTGGAATGCTGAGGGAGGCACAGGTCCCAGGTAATTTAACACCGACGGCTCTGCCAAGTGCATGAAGGCGCTTTTTATGTCCAGTGACCGGGGATAGGAGAAGAAAGGAGAATAGGGGAGATAATGAAAGGAATTTATTTTTGTTTCCTGGATTGTCTACACCACAGTAGCTCCGTGAGGGGCTAAACAATCCCAACTTCTTTGTCCAGATCTGCACGCATGAGAGGAGACGGAAAGGGGATGCTGGCAGAGATAAATAAGCAGCTGAGATCTGGTGGGGTTTTAAAATGGGGATGTTCAGCCACTGAAACCTGAAGACGTTTTAAATATTCAGGCTTTTGTATGTATGAATACAAATTACACTTCTAGTCATCTTCCTGGCTGCTGCAGATCCCTTTGTCCCCACTGTCCCATATATCTTTGATACTATGTGAACTTTACATAAATTGTTAATGCCGCGTTTAATGTAAGCATACAACAACACAACAGCTAAACACACAGGGAGAAAGATGTGCTCTCTGTGGAAGACAACTGAGCATTGTCAAATCTTACTACTGATAAATAATCTTTAAATCAAATATTTTGCCGTTGTTCTTTTTGTAACTTTACAGAAAATGGAAGAAAAATAGGGGGAGCGCTTCCTGGATTATTAACTGACTTGTTTGCATGGATTCTGAAATACATTCCTCATCAATTAAATGTGCTAATTATTTTCTTTATTAATCCATCAATCTTTTGAAATAAAAAATGCCTGAAAAAAGTGACAAATGTCAACAGTCCGAAAGCCAAAGATATTCGATTCATAATCAGAGAACACTAAGAATACCAGCAAACTGTTACAAACTTAGAAGCCAAAAATCCTGGGAATTTTTGCTTTAGGAATTACTTTGATAAATAAATGATCATGTCTGTTGCTGATGCATTTTCTGCCAACTAGACTGAATACTTGTTAAGATCGATTCAGCTGTTATCCTGCAAACCAAGCTGACTGATGTATTCAAAGACAGGTTTTGTTTAACTTTATGGTGGGGGGTGCTACCCCAGGACATTTTGAGCATCAAACACTTTGTTTCCAGCATTTTGGTGAAGATTTATGCACCAATTTTCTCCTTTTCTGCATCAATTTATAGTGTAAATGTCTTCAGTGTTGTCAAAATGACATCATATTTACTATAAAAGAGATAAAGTCAGCTGATTGACTGAGGAGCCAGGGGTCTGAGACAACTTTCTACTGTTAATTAATGGATTTTCATGTCACTGTGACTAAATGTGCTGTGAAACTGTACAGAGTATTGTCTTCAAACTTGTCTTCTGGCCTTCAGGTGCAGTTGAGGACTGCTTTAACACTTGAGAATCAGGTCTGCACTGGAAACAAAGACTAGAAACCTTTGATGGATAGCAAACTCACCATAATCGCCTTACAGCCAAACAATGAGCACTCTACCTCTATAGCAACTGTCCCACACATGTCTCATGTTTCACTTTAAAAACAGTGTATCACTGCTATGTGGCAGTGAGTCAGCAACACTACGTCGTCACAGTGACACTTTTTGCCCTCATTTACTTCAATGAACCGCGTTAGCTGCAGTATGATTCAGACGGTAGAAACTCCTTTCCAAGTGTGCAAGAGACACTGATGTAATGTCTGAGAGAAAAGACGCCCACGCCAGCCCCCAGTGGCGTTGAGTCACCAGAGCTGCCCTTTAAGGTACACATAAAGATATACATACACCAGGACTCCCCTCAGCCGGGCTGCTGCAAACCTCATGTGAAAAACGAGAGTAAACACATGAAGTCAGGCATGTCTCCTTCAAAACTTGACCTAAAATGGTAAGAGCACATGAAAGAGACGAATCCAACACGCTGTCTTTCTCTGTTTATTTCTCTCCCAACAGCTGCCAATAAAGCCCACTTACCTACAGAAACAAGATCCACTGAACATAAAACACAATATGACACAATCATCTATGTTTTCATGCTGCAGCTAAATAAAGAGTCAAGCTTTGCTTTGTTTTTGGCAGTTTTTCCTCCTCATGTTAAGCATTTGTACGAGTGAGTACAAAGGGGGCTTTCCAGCAGCAGCTGAGGCTGGATATGCCCTCTCAACACGGACTGATGACAGGACAAAGAGGGGGTAAAAACATGCACCATGACAACGCTGCTCAGCAACAATTTGAATCAATCACTTCTTTAATAGTTTCCCTGAGAGGCCTTTAAACCAAACTGACACCCTCCTGCCCCTGCGACCCCGATGATATTTTAATCCATGTATCTCGACTGGAGGTTTGGACGGAGCCCTCCTGCGGGTGTGCAGCACCCCCTTAATTGCAAAAACAAAAATCCCTTGACCTACATCTTAGGACTGATCTGTGTCATTTGCCTATACCCGGCTGTTTACATTGTTTTATCATAATACTATCTAATACTATAAATTACTCACCTCTAAATATAGGTTAATCCTCTTTTGGACATCTCTACAGGAATTTATAGGCTTTTAAAATATTTTGCATCTGTCTGGGAATCTTACTAATGGCTACCCCTTGTGTTATCCCTCACTGAAACCGACAAAGGCCTTTACATTTTCAGAGACAACATGGGGAGTTAAAGGAATTGAAACAGATCATTAGGACAATTAGGACGCTGTGGGTGGGTGTGTTTGTTGTTGTTTGCAATTACTTAAACTAAATTTACTTAGTCCAAGCATTTATAATACAATAGACAAACGCATAATGACATAATTGAAATCATTTGGGACAATAATGTTAGCATTAGCATTAGCATTCAGGCTGATTTGTACCAGGGATGGGTGCAAATTATCTACTTATATAATAATATACGCAATATTTTTTTGAACAATATTTAAGATTATAGATTAAATTGTGCTCAATTTTGGCTGAGTTTTCTGTTACTATTAGACTAGTCAACTAGTCCAAGTTTAAACTTCATTTTAAATGAGGAAGGAAATTCAGTCACTACAAACATCCCTACTTTGTACCAGCTATACAATCTACTACTAGTGTGTGTCTTCATATTACCACAAGTCCTAATGGACGCTCAGCCCAGCAGTGAATACTATAAAGGTTTTAGGACATACTAATAACTACTAAGCATCACCGTACTAACCAGTGTCTATGTCAAGATGGTCACATTAACACCAGGCTACTCTAAGCTTAGAGCCAGACATAATGTCTGACGGTGAAGGTTCAGGCGTAGCAATAATATCGATGTTAAGAGATCAGACGCAGGCCCAGCTTCATTATTGAGACCATTGAATCAAGTGACGCCCTGCTGGCGACCACCTGGCTGTGACGGTCCATCCCTCCTGCACCATCACTGCGTATGGGCCACAGCTCCTTTGTTAACACCAGATGCCCTTAATGAACCAGCAGTCCCCAGAGGATTGCCATGTATAGAGCGAGAGTGCTCAGGGCCTGTTGGTTCTCTGCCCTGGTGCAAGGTTTTTGTGGATAGACAGCATCTAAAATACTAATTGTTAGTTTTTGAAATATATGTGAAACCCAGGAGAGAATAAAGCTTTGAGCATGTAGCTTTTAACCGAGATGAAGTCATAGTAATAATAAAAGCAGCATTTGTCAGTCACTGCCACTGTGAATACATTTGTCACACTGATCACAATCTGGATTAAAATAAAAAAGATTATGATAAGACTTTTCTATCTGCATATCACATGTATGCAAGTTCCATTTTCTACTGTTTAATTTTTCAAGAAAGGTTTTTCTCAAGTGAGCTTCAATTTCACTGTATGTAACCAAAATGTCAGACCACACGTGTCAGTAATTATGTTTGTGCAACATATTCACTCTAATTAAACGTTGCTGTGAAAAACATTATGCTTTCAGCTGTGAATCCATCCCACCATTATCCTTACTAACCCAAAAGTCTGCTTATTGTTTTAAACCTTCTTTAAATCGATGTCACATAGCTGTAATTTATATAATATCTACACTAGCTGAACCTTAACTGAATTAGTTAAGTGACAGAACATTATCTAGCAATTATTTTGATAAACAATTAAGTGTTTGACATTTCTTTAAGTAAAACATTTAAATATTGTTGTGTTTTAGCTTCTTAAATGTAAAGAAATTGCTGCTTTCCCCTGCCTGTGTTTAACATCAGAGTAAATTGAATATTTTTGCGTTTTTTGACAGTTAGTCAGACAAAATAAAGACATTTAATGACATCGCCTTTGGCTCTCAGATATTGTGATGGACATTTTTAACTGTTTTTTAAATGTTATATAAGAAAAACGATTAATTGTGAAAATAATCAGCCAATTAGTCAGCTGTGTAAATAATTGTTTGCAGTAAATACTGCTGATGCTAAAAAAAGGCAATAACAAGGGTAGAGGCTGCTGTGATTTTATTATCTATGTCTACATGTTAACCTTATTCAAAGGAGCTCTGTGCGACATTCAGAGCACTAACATAACAGCAAAAAATTATTGTCATGTAAAGATATAGTGGAGTAATGGCGTTCTGAGCAGAGAATGATGTCACGCTCCCTCTGTGTGTTGTAATCCGAGCTTCTCTGTTTGTTGTTGACAGTCCGACTGCACTTGCATGTAATTTCAGTGTGTGTATCCCGCTGGCTAACTCATCGCCACTGTTCTGCTCACAGCAACTTGAATAGCACACTTTTTGTATTAGGGAAACACCCAAAAGGTTACTGTAGTCAGTGAAGCACATTCTTGTTTCTTGCTAGTTGCCAACTCAGCTACCTCCATATTGAGAGCCATGTGCAGACAATCTCTGAATCACAGATATACTCATATCATCATATAGAGCTCCTTCAACCAGTCAAATTAAGTGAAATTCCATGTTTAGGTCTAAACAATAAAATAAATGTTAAATCTGGGATACCTTACCTTGAAAGCCTCCAGCTGTTGGTTGATGACGTCCGTCTCCATGCCGACAGCCTCCTGCGACGCCTCCTTGTCCACAGCTCTGCAAAGTTTATCTTCTGCTTGGTGCAGTTTATTGTACAACTCCTCCAGTTTGGTGAGAGTGCTTTGCACCTGCACCTCTCTGCCTTTAGCCCTGTCCAACAGTTTACCACACTGCTTACTCAGAGTGTCCAAGTCTCTCTTCAGGCCCAACAGGTCAGGTGAGGATTCCGTCTCCAGCATCTTCTTACAGCTGTCTCCAGCATTGGCCGTGTTGGCTATCAGCTCTTGCAGCTTGGCCACAAAGCTCTGAATTCTGTCTTGCTGTTCTTTAAGTGTTGCCAAGTCCAGATCCACAGGAGCCATGCTGTCCAGTTCATCATCCAGGTCTGTGAAACGGGTGAACATCTCACGGATGTTGTTTTGGAACTGCCCGATACCCTGCAGTTTACCCTCCAAGACTTGGCACGTCTCCTCTAGTTTCTTGTCAAGGGTGCTGTAGTCTGTTTCCATGCTGTCAGCCTGCAGTAGGAGGTCTGTCACCCCGTCAGCATCTGGGACATCAACCACAAGGTCTTTGGCCAAGGTCTTCAGGTGCTCTATTTGGTTCTGCACTCCCTCTAAACTCTTATGTTGAGCTTTCATGTTGGTCAGGTTCTTGTTGCTGTGTGCCTGCACTCCCTGTGACTCATAGGTATCCACCTGCTTCTTAGCTCCCTCAAGCTGACCCTTTGCCTCTTTGTAGGTATCATTAAATTCCTTAACAGTGTGTGAGATCTTCTCCAGGGACTCCCTCTTGCTCTGCAGACCTTCCACTACATTGTCTACTCTTTTACAAATGCTAGCCTTCTCCTCTTTGATGGCGTCAGTGTCTGCGTTGGCCACGTCAAGGAGGCTATCTGCAGCCGTGTTGAGCTGCTCTACCATCCCTCTGTGTTTGTCCACATCTTTCTGGAGAGCTTTCACCTGAGAAATGGAGCTCTCCACTGCAACAGGATCAACAGTGAGCTTGACTCGGCCCTCGCTAGCTTCACACTCTTGAATCCAAGAGCTGAGCTTCTCTGCGTGCTCCTGATACTTCAGGGATTTCTGCAGAGCAGTCTGGAGTTTGTCAGCTTGCTCTGCGGAGCTCTTCTTCACCTCCTCCCAGTTGGAGGAAAGTGTAGTAAGCTGACCTTGTAGGGCCAACTTCTCTGCACCGTTAGTATTCTGCAGAAGCATCTCGCCTTCCCCTATGATTTTGTTATAAGTTTCTTCATGTTCGCTGAGGGCCTTTTGGAGCTTACTGTGATCCTCCAAGGATTGTTGCAGGACGTCCACTTTGGCAGAGATGGGCTGGGGCTTAGACTGGTCTTGGAGCTTCTCACCCAGCCACAACTGGAAGTCTTTGGAGGTCTGATGGAACTGCTGAGAGCTGGCGAAGGTTGAGTTGAGCTGCTCGATCCGTTTTGCTACAACAGAGAAATGTGACAATTAGCAAGTTAAATGATTCAATACCGCTCATGCAAAAAGTGGAACCAAAGGGTAGCTGGGATATTGTTGCAGATGACCTTTCATTCTACATGTCTGAAATAATTTAGTGGACAATTTCAGTCAACTATACCAGACGCCAAATTTTTTGACGAAGAAAATATAGCCATGGTTTGATTCCCCCTGGAGAGCAAATGTGATTACTACAATTTAGCCTGCTGGGAAGTTATTGTCATAGCATGAATATATTTTAGTGTGATTCAACACAAATAGAATGATGCTTTCTTTCCAAACATTACAACACTGCATTATTAGGTTAAGTTTAAAAGCCAACCTGCTTTCTCTTCCAACTGTTTGAAAGGCTTGCTGACACTCTCCAGCTGCCTGGCCAGGTCTGCTTTGAGATAGTCCTCAGTCACCATCGCTGTGAGCTCTGCATTAATGGCCTCAGCCTCCTTCAGCTTCTTCCTCTCTTCTCTCAGTTGCGCTGAGATGTTCTGGACGTCCTCCAGCTGCTTCTTCACAGCATCGGGCTGGGTGCTTTGGCCCTGGTGGTTGGTGAGCTGATTCTCCAGCTGAGTGGCAGTCTGACTGACACTCCTCAGCAACTCCTGAAACTTGCCCGTCTTCACCACGGCCTGGTCGATGAGGCTGTCTCGCTGGTCAAGCTGTCCTGTGAGGCCTTGCCATTTCTGGGTGACGGCACCGAGCTGCTCCTGCACCAGCTTCCCACTCGAGGGGTCCTGGTTGCCTGAGGAGCTCAGGATAGCGGAGGCAGCTTCCTCGAGTTGCTCGTATTGAGGTTTGCGGCTCTTAAATTCGTTCTGGAGGATCTGGAAGGCACAGATCAGTCAAGATGAACATTATTTCAGAAAGCCATAGGATAGTCTGGTTCTTAAAGGGACAGTTCACCCCAAAATCAAAAATTGATTTTTTTTTTCTCTTACCTGTAGTGCCATTTGTCAACCTAGATTGCTTTTGTGTGAGTTGCCGAGTGTTGGAAAGAAGCGTGCATCTACTCATGAACAAGAGGCTCGTGCTTGTGATGGCACAAGATGTAAACATTAATGGCTTTCCTCAGCTGAGCTCTAACATTAGCTAGCTCAGTGGTGCTAGGTGAGCTGGCAGTATATGCACGCTTCCTTCTGCGCGATGATATGGTTGGTGGGTGTAGTTCGGCAGTAAAAAAAATAGTTCCTACACAAAACTGCTTAAAACAAGGTCTGTGGCTCATCTTGAGTAACCAGGTCATGATTTCTGGAAAGAGACATTGCTGTTGAGTTTTTCAAATGTATTTTTTAGTGCTTTGAGCACCACAAGCCAAGTGCTGTCTAATTCCATTATATTGGAGAGCAGATAGACATCTCTACGGTTGATATCTCCAACACTCGGCAACTCACATCAAAACATTCTCGATAAATAGCACCATATGTAAGAGGAAAAATATTTTTGATTTTGGGGATACACAAGCCTCAGGTTATCCAACAACATGCACCATGCTTACCTGAACTTGTTGCTTCTGCATCTTAAGCATGTTGGGGTCTATGGAGAGGGGTCCGAGGACACTCATCATAAGCTCCTTCTCTGAGAGCCACTGACCAAGCTGCAGCTCAGTTGTTTGGAAGATGTCCAGGTTCTTGTTGGACTGCTCCAGGTGCTGCTTCCTCTCCTCTACAGAGCCGCTGATATCAGCCCAAGCAGCATCTGAACAGGGGGCAGAACAATCACACCAGTCTATATTAGTCAGCAAAACAGCACCTTTCTATCCACTGTCCTACTGTTCTGACAGCAAACCTGCCACTGTGCAGGACTTGGCATTATGAACGTGTTAATTTAACTGCTGTGGCAGAGAGCAGGTACTGAGACACGTTCTGTTGACATGTGCTGCATGTATGTTGTGGGTGGATGACTACATGAACACTACTGTACTAATACAGCTGGTCTAATGTCTCATATCATATATGTCATTTTGTAAAAGCCTTTACTCAAAGGCCAGTGCCATAATGAGATACATTTTTCATCAGCGGGATTCAGCATACCTCTGACAGTTTCAGTGACATAAATTACACAGGGCCAGCTGGAGACAACACCTTGGTGCATACCTATTTCTGCCAGCATCTGCTTCCACTTTGCTGCCTCAGGGGAGTTCGGATGAGTCTTAATCAAGTTGAGAAGCGTCTCTCTGAGCTTCTGGAGCTGCTCCTGCTTCTGCTTCATGTCATCCTCAAATGCCTGAGAGAATCAAAGAAATTATAAGCACTCAATCTTGTGATTCCCAACTTAAGTGTCATATGACTATCTCATTCACAGCAGAACAAATGGTTGCGGTTTCAGAACAGAGTTAAACAGACTACTGTACCTTCTGCTGTTCAAGCTGTGTTTTCACTGAATCTTTCTCTGTGGCTGCTTTGTTCCAGGATGCTGCAGTCTTTTTCATGTCCTTCAGCCAAGTCATCATGTTGTCCGTCTCCTTTTGGGCCTCTTTCACCTCCTGCACAGAACCACTCAGCTCTGCTGCTCGACTCTTCAGCGTTTCTCCCAGGCTCGCGTAACCCTCGTTGACGAATGACGTGTTCTGCTGAATTATCATCAGCTCTGAAGACATTAAACGTAATTCAATCATTTCTTACCAGGGGTTTATAGTCAGAGTGTCATCATGAGGTTATCATAACAGTTAGGCACACGTAATATAGTAGCTCTGTGGTACAGTATGTTCAGAATATGAGTGAGGAAAGTAGCAGCATTTGTGGAAATCATCAGCTAAATGATGAATTCAATAAAATACTGGGACTCATTCAAGAGCCGCTCATATGAACAGATGTAGGTAAGTCGCACATATAAGTGACTTAAGAGAACTTGTGCATTTACCAATACAAGTCATACAAGTCATGCACAAGTCATGTTAGTCTGACTTTCTCTGCAGGGGGGAAAACTGTTGTTTGACTGAAGAATTATAATGCCTTAATAAGAATAAATTTCGAGTTTAAATAACAATGAAATCAACAAAAATGGACATTTAAAAATAAAAAAAACTTCATATAAAATTAATATTTTGTTTACTGCATCAATGTGATGTGCATGATGTACTGCTACAAGTATGTATTTTGGCACAACTTCTGCAGGTCATCAGTGTCGCACTAATGAACTGCGCTCACACTCCAACAGCTGTCTCAGAATCCTTAAGCAGGTTATTGTCCAGGTGAGCATCCTCTGCTGCATCAATTATAACAGAGTGTATTCTCAGGAACATCTGCATAACCGCCCTAAGATATATTTGTGAATGAAACCTGCCAAAAAAAGGAGCAAAACTTGGAGTCCTGTATACTAGATATTTAGGGGCATTGAGTTTGCATATAATCAAATCTTAGCGACATCCATCTCGTCATAAACAGGTGGCATTCATCAGTTTAAAACGATTTTGTGCAACTACGAGCTGTTCTGTTGATTCCATTTGGAACAAGCCTCACAGCACAAAGCAAGAGAGGTATCAATGAATGTTCTTGCATGTGGCCTAACGAATATAGCTCCTATCTAATCTAATTATATGTCCTCCCTGTGTGTGTAAAGGGATGTTTGGCCCTTTAAATGTTGATTAATTTTTGAAAAAGCTCGATGGAAAATGATGAAATAACTCACTCCCTATGGAGCTGAGGTTTCATTGCTCAGTTGGGACACAGTAATATATTTGTTAGCTCTTCTGTAACTGTATTACTCATAATCTGAACATGCTGTTTCAGTCATCTCCAACAGTTGCTATTTGTTTGACACAGAGGCACCACAGCCATAGCAGAGTTTTCAAAAACCAGCCATTATACCTAAACAGCTCACCACAAACATTTAATTTCCACAGCAGCATCCACACACACACTTGTTTACCTTTATTGGTTAGGTAGGAATGGCTCGCTGGACCACCACCATTAGTAAGAGCTGATGCAAAGACATAAAGACAAAGCTTGTGTAAAGGACAGGCAGACTGTCTAGGATTGTTGGCACAAGATCTTTCCATGACCTCTAATGGTTAGTGAGTGTACAGTACTCAGAAGTGCACCCAAACACCATGCTTCCCATTCCACCCAATGATTCAAACACATGAGGTTAGGTGCGCTGATGTTTACCTGATTTGTTCGGGGTCTTTGTCTTGGCGGGGGATGTGAGGAACGTCATGAGGCTGCATAGCTCTGATCCTTTACTGTTCAGGTCTTGGACAGCAGGATCTTTGGATGTCCACTCATCTAATAAACCCTGAATAACCAGACAGGTAAATGGAGCGTTCCATTTTTAACACATAAAAGCAAAAGTTGATGTTTAAAAATTCACATGAGAGATGTGTGAAAAAAATTATAATTAAGTTCCTTTTATATTTTTGGCTTTTCACACTGGGTTTAGGATCTACTTCTGTGATCTTTCTGTAACATCTTAGTCTCTCTGCTGGACAACATAGTGTTTCACTCCCAGATCTGTCCTGTATAAACACATACCATCCATCTGTCATTAGTTGGCAGAGAAAGCAAGGCTGGGATGTTGGGGAGTTAAGGGAGGATGGGCCTCTAATCTATAAAAGCACACTTACATTTATCTATTGCAAAACACACAGACTCCTCCAGTGTGCCAGGTGCAAAGTGTAACACCAATGACTTCTGTTCCAGCACTTAAAGTGCAGTTAGACGTAATATATATGTGAATAACCACGATATTGTAACCCTAGTTCTGTTAGCACAGGCGGAGCCCTCTACTGGACTCTATGGGTAATTCTCTCCTCCAATCACGAGCATGCATTTGCCTACTGTAATTTGCATGAACACAGCCAGCCAATTAGGCAAGGCAAGGCTAGTTTATCTAAATAGCACATTTCATACCAACCCACTTTGGCAACCCAAAATTTATTATAGCCCAATCACAAAGCACGCCTCAGTAGCAGTTTGATCTATGAAGTCCAGTAACATAAATCACGATTAGCCTTAGAGGGCAGCACACAACACTCCTTTGTCCTTGTACCCTCATAGCTGATAAGGAGAAAGTCCCTGAAAAAATCCCTTTAAGGAGGAAAAAAATCAGGGCGTGCCCACACAAATATGTGTGGAACTCACAGTGTATATAGGAGCCATATGTCCTGTCATCACCCTACATCCTCCTCAGTGAACGGCATAGGAGCGCCAGGTCCCCTTAGTACAGGGCTTCACCAGTGCTAATAGAACTAGGGTTACAAGATCACAACCTTAGTTCTATCTCACACAGGCTCCGCCCTCTACTGGACTATATGAAGAGCCTGATGGATGACATAACATCAGCCCAGTCACACTAATTCTGACCAGCTAATGGTTAGTCGCCATGGAGAAAGCTGATCAGTGGTGTGACGACCCCTTCCACTCTGCCTGTCAGTTATCTTACTCTGCTGTTGTGTTTGCAGATGCTGGTGGGTGGAGCTGGGGGATCGTCTGGTCATACCTGCCCATCTGGGTGGGGCTCCCAGTAGGCATAAAGTGACTGCCTTCCTAGTCTAGCTGCTAAAGAATGAAAGGATGATAAGGATTCATATGCTTTATACTGTGGGTTCCACACATGTTTGGATAGGCACATCCTGATTGGCTAGCTACGTTTATGCAAATTTCAGTGGGCAAATGTGTGCTTGTGATTGGAGGAGAGTACTACCCAATAGAGATCATGTGTGAGATAAAACTGGAAAAGACTTTCTGTTTATCTCCTGACTCACATTGACTATCTGCAGGTCCTTTTCCAGACTCTTCACGCTGCAGCTCGGCTGAACCGCAGGCACTTTCTCATTGGTCTGCTCCAGCCACTTGGTGAGAGCGCTGGCTGCAGATCTGAACTCTTCCAGCTGGTCCTGACAGGATGATACCTCCTCTTCCCTGTGGTAGACAAGAATCAGTCATCATGCATCCATCTATACAGTATACAAACACAACTGTTAAGGAAAGAGGATGTTTAAGTGGAGATACGAAGACCTTATTTTAACCCTCCCCTGTCCAAACTTACTTTTCTTTGACGGTGTCTGTGAATGTGCTGAAAATATTCAAGAGACTGTCCATCTTGCCCTGGATCTGGGCTTTGTTTCCATCTGGGCTTATTTCAGACAGCTCCTTGGACAGGGTCTGCAGCTTCTCCAGATCACTGGCATGTTCAGCCATCTCAGCTTTAGTGGTCTACAATGAAATATATAATTGTCAGTCACTCTTTGCAGCATAAAATACATTTTTGGATGAAAACATCGCATTGGTTGCGTTACAGTTACCTGCATTAGCTGAGACAGTTCACTGAAAGTTTTCCCCGGCCCGTCTGTCTCGTGCAGATCTTGCGAACGCTTCACGACAAACTGCTGAACTTTATCTGCGACGTTCTCAAACTCTTCTACCTTGTCCTTCAGCTGCTCCAGCTGGGAGACTTTTTGCTTATGCTTGTCACATGCATCAGAGAATCGTTGGGAGAGGATGTCCATCTTAGACTGCAGACGCGCAGCAGCGGAGGGATCTGCCGTCTCCACAAACTTCTTCACCTTGGCTTTCATGGCTGAGATGCTGCTCTGTCGACTTGCTATGTCCTGCTCTAACGCCTTGAAAACACAGGAGGGAAAACTGTTTTAAAAGCTAAATAAAGTGAATATGGTAAAAAAGAATGAACCACTGAATGCATAAAATAATAGATGCAGGATCTAGTTAGTGGACGGCTGACATGCTGACAGGAATACATACCACTTCTTTGCTGAGGATGTCTCCAATGGATGCAGAGTCCAGGGGAATTTGTCCTTTCTCTTTCACACTGGCCTCCACTCCCTCCATCCATCCCATCATCTCATCCAAACCATCCTGGACACTCATGGAGCGAGTCAGGGTGATTTGCAGTTTCTCATTTCGATCACTTACAGACTTGGACAGGTTGTCGTAGCGCTCGACGATGTCATCTACAACGCAGGCAAACAAATCAGGTTGTGTTTAAAACTGAACAATTTCTCATTGTTTGGGGACACATTGTGAGATAAACATTTCAAACCAAAGCAGAAACTCATTTGACATTTATGGGTTTCTTGAGGCTAAAGATTATACTTGCTAAGATTTCGGTAGAGTAAATGCAGTTTTAATTGTAAGCCAAGAAACCAGTGTTTAGAGAGAAGTGATACAAATAAGACACATTAAAAGCCACATTTCACATTGAAAACCTGTTTAAATTTTAGAAATGGGATTGTGGACACTTGGAGAGTGTGCTTGCGTAACAACCTACCTAGTTACAAGCAACAAGCTGCAAGGCTAACATTTTGCAGAGCTATGAGATTAACTTTAAGATGCACTTTCTGGAAGCACATCTGCTCTGTCTCCCTCACTGAGAAATTCTAGATCTAGCATCTGCCCTGCTTGTGCTAGGTTGGGATCTTTAATTTTTGAAACAGTATTTCAATATCTGGCATCTTGCAATTTGCACATTAAAAGTCCTAATCCCATTATTTAAGTGTCAATGATAACACATAGTATCATTTAAACTCAGATATTCTGTGGAGGGTGCAAAATCTGCTCCCTGTTTTGATTTATTTCCCTCACCTACTGTCTCCTGGATGTCATCTGAGTTGCTCAGCAGGTCTCCTTCAGATGTTATCAAGGACTCAGCTGCTTTGCGTAGTGTGTCAATAGCAGTCTGATGTCCCGTCATCTGACCTTGCAGGGCCTGTGGATCAATACGCAAGAAGTGGAAGTCAGAGAAAATAAAAGCATCCACATAGGTAACAGTCCTCTGCTGACATTTATACTGTACTGTCAGATTATGTGTATAACTTTTGTAGTAGATTGCAGATAAAAAATGATGATGCACAAGACCGTCTGGACAGCATTTATGGAAATATTGAGTCATGCCACAGATATATCACAGATATATTTAGAAGTACCTGTCTGCCTCGAGTGTAACACTTAGAGAAAGGCTTAGGATTCTTTGCAGTGATTTGTAACTGAAGCTGAAACTACAGCTTTCCCTGGTTGGCCCACAGGCGCCTCTTATCTGGGCATATCAATGCCGAAAGTCACTACCTCCCTACAGAGAAATGTTTAAGCTAACTGCTGCCAAAAGCTTTGACAGAGACAGCATCGTTTCTTATCCTCCTGTAGGAGTACGCAGGCTACAAATAACCACAGTTAAACTATTCACATGTGGGCCTGAATTTGAACAGAGCTAAAAATAGCCATGCTGTACTTAAGTCAGTGGAAACACTGTATATGGTAAGGCAGGTCTGTCGTGCCATGACCTTCTAACCCAGTCGATGCTTTGAGTCCTGCACGTGTTATTTCTTAATAAAGCTATTCTTATTTCTTTACATCCATTATTCAAAACTTGACATCCATTAAAGGGATAGTTCCAATATTTTGAAGTGGGATTGTATGGGGAACTTATCCATAGCCAGTGTATTACCTACAGTAGTTGTCAGTCGGTGCACCCCAAGGTTTGAGAAGCAAACAGGAGTACCGCCACAGAGGCTAAGCAATGTACAGCTGTGGATGGGGGCAGCATTAAGACATATTTTAGACACCTAAAAAAAGTGTCTGCTATATTGACCTTATTGACATTTTCATCACTCACCTTGCAGCACTGAGTCCTTTCCAATGAGTAAGCCGTTAACATTTTCAGTTCCCCATTTATGCTCTCGTCAAAGCCACCAGACGCCATTGAGAAAAACAGTCATTTAAGCTCGCTGCACCCAGGAGCTGCTATTCTATTGCTGCCTCAACTAGTTAGCTTGTTTGCGCTATTGTGTGAGTTTAGTGAATCCGAACTAACCACTTTAAACGCCACAGGCACACAATTACACAAACTAACTGTTCAAGGCAGCGGTAGACCAGCAACTCCTGTATTCAGTGATGTTAAATTACTGTTTTTCTCAATAGAGTCTGGCTTTGAAGAGAGTGGCATAATTGCTTTAGTTCCCCATTGAAAATGATTGTCTGACAGTATGGTAAAGTGGTGAAAATATTCTAAATATAGTGCACACTTAAACTGATACTGATTTTTTTGCGGTGGGACCTTTTTTAAGTGGCTAACACATTTTGCTGCCGCCATACAGTGCTTAACTTCTGCGGCAGCACTCGTGCTTGCATCTCCAAACATCCGTTGTTGGTAATACACTGACTATGGATAAGTCCCTCATACAACCCCACTTCAAAAGATTTGAACTATCCCTTTAATATACAGATTGAGTTGATTAGAGTTGTAGTTTCCTACTTTGTGTTGCATTGTGTTGCTGCACAGAAATTTCCTTTGGGATAAGCAGTATAATATAACATCTTATCTTATCTTAAGGACACCATCTGACACATGAAAGACAGTTTTAAACATTAACTGTAACAATCTAATTTTCATCACTGTGATATGCATTCCATGGCAGTAAAACTCAAAAGGGCTTTTTCACATGACTTCTGTGTTGGCCTCAAGAATTATGGAGGCGTCACAGAAACATGAAAAAAAATGTACAACAAGATAAAAAAAAGGCAACAGTCTCTGAGCTTTGGACTTGTGCCTCAAGCCCGACAGCCATGATTTACAGTTTTCCTTGCCTTGGTCTCCTCCAGCTGTTTCTGTAGGGTTTGTGGGTCAGCTGCTATGGTCTCTGATTGATGCCGTCTCGCCTCCTCCTCCGAGCTGTTGAGCCACTTCAAAAGACCGGCGCTAGAGTCGTCATATTTCTTGTATTTGTCAACAACGTCTTTGAGGTTGTTGCCGAGCTGATTGCACTAAAAAAAGGACATTAAAATATACTGTATGAGTAATATGTATCATGAAAACAAATGATTAAGTGCACAGGTGCAATGTGTGAGGACAACAATTTAATGGGAAACAGTCACTTTCTCTGGCAGTTACTTTCACTGAAGTGTGACACCTTGTTTTCAAGACTAATGCTCCCACCCAGTGGCAAGAATAAATCACTGCAACCTCTTAAGCTCTGATTATCTGCAGACTAAATACCTGAGAATGTAGTGTTTTGTATCTGCTGGCTGCTGAATCCAACTTGTCCTTGACAGCAGAACAGGTTCCTGAAGTATCCACGTCCAGCAGAGCGTTCTTAGCTGCAGAGTTAGCCAACCCACAGGCGTTAGCCACATCCAGCACTTTCTGCCCCGACATGGTGATGAAGCGAAGGTCCCCTTTGTGGGAAATCACATCCTCTGAGAAGCTTTTCTGTCTCTGGAGTTTATCACTGAGGATATTAAGCGAGTCTGCAGGAGCACCCAGCTTCTCTATCTCTCCCTCCGCCTGGTCTAACCAGCCCTCGAACTCCTCGCAGTCACCCTGGAACTTCTTCAGCTCCTCCTGGACACACTGCACCTGCTTCATCTGCTGCTCGGCCTGCGTCAGCGAGGCCTCGTAGCGCCCCTTCAGCTCCTGGATGTTCTTCTGAAGTTTCTCCTTCTCCTCTGGGGACAGAACGTTAGCCTGCTTCTCGAGGAGAGCCTGAGCCGACTGGGTGGCCATGATCAGATCCTGCTGCTGGGACAGGATCTCCTGGTGACGGGCCTGTGGGAACAGTAAAGGCTTGAGGAAACAATACACAATTTATACTCATTTTATTCTCTACCATTTCTTGCTTTTTGTCTTTAGTGGCTTTAAATGCTGGTCTGCAGTATCAGCTTTAATATTCCAGTCCCTTGTCCCATTTCTTAATTTGCAAATTTCAAGTCTGCTAAATATTATTAAACTAAAGTGTTAGCAACTTTTTGACATATTACATAACCTGTATCTAGAGCACATTTCACAGTGGAATCTATCTCTTCATCTCCATCTCTTCTTCTTTGTCATTTCTTTGCTGCTTCTGTCTTTAGATTCAACTTTAGATTCATGCATGATGATCTGCCTCAAATAATGCCCTGGGATCTTTATTAACTAGTGCACTTTTGGTAAACAAAGTCAGTGCCTGAAAGAAAACTCCGACATGTAAGTATGGACTACTTCAGAGAATTCTCTCTCTCACGTTTAAGCAACAAACCAACTCTACCTTGACCCTGTCATACTGCTTATCGAGGTCCAGGGAGGCGTCTTTCTTCTCGCTACTTTCTCTGCCAAAATCGTTCTCAGTGGTCTGCAAAGCGTTTCCATTGGCATCGTCATCCTCTCCTATCAGTCCCATGGCTGACGTTTCTTCTGGCAGGTTTCCATTCTCTTTACTTATACGGTCACTTTGATCCAGAATCTTCTCGTTTTCATTCCCTATGTTGGATATCCAGTCAAGCAGATCTTCGATTTTGTTCTTACTTTCTTCAAGCCGCTCAACAGCTGCTGCCTGAAAAGACAGATGCATAAACATATTAACAAAACACTGAGTCCTGAACAAAATCCACACGCTACAATGCATTACATGGATACTACAAATGAGGTAATCTGAACTCTGACCTTTTCACTCTCCTGTTTTATGGCTGTGGTAACAACCTTCTCCAAATCTTTCCTGGACTCCTCAGCCCGCTGGTTGATGAGCTTGGCTTTGCTCTTAGCCTCTTCCAACTTGCTCTCGATGACGGCGATTTGATCGGGCATCAACTTGCTCCGGTTTTCATCCAGAAACTTTTTAGTGCTGCTGATGACCTCATTCAAGGCACTGGCATTAGTCAATACGTCTTTTTGCAGAGCCTTAGGATCAGGGAGAAATAAGAACAGACATGGTTGGATTACTGAGCGGGCCTACAGGGCACAGGCCCAGGGGCCCAAAATGTTCAGGGCCCCCGGCCTTCACCTACAAAATGTCACACAAATTAACAAGTATTGGCCAGGATGAGACTCAAAGGACTACAAAGAGATTCAAAGGAACTACAAAGAGGCACAAAATGACAAAAAAGACATAAGTAAACCTCAAAGAGAAACAATTCAACTTTTAAAGAGACACAAAATGATACTAAATACATGCAAAGGAACCACAGTGACAAAAAACGACCACAAAGAGAAACAAAATGACGAAAAGACACAACTATACCTCATAGAGACACAAAACATCTACAGAGAGATATAAAGGAAGTACAAAAACACGCAAACTGACTACAAATAGATCAAAAACAACTTCAAAGAGAAGGAAAATTACCAAGAAAGACATACAATGTTCCCTATGAGACACAAAATGACAACAAAGAAACACAAAACAACCACGAGGACACACAACATTACCACAAAGAGACACAAAACTACAAAAAGATGCTCACAACTACAACAAGACACAAAACAACAACATTGAAAAGAAGTAAAACAGCACAAAATCTGTGTGTCTTGCTCCTGTGTAGGAAATGTGGTGGGCCGTTTGCATGCCTGTGTCCAGGGGCCCATTGTCTCATAATCCACCCATTGGAATGGACGCAATAAAAACTTGGACACACACACACTATGCTACTTAAAAGCAAAGGAACTGTATTTCAAACCTGGTGCTCCTGCTGGTACTGCTGCAGGTCTGTCACACTCTCAGCATTCTCAGCCTGTTGCTGATGACCAATCAGCTGGTTTTCTGTCAGGGTGAGATTGTCACACACTTCCTCCAACTTCTCTGTAAACGCCTTGTGTTTCTCCAACAAAGACTGCCAAACAGGAATTAAAAAGACACCAGTAAATATCACAACATGAGGCTGTCATTAAACACATTCACATCCTCACGCCATATAACAGTGACATGAAACAAAACCCTACAGCAGCTGCACAAAGGGTTATTCCTATGGTGTGAACAGCCCAGTCAATATTTGGCAACACAAACATCAAAACAAGGGACAAGAAATTACTCAAGCACTTAAAGGTTACATGCAAAATCAGCTTTAGGATACATTTCATATCATCATAACAGTGTAAAAATCTAGTATGCTGTAAACATGCTGTCTTGTCATTCGCTGCTTTGGTCTCGTGATGGTAATAAGAACATTATGTTTGGTGTGTTAATGGGGTCGTTGTGGGTGAACGTTTTCCAATAGAGAAGGTGCATTTTGTCCACTGTTAATCATTCACTGGTGTCTTGAAGGCCTGCAGGATACAACCAGCACACAGAGTTAGTCTGCAGGAGCGATCGGGCACTTGAGCATGCAGCGTTGTTATTTTTCCTAAACATTTAGACATCACAGTAGAAGCTCCTAAATCTGAATCCTGGAAACAAAAGCCAGTACTCAATACAATAATGAGAAACCACATTATGTTAAATGTCTTGTCATAAATCACTTGTCACAATCCACAAATAATACTACCAATGTTTAAATTGTACCATGGCTTACACAGCCCGCTCTACATGCGCTGAAAGCATTCGTTATTACTCAGCAAACAAAACATGTATACACAGCTATCTGTCTATCCACAGGCAGACCTTCTCCTGGCTCTCCCTCTCCCTGGTGTCCAGTAGGACATCTAAGGCGCTCCTTTGGGTAACAAGCTTCTCTGTCTGGTCCCTGAACGCTCGCTGTGTGGTGCTGAGGAACTTTAGGAGGTAGCTGCTCTGAGCTGGACTTAGGAACTGAGCGTGCTCAGAAATAAAGCACTGGATATCAAACGTGACATCCTCTAACTTGAGCTTGGCTTCTTTTTGCAGACTGCTCTCCGAGTCCTGGAAGGAAAGATGGAAACATGCGGAGTAAGTTTCTGTAGTCGCTGTAAATACTGGATGGTTTTAATTAAATGTATTTATAGATACCCTGTTCTGCTGAATCAAGTGTTTCAGTGCGTCCGCATCACATGGATTCAAATCCATGTCACATGTCTCAGAGCTGTTTTGGATGAGGGCTGCAAGTTCATCAAGATCACTGAGGTGTTTCAGGTATGTTGATTCCAACTGTGCCTGAAATCACATTTGAAGTAGTCAATGGCTGATGCAACTGTTACATCATGTGAATTACTAGAAGTGAGCACTGACCTTTCCTGTTTTCATTGCTTGAATTAGGGAGTGACTCCTCTCTGCACACATTTGGGAAACAGCAGTAAAGTTTGGCTCTAAATCCAGATATGTCGAGGCCAAGTCTTGGTGGATTTGTATGGGAATGTGCTCATCAGCAGAATTTAAGAGCTGTTTGGCTTTTTCCATATCTACTGTTATAACACCCCCCAGTCTAGAAAGGTGGGACTCGAGAGACTGGACCAAAAAAAAAATAAAAAAATGTCAGGAACTAATGCGTTAAGTTAAAAACTGAGAAGAAATAATATTGTTTAATATTGTTATTTTCTAACCTGAAAATCCTCTGATTGGATCTGCAGCTCTTCCATGTTGCTACTCACAGGTGTCAGGATTAAAATTTCTTTTCTGACGTCTTCTAAAACATCAGCGTGGTCTTGCAGTCTCCCAACACACTCCAAATAATCCTGGATGGAGAACAGCTGTGGGAAAGGAAAACACAAAACAAAAGTGGAGAAGATGTTACTTGTGTCACAAACTGAGGGACGTGGCTATCTTAAAGAAATACTTCATCCCCCAAATGACGATTTGCTCACCACTTGTTGCGTTAAATTTGTGTAGAAAACTTTCTTCTTGCATGCCTCTATAGGGAACCCAGAATCCAAATACACAGGGAATTCTTAAGTAAAGGGGGGCTGCGTTTAACAACAGCAAAACTATGCTCAGTACTTCCCAAAACACAGACAGCCCTTTCCGATGGGGAACTGCATTAATAAAGCTTATCTATGGTCTCATCAAAGCCAGACCCCATTAACGATAACAGTAATTTTACCTCGTTCACAAGAAAAACAGTTTTCAAATTAAATGTATCATAGGATGAATAATTGATGTACAAAAGATCATACAGGAGGTGAAGTATTCCCTTAACACAGAAACAACATAAAATCAAATGTACCTTTTTTTTCACCTCCTCAACTTTGCAGGCATCTGAGCTGCCAGACAACTGAGCGGACGTTTGGTGACTGCCTGCTGCAGAGCGACAGAGACCCTCATCTTCCTCTGCTGAACCCTCATCTTCTCCCTCTGAACTCTCCTCCTTGATGCTCTCCAGTGTGTGCCGCCGCTCCTCCTGAAAGCCAGCGCCCAGAGAGTCGCCCCCCAGAGCACTGTTCAGGGTGTCCATCACTTCCTGAAGCACTGAAAGGTCTTGGCTCGTGGAGACAGTCTTAAGAACCTGCAGCAGCTGCAGCTGGATGTTTGGAGCATCGGACTTCTCTGTCTTTTCTTCGACTTTCTCTTCCTGCATTATCAGTTCTGAGCTTCCTGTTTCTTTGGTCTTTACACTGAGGGCGTTTTGCTTCAGCAAATCCATGAGAAGGTCTGGGTGACTGCTCTCTATAAGTCCATGAGCTGTGTCTTCGTCATGACAACCACCTTCGTCTAAGGGTTGTTGAGTATTCTGAACGACTGCAATGGTGCTTTCAATGTCTCCAGTTTGTGCCTTTTGCAAATCACTGACATCAGCCCCTTTTGTTACCATTTCCCCCTCGTCATCCACACCTGTCCTTACAGCATTAGAAAACACTGATGAATCTGAAGAGGTAGCATCAGATGTAATGCAGCTCTCTGACAGGAAGTCAACCTGGGGACGCTCAGAAGCACACACATCTAATCTTTTTTCCTCTAGCACAATATCAGATCCAAACTCTACTCCTGTTATAGCTTCAGACTTTCCTGACACATTTCTACCAATATCTGCATTTTCCGTATCACTTGTCTCTACTCTGTCTACTGTCTGTGCATTTCTTGACACAAACATCTCTTCAGTGTCTCTGGTGACTGTGCAAATGTCCTCATGTTGCCTCTCTGTGCTTAACTCAACACCCTCTGCAGCACTGTGCTGTGAGCCTGACAAATCTTCATCAGCCAGCTCTGTTTCAAGTGAAACTCTGATGGTAGTTGGAGTGTCGCGCTCTGAATCTCCTCCATCAAAACACTTAAGATTGATAGTGTTTGTTGCGGTGACTTCATCGGAAACAACGGGCGACTGTGGAGATCTCTCACCAACAAGCACTCTCTGACCATTTGGAGAGCAGCTGGGCTCAGATCCAACACTAAAATCACTTTCTGAATGAAGCGCTGCTCGCTGAGGTAATGCGATTCTGCTGCCATCTTCTGTAATGTTGCTGTCATAGTTACCATTACCCCTGGATTCTGAGATGACTGCACCTTTGACTGACTCCCTGGGCGATGAGTAATCTGTATTTGGAGTTGGCTCGCCGTCCAAAGGTGACTGAACTGCACTCCTGTCATTTTCCGTTGTGCTCTCCTCAGTCAACGCATTACCATGTGATGAGGACACGTCTAAGTCACTCTCACTAAATGTCTGATTTCCCACTTGGGCATCATATCCAGCAATGGGGAAATCATTATCGGTGGGTGAGCTGTCAGATTTAGAGTGATTAATAGAGGTGGTGTGTTGAGTCTGGCTTTCTGGATCAGTGGAGGTTCTGTCACTCAAACTAGATGGATGTGGCGGTGTAGTTGAAGCAGAGTTTTCTCCAACAATAGCCGTTTCTGTCAGGCAGCTATTGATTCCACCCTGTGAGTCACTGTCTTCAGACTGTAAAGGTGATTTGTCAACGTGATGAATAGACAGAGCAGTCACCGAACTCCGTGAGGAGGGTGAGATCATCAGAGACTCGTGGCCACTAACTGCAGCAGGGGAATGATGTAGGCAATTACTCATCTCTCCTACATTTCCTGTTGTCTCACAATCTACCTTTGTATCTCCATTCTCGCTGTCTGTCTCTCTGTTATTAGCGTCCTCGCTGGTCAGATCGAGCACCATGACAGCAACCCTCCTCTCAGTCTGCGTGGTTTCAGCTTCATTATTAATTAAACGCAGATCATGATCGTAGGAGACAGAGTGAGTGCAGTTGTCTTCTGGGTATATGCTGGCTTCAGGCTCTAAATAGACATGTTCAATCTCAGACTGACTTACACTAATGGTGCAACCAGACCTCAATAGGCTCTGCTGTTCCATTACACGGAGAGCAATATTTGAGGATATGGATCCATTTGACACAGACATTGTGTCCTCTTCACTTCCTGCAACACTTCCTTTTTCATCTGACTGTAGGTCAAGTATTTTCAGTACTGTTGTCTCATCGACTATGCCCTGACTGAGAGCTGCCTCCAGGTCATAATGGCTCCCTAAGGGGACATCTACCCCTTCATCCATTTGTGCTTTGAGTAGATGAATAGCAGCACCTCGTTCATTTTCACTCTCCATGTCCTCAGAGCATAAAAACTCATCTTGGGTCATATCTGTACCTTCTTTATCACTACAAAGTGACTCCACATCGTAGTATGGTAGTGTTTGACGGCTGGAATTTACTGGAGACTCAGAGTCGAACATCCTTGACGGTGAGCTAATATTTGTTTTGTTTACAGGGCACGAAGTGTGAAGGACTGACGTCACTGGAAAATATGAAAGATCTTCACTACCATCACCTCCGACATCAATCTGGGAACTATTCCTGCAAATTCTGTCAGCAAATTCATCTGATTTTGTCCAATTTGTGTTGTTTTGACACATGATGTCCTCCGCTACACCAGACTGTGTAGCGTCCATGTCAATGTCATCATCTACTAAAAATTCCTGTTTTAGAGCCTCTTCATTTGCGTATGTTTTCTCACCAAAGCTAATTCTTCCATTTTCTGATGAAATAAAATATTGAGGATCAAATGTGTGTTGCGTGTATTCCATTAATTCCTCTTCTTCCTCATTTATGTGCAGCTGTATCTCTAAATCATCCTCTTCTGAAAGATCACTGACATTTAAAGTCAGGGAAGTTACATTTTTCTCAGTGTTTTCAGAAAATATTGGGTCTTCAAGAAACATTTTAATCATTTTACTCATCTGTTTATCAAGAATCAGGACCCTCTGCCCTGACTCAGGATCTAAATAACTGTTTAACATCAGGTAGGAGATGAACAGCTGCTTTGCTTCTGCTTCAGTAGGGATGTTATCAACTTTTAAGCAGCTTGCAGCATGATGGCATCCATCAACTACGAGTTTTTTGTACATAAGCCAAGATGAAAACTTCTCATTAAGGTGATCAGCGTCAGGAAACACATCAGGAATTTCCACAGATTTCAAAATATCCGCTGTGTAAGTGTCAATCAAACCGTTTTGAACGGCGGAGCTGATGTCTACCACCTCTGACATTTCTGGAATGTAAAAAGCTGCTATCTTTTCCCGATTAGTGAACAGAGTGCTGGTGAACTCGTCTGTAGTGATTTGTTGGTCGTACTGAAATGAGGTGGACACAGTGTGGATGCCACCAGAAGGAGGCAACACGAGTCCAATAAAGTGCTGCTGATTTTCAAGCACAATGAGCGTGCTGCTGGATCTCATCAAATCACATTGAACTGCTGCATCAACCTTTAGCCTATCTCTCATAACATCCTCTGACCCTGCCTCCTGATCACTTAAACCATGACAAAAAGACCTCAGAGTGTTAATACCCCTCCCTGATGTCAGTGATTTATTCTGGCTGAGGCACTTTAATATCAGTCTGTTGACCTCATGGGGTTCAACGTCCTGCACGGGCTGTTCGGCACCACTGGGATTCATCATATCCTGACAGGTCTTTTGCTCCTGAAGAATCTCTGCATAGACAGAAGCAGGTATCAAACCACTCTGGAAAGCCCTCTCCAGGGTCAGTGTGTCCCCTGTGTAGCACACCTCCAATCCATCACCAACTTCTTTGACCTCGATCATCTTGATGATCAGGTCTTCGCACGTGGCTCCTTCCCTCGCTGCTGCTATGTCAGAGAGCGACACAGAGGAGGCATGGGAACTCTCTACACACTTGCTGTCTTCCTTTAACTTTGGCAAGCAGTTCAGGTTGGATTTATAAACGAGATCTTGTGTGAAAGCGTCGTCCCAGTCCAGACAGACACGCGGCTCAGGCAGGAAGAGGTTGAAGGTCACAGGTTTGACCCCAGTCATCTGATCGATCGGGCCACTCATGGGTCCAGTCCCGAGCCTCACATCACTGGATTTTAAATCCTAAAAAAATATAAATTAAACAAATTACTGAACTGATTTCAGCATAAAAATCTGTATAATCAATTGTGTGCCGAGTATTCAAAGCAAGACAAAATGTGTACTCACCACCAGACAAACATGGGCATGTTAAAACATCATGTGCACAAGTGCAAGACTGCATCAGGGTTGCAACAGGAGAGCGACGGATAATACATTTAAAGCTATCATGCATCTGGGAATGCAGTGTCCAGCATCTTGCAAAAAGAGGGTAGTTAGTCACATCACATACTGTAGGTAAAGGGTTACGTGTCATATCTGTTATCCATATTAACAGTGGTGAAATGTCAGACCTCAGCTGGGCGACACTAAACATGTTTACAGCATACTCTGATTTTCTGGGCTTCAACTGTATAAATTCAGTTTTCACTCCCTAATGTAAGAGACTAAAAAGAGAGGAACAAAAGACAGCTGCTCACACTGTACTAAGGAGGAGAGGAAAAAGGTTAGTCATGCAGTTGAACATCAGGTGGCACTGTTTTCTAACACATCAGAAGACACAAACGCAAACCACTCAATAGAAGTAACAGCGTAGTGTCCAACCTCTTCTGCAGAGGTTGTCTGATCTGAGCAGTGCTGGGAGAGTTCACTGTAGGCCTGATTGAGCGCCTTCAGCTGCTCCTGAGCCTTTTCTCGTTCCTCTTCTGTCATTCTGAAAGACATAACACACAGAATGAGGCTGTGACTGTAAACAGTGGAAACAGTATTGTGGATGTTAGTCACAGGAGCTCGACCTACTTGTCACTGTGTTTGTTCAGCATCATCTGTGTGGCTCTCAGTGCTTCTGCAATTTGTTCCTTCTTAGTGACCATTTCCTCCACTGACACCTACAACATCAAACAGTGGCATATTAATACTTTATATGTAGTGAAATTATTCCTCTTTACTTCACAGGACTAATCATCATAAAATATTGCACACACACTTGTGCTGTTTTGAAAGATAAATTTACATTTTTCCATTGACTAATTTCTATAAAATATATTAATTACTGAATAAAGACATGCTGTGCACTCCAGTGACTAGATTCAGTGTAAATCTCCCTACAAAATAATGCCATCCAACAAACAGCTATGTAATAAATATTAACTTTGTCAAACTTAAAAGTTCAGTACGTGTCACATGTGACTCTATGGTCATTTTCAGGCTGTTATTTGTGGTATGATTTATGCATTACTTATTCAGTCCCTTACATGGAGGGACAGAATATTAGAAACACGTTAGGAGAGGCAGTTTCATAACTTGGAAAAAATTTAAGGCGAAAAAAGGGTAGTCCAAAGCTATCATTATTACATTGTTATTGTTGGAATTGGAATTGTATTTCTGTGTTTGTTTGCATAATGCAAAAGAAAATGTAAATAATAAACAAAAGAATTAAAATAAAATAAAAAATAAATAAATTAAATTAAATTAAATTAAACTAAATAATAACATAAAAACAATTTATCAAACAGGCCTCACTGACATATTTTTATGTGTCCTAAAATCATAAAAAAAAAAATCTAATGATAACAATCAAACATCTTATTTATATTGCTGCATTGTATTTCAACTAAGGTTGTCATATTTACAAAAATAAATAAATAAATAATGTTAGTGTAATGTTATTGCTCGTGGCCCAGATGACAGCACAACTGCTTACATATACAGTGTGCTTTTTAAACCGTTTATTGTACACAGTTCAACTCATCTCTAATCACTGATCTGAACTGGCCACAGAGATATAAAACAACCTCTACATAAAAAGCAACATGTAAAACAAGTCTCTAATTCTCTCATTTTTGGTTACTGTTATGCTCTTGTTTTAAGTGACTACAGTAAATGAGTAATGATTCCTGTAATTCATCCAGCTTCCTGTAATTCATCCAGCTTTTCTCTTTCCTATTTTCTTACATTACATAAACCATCAATGATTGACAACCCATCCCTTGTGAATCACCAAACAGCTTCTCAGCACTATTCTATCACTTTTACAACACTATGTGAAATACAGTACACTTAAGGGACATTTCAAATTTCTCTCAAATTCCAATTTAATAATGTCAGCTTTGGACCGTCTGTATACTACACCATGTTTCAGTGTTAACCCAGGGGCATAAATCTGAAATGTATTTGATATTTTATTAATAACCTGTTGGGCTGATTCAATTTATTAGTCACTGACGTTCTGAAATGTGAGTGCTTGTGCGACTTATACATTTGGTGGTACTGAATCAGTTGGAGGTGACTGATATTACCAAAAATATCTTGAAATCCATGTAAGTCATGCTTTTGTGTGATAAGATAAAGTAATAACGCCCACTACCTATTATGTGAAATATATGGATTACATGAATCAGAAAGTAAAACAGTGTGTTTTTATTAGAACTCAAACACTGTGACAGCAAAAAGGCTGCAATATCATTTTGAATAGAAAAATACTCTTCACCATTAAACCAAAGCATCTCTAATGTACAACAAATATGTGGCAGGATATTAAAACACCAGAAAACACCACAACAGTACATACTATATTATTTACCTGGGGCTTATTAGAAGTGTCTGTGTTGGCATTGCTATCTGTCAGAGCATTCGTGGCATTGTTCGGGGTCTGTTTCACATTGGACATCCAGTGCAACAGTTTGCTAACTTTATCACCATGCTCTCTCTTCTCCTCATCAACAGATCTCTACAATTTAAACAGATGGGTTTTTGACAAGATGGTTAACTTTGTTACAAAAAACACTGGAGCAAGGAATCCTAAAAGGAAAGGGGCATTGCAAAAATACATTTACAATCAGACTAAAAACAACAAAGCTCAAGAACTAGTGTTAGTTGCATCAACCACTGTGTTAAAATGTATAAACCAAAACAAAAAGACATTCAATAGTTAAGTCGCTGTAACTTTGCAGCCAAATACAAAACCACAGGAATTTGCTGCTGTTGTTTTTATGCTATGGACAAGCATATATTTACAAATGCTTATTACTTATACGCCCAAACATAATGAAATGTTGATTTGGCTCCAAACCCATGACTTTTTGTCGCCTCTAGTAACCTTAACCCCGTGTGGCAGTCGTACACGCTCCTTTCAAGTGCCTCCCTGAACGTGATTCTTCTCTTGGTCTTTGGACAGGTGAGGCTTTTGGTGTGGAACCTCTCATCTTTAAGTGCAGAGGCCGTCACTTTGTCAACAAGGCCGCTCTGAATGACTTCTTCGAGTGAGACTCTATCGTGAGTGTCAGGGCTTATCAGTCCCCCAGTCAGGAGCTGGAATTCGATACAGCGAAAACCGACATCCTTTGGGAGGAGATTTTCTTGAATAGCCTGGGAGATGGACAAAGTCTTTGAAGTCTTGGGGTGAAGGATGCCGTTAAATAACTGCTCAAACTGTTGGAGCTGTTGATTCAATGCCTCATCTAAAAGACCTCTTTTGAGAGCCTCAGCAAGACCAACTTTCTCCCCTGAAGAAGGGTCGCAAATACCTCCAGTGCAGGCCTGAGCCTCCAACAGCCTTAAGGCAGAGATTCTGTCAGTAAAGCCCTGTTGAAACCCCTGAAGCACAGAGAGCCTCTTCCTCCGCGTGACGTCCCAGAGACCAGCAATGGGGCTGTTGATATCTTCCACAACGACCATCCTTGAAAATATGATGTCTGCAATCTCATAGATGCTAAGATCCCCACTGCCGTAGCTTTCAAGCTCGGATATTTCAAGAAACCTCTGACTGAGAGCAGACTCTAGACAAAGCTGTCGGCCACCTTTGACATCGGCAATGATGTGAACTGTGTTTCCACTGGCGTCAGAGGTGGACTTTTCTTGCCATTCACTCTCCTGCTGTGACAGAAACAGATACGTCCTCTTGTCAATGTGTCTCGCCTTGAATGCCTCATACGCTGACATTTCAATGCCGCTGCTGCTGCTGACAACAGACATTCTGTGAGAACTCGTGGGCGAGGTGTTTGTGAGATGCTTCTCACCGAACGGGAAGAGAAACACACCACCATCAATGTCATAAAGGCACTCCTTCAGTATATCAGAGTAGTATGCTTTCAGTCCACTGTCGGGGTTGTGGAAACCTTTGGGGTTACTGACTGGATCGTACAGACCCTGTAGAGTCTCCTTGTTTAACAGACCCTGATCAACAGCAATGCTAACTGGCACCCTGACACCAATCTCTGGGTTGATCAGCCCTCCAGTGGCTACCTGGATCTCAAGAATCTTCTTGCCTTTGTATCTATCAAGAACTCTTTCCTGCATTGCCTGAAACACAGACAGCTTTTTGCCTGCATGGATGTAGCCGCTAACAGCTTTCTCTGCCTCTATCAGTTTATCTTTCAGGCCTGTCTCTACAATACCTCTCTCCAGAGCCTCCGCAACTGAGTATGTTTGCCCTGTGGACAGATCTGTAAGGCTTCCTGTTGCAGCCTGAGCCTCCAGAAACTCAACAGCGTACGTCTTTGCTAAGAAGCCCTTTTCAGCAGCTTCTAGGAAGGATATCTTTTTCTTACTTGACTCCACGTAAACTCCAGCAATAGCAGTTGGTTTGCCAGTGTACTGAGCGAGCGATGCTTGCAACTCTTCCATTGTGATGTGACCCATCTCAAACTCACGCCAAACCTCTTCATCCAGGAGCTTGTACTTGATTAAGGTTTGAATACTTGTGCTGCTTTTGAGTTCTGGGAGCTTTTGTGAAGTTGAATATATCGCACTCAGTTTCCCCTCGCTGTCTGATGTGTTTACAGTTTCACGTAGTTCTTTGATCTGATACATTCTTGTCTTAATGATGCTACGTGTGTCACCAGGCTGTTGGTCAGTGAGTCCACACAAGGCCATGTATCCATGTGTCGTCACAGCCATGGGCTCATCAGGTTTGATTTGGCTCTTATAGGTCACACTTTGCACGTCTTTTTGTAGGAGAGAGGGAGTTTGGTCAGTAGAGCTATTCAAGATATTCTTTGTTGGCGAATCGTGGATGCTTTGGCTGTGAGTGACTTCCATTTTATCTTGTTTGACTTGTTTCACTCCAGTGTTTTCTTTCTCCATTGTTGCCATCTGTAGATGTGACATTGGAAGAACTTTTAAGTAACGGAAGGCTATACTTCACTGTTTCTGATAGCTACAATTGCTACATAGATATTGTAATAAATAGAAAAACAAGCAATTTGTAAAACTATATTACATTTTATAAATATAATACTGTGCTGTGGTAATGTTGAACTAACTTCATCCATACCTCTGAGGACACTTTCATTTTGAGAATCTCGTCCTCCAGGTTGCACTTTGCACACTCATATGAGGGCGCCATCTTCTGCCTCGCCGTGTGTTCTGTCTTCAACAAAGCCGTCTCGTTGTCCTTGACATATTGACGACTGGTTTCAATGATTTCCTGTTTGTTTATCCTCTGGTTTTCAGTCTTCATCCTCACCTCGAGCGTCAAAAGCTTCTCCTGAAGAGTTTTCACCTCTTTGACGTACGACTCGATTTGGTCCCGGAGAGATCTCGCTTCTTTTTCCCTCAGTGTCAGTTTCCACTCACTATCTGTCACCCTGGCTGCCTCGTTTGACTTTTCATTGCAGAGGCTTTGTAGAGCGCTTACTTTCGTGTTGAGTCTAAGTCTGTCTTCCTCAAGTAGGGCAATTTGTGATTTTGCCTTTGAGAGGTCATGTTCGAGCTTTGTTCTTTCTTGCTGCAGTTTGTCCAGTTTGATCTGCTGCTGCAGCAGTTGATCGGATTGTGGCTTTGTCTCCACAATGGTGTGATGTACTGTTTTTATCTCTTTGACTTCTTGTTTGAAATACTTGTTCAGCATCTCTGCTAACTCTGTTCTATGTTTTGACTTCCCACTTTCACTTGATATTTCAGACTGTAGTAAAATAAGTTTTTTCTCTATTTCAGTCTTCACTAGCAACAACTGCCTCTCATAGCCCTCTTTTTGAAGTTCTAGTTTACTCTTCAACTCCTCTAGCATTTTCTTGCACTTCTCAAGTTGCTCTTCCATCTGCTGGGACCTCTGCTGAAGTACAGAGTTTTCTTTCTGCTTTAGTTCAGCCTCTGTTTGGGCGCGCTGCAGCTTTTCTTTCAGCATTCTGACTTCAGATCCCAATGTGATGCTTTTCTCTAGCACCTCAGCTTTCTCTTTCTTAAGGATCGTATTTTCATGTTGCAGATTTGATCGGGATTTGTCAGAATTCGACGCCACTTCTTTCATCGCTGCTTTATTTTTCTGAAGCTCAGTCTCCATCTGCAATATTTTTGATTCTTTGGCTTTCCGCTCTCTGGTCTCTTTCAGCAATTCATCTTTAGTTCTTTGTAAGGAAGAGTTGAGCTCTGAGATTTTAGCATTTAAGCTCTCTATCTTCCTGTCTGTTGCTCTCTTGTCGTTCTGAAGAGAATACATCTCCTGCTTTAGGGTTTCTGTCATTTTCTCCGAGCTGCTAGTTAACCCTATAATGTTGTGCTTATGTTTGAAAAGCTCATCTTCTAATGCCTTGACTTTATTGAGATGTTTTTGGCTCTCTACAGTTTCTTTTTGCAGTTCTGCATTTCTTTTCTTTAGCATTGTGTTCAGATCATTAATTTCAGCATTTTGCCTTTGGATCTTTTCATTTGCAGTATTTTGCTCAGCAAACGCTGACTTCAGCTCTGATTTCAGGGCTGTTACTTCTTTCTCGTAATTGTTAATTTTTGAATTTAGTATTACGATTTTCTGCTGAAGTTCGGTCATTTTCCTCACCTCCTCACTGTAATCCTGCAGTTTCATTTGAAGCTCATGGGAGGTCTGAGATTTCTTATTTAGCTCCTCCTCAATGATTTTAACCTGCGATTTGGTGCCCTCCGCCTGTGACTTAAAGATTTCAATTTGCTGATCCTTGCTGTCGATTTCCGCCGTCACCTGATCGAGTTTAGCTTTTACGTTCTTCAGATTCTTTTCCATCTCTGTATTTATCTGTTTCAACTCATCTACCCTTTTCTGCAACTGAGAAGTGAGTAATTCACTTTTTTGAAGTTCTGTTTTGAGGTTTTTACACTGAAGCTGCGACGCCTGCTCAGATCTCTTTATTAAGTTGTTTTCGTCCTTAACTGTCTGAAGCTGCTGTTTCCAGCTCTCTAACTCACTCTTTAAAGACTTGATCTTTTGTTCAGAAAATGATCTGTCTTTTTCCAGTGACTCTGCTTGGATCTGCAGACCTCTAATATCACTGTCAGACGAGGCATTTATCCTTGTCAGCTCGTCGCATTTGAACTTCAGCTGATCTACTACTGCTTGCTTGGAAGCTACCTCTTCTTCTAAGTTGTTAATCTTGTGAATGTTTTCCTGCTCCATGGAGTTTTTCTTTTGCAGCTCTCCTTGGGTGATCTTCAGCTGCTCTTTCAGGCCTTCGACTTCAGTGCTTTGGAAAAAGGCGTTTTGTTCCAAGGAGGATTTTGCTCTTTGGAGAGATCTGATTTCCTCTTGAAGTTCATTGATTGATTTCTTCTGGATCAGTGCTTCCTGCTGGAGATCCTCCGATTTCTGCCTCATGTTGTTTCTGTCAGTCTCCATGTCCATCTGAAGTTTCTTCAGTCTGTTGTTGCTGTCATCCAACAGCTTTTTATAACCTTGTGCTTTCTCCTCAGCCACCTCTGCCCTTTTCTGGATCAGGACTAGTTCCTCTACTTTCTGTTGCAGGGCATCCGCCATCATTTTCTCATTTTCTCTGACTGCAGCTATCTCGCGCTCACTGTCGACCTTCAGCTGTCTTTCTACTGCCAAAAGCTGCTGAGCCAGATCCTTTACTTCAACCTGAACACTTTGCACTTGTTCCTCAATAACCTCCTCCACCTTTATCTTTCTCTGAAGTTTGGGGCTCTGTGTAAGATCTTGGCCATCATTAGTTTTCTTTAAGAGCTCCTCGAGTTTCTTCTGAGCCACTGACCACTTGGCCTCGGCCTGCTCAACTAACTGTTTGGTGTGACTTAATTCCTCCTCGCTGGCAGCTTTGTCTTTCACCGCTATTTCTAACTTGGTGCGATACTGATTAATGTCGTGCTCCAGCTGTGATTTCTGGAAGGACAGATCATCAATCGTCTTCTCTTGAGTCTCTATATCTCCTTCCAACTTCTCCAGCTGTGCTTGTCTTTCAACCAGCAGAGCCTCCTGTTCCTGGACCCGTTGTTTAAGTTGACTAATCTCTAATTCCCCTGCAGCTTTTTGGAGCTCCGCGCTCTCTGTCCATTTTGTATTCTCTGCTCTCTCAAAAGCCTTTCTGGTCTATAATGCAAAAAAATTAGTCATCCACTGTTTCACTTTAAATTAGAAATTGTAAAATAAATTGCATGAATGTTTTACGTCTTACAGTCTCTCCAGGAATTTGCAAATTCAAGACTGTGTGATTTTTGAGTTAGTCAGAAATGTTATGGAGCTTTAAAACTCACATTTAACAACAATATGTGAGCTTGATTGTAGATGATCTTAAAGGGATAGTTGGAATCTTTTGGAGTGGAATTGTATGAGGTACTTATCCATAGTCAGTGTATAACATACAGTAGATTTAGTCTTCACACCCCCGGTTTGGAGTAACAGGCTGGAGTCTGACATGGAGGTGTGGTGCAGCAACAAAACATTAAAAAACATTATCAGTTTAAGTGCTGTAATTAGAATATTTTCATCGCTTTACCTTGCCGTCAGACAGTGATTTCTGATGGGGAACTGAAGCTTTTGTATCGCTGTCTTCAAAGCCAGACTTCATTGAGAAAAACAGTGATTTAACATCACTAAAATCAGGAGCTTCTGGCTTAGAACTGCCTGTCAATTAGGTTGTTTGTGTTATTGTGTGACTTTGGCATTTAAAAGACTTAGCTCAGATTCACCAAATTCGCAAAATAACACCAACTAACTACCTGATCAAGGCAGTGGTAGACCAGCAGCTCCAGTGTTCAGCAACCAAAATTACTATTTTTGTCAATGCAGTCTGGCTTTAAAAAGAGCATACATGGATATGACTCCAGTTCTCCATCCGAACAGGCTGCCTGACAGAAAGGTAAAACTGTGAAAATCACTCACAATATTGTGCACACTCAAACTATAAGTGATATTTTTCGGTGGGACTTTTTCTTAGTTGGCTAAAATATGTTTTGCTGCTGACCCCTGCGCATAGCAGTACACTGCTTAGCTTCTATGGTGGTATTCCTGCTGCTTCTCCAAACCGGGGGTGTGTCAACTGACATCTACTGTATACTGCAACCCCACTTCAAAAGATCAGAACTATCCCTTTAATAGCACTTGTCACTGATTTGATCACTGCACTTCTGCCTTTGCCATACTTGTGAAATACTACACAAACTCCTGGAGAAGCTTGATTTTCCCACAGACAGGCCCAATGAGAAAGACTTACTGTCAAAGAAAAAAAAAAAAAAAGAAATCTCTCCTCCCAGCAGATCACCATCGCCAGCAGTAAGTTGTTACTGTACTTGCAGACATGAACCGCATTTGCACATTTCCTTTGCTTCTTTTGCGCAATAAAGCAAATGTCTTCACTTGTAATGAGCTGAACATACATGGCAATAGAAACAAGCCTCAGAGGAAGTCAACAACTTACAATGCACTGTTTCTAAGTCAGGCAGTGAAATTCGTTGATGCCAAACAGAGGATCTAGCAACCATGCAAAGATATGAAGGTAAAGTCAATATAGGCATTATAAGTTTAAGCACCCACATTGCCCCAAGAATCTAAATTGTGCTGCATAAGCTAATGTGAAAGCAAAAAGCCCGTAAGTATTGAAAACATGGATCTCACCTCCTCGTCTTCAGTTCTCTTCAGTGTTTCACTGGCAAACTTGACATATTGCGTCATGAGAGTCACAAGTGCAGTGTAGCGGGTTCGGAGATCCATAAACTGTGCAGGACAAAGAAAAACAATCGTTATTGCGACGTACTCTACATACACCACAAATGTCCTGCTCTACCAGAATTAAACTGTAGTTGTACCTCTTGCTGAATGGCATCAGAGGAGCTCTGCATCCTCCGTTTCTTGAGAGGGGATTTGTGTTGGGAGTCGACCATCGCTCTGAAGGTCATCAGCTGAAGTTCATAATCCTGAAAAAGTGATTTATGTGTAAGTTTACAACACAGTTCCTTGGTCTTTGCCCAACAAAGCTTAAGAGGAAATGCCATTGACTGCTGATTAAATGTAAAATGAAACCAGGAGGACATTTAAGATACGCTAGCGTTACCTTAATGGCAGATGAGTACTGCTCCGAGTGCTTCTGACACTCATCAATTCTGTTCTGTTTTTGATCAATTTCCGCAACAAGGACCTGAAAAACAGATATTTTAAATATATATTCAGACATCTATATGTATACTTTGTTTATCTTATTGTGAGGAAGTTCATTCTTGTCATACCTTCTGTTTGTTTAACAGCTCAGCCAGCGCCTTGCTATCTTCAGGTTTGTTTTCTTGGGCCTTTAGCTGCTCTGCTTCCATGTCTCTAACCCATTCATCAAGACTACTGTAGGAGTCTCTGTAGTGTTTCAGAGATTTGCTGATACCATCAAGCTCCCGAAGCCTGAAATTGAACAGTTAACATTCATAAGTACAATTATGCTTATAATACTTGCACACTTTACTTGTAAATTACTTCTTCTGATGCAAAAATGTAGTGTTAAAGTAATAAGCGCTAACCTGCTGTCAATCTGGGAATGAATGTTCTGCCATCTCTCGCTCAGCTGATCAGCTTTCTCCTTGTGCCAGTCCAGGTCAAAGTCACGCTCGTTATGTGCCTTAAACATGCGGTCGCTGATGACGCGTGCTTTCTGCAGCTCATCCTCCATGTCATGGAACACCTCCTGCTTCTCGTCAATCTCTGACCGCCATTGCTACAATCAGAAAGGGAAATGAGTACTCAAAATGAACAAAAAACCCTGCCAATGTTGGTAAAATGTTGAATCCAACAGCGTATTACCTTCAGTGTTGAAATGACAGCCTCGATGGACTTGATGTCAGAGTTCATAGCGTCCTCCTCATAGAGTTTGGATTCGTAGGCCTTAACTAGCGCCTCTGCATTCTGGCTGTGCCTCACCACCAGGCTCACTGTTTTCAGTCTGCCACACAAAAGGAACACGCCTTCAGTCCAGGTACTTTTAAAGCAAATATCTATCTATTAAAAATATTAAAATGCCACTATAATTACTTCAAGACATGATGACTTACTTGTCCATATAGATCGAAGACATGGAGTACACTTGGCTCATGTTCTGGACGAGGACGGTGAGTTCTGAGGAAAGTGTCGGCACAGAAGGAGAACCTGCAGCCTGTCTGAGGAACAGCTCGCACTTCTCCTTCATGACGTCAAGGTCCTACTTTAGCTTATTCAGTTCCGCCGTCTTCTTCTACAAAGTGGCATGGAGAAATCAGGATAAAAAAAAACACACCAGTAAATTCCTATATAAAAGGATTTTAGCTGCCCAGACGTGTACCTCGTGTTCTGTGATGCGCTGCAGACTCTGCTCCAGGTCGTCTCTCTCCAGCGGCGTGCGGAGTTGCCTGATGAGGTGTTCTTCATGGGCTTCTAGGTGCATTCGGAAGTTGCGTATTTCTGAGATGTAATGATTGTACACCGACTCCTCGTGTTCCTCTGTTTACCAGATTAAAAAAAAGTACAAATAATCACATAAAATTTACAGAAATTTAATTGTTCTCTTTTTTTGTAAAAAGAAATAAAATAAAATAAAAACAATATAAAAGTTTGCTTGTATTGATGGTCAAAACTACACGATAAAACAAAGGGAACATTAAACCTACAGACAGTGTCGCACACATTAACTGATAGCGCTCAAGTGCACCTCTAGGTGGCATCATCATCACAGTATAACCCCAAGTAGGACCTATTGCAATGCAGCTAAATCAAAGGCAGTGTGCACACTGCTAAAATGAAGACATACACGAAATGAATGTTTAAATAAGATGAACTTATTTTAGAAAAGGGTAGGCAGCATAAATAAATGACCTCATACAGATGTATATTTGTCTGCTATGCAACATCGTAACAAGTAAGTATTCTGGATTCTTTTTCTCCGGATATTCCACCCTATTTCAAAACCATAACTGCACATCAGCAACATCCAAGTGATTTACATTCACAGCAAAGCCGACCGTCTCTTTAAAAACTCTACTTAATTTGTCAAACCACAACAACATAATTCCAAAAGGCATTAACTTAAGGCTTAAAAGGCTTAAAGAGCCATGTGTTTCCCTCGTGTGTTGTGCTCTATGTATACTAGCAGCTCTGTGTTGGGAGGGACAAGAAGGGGGGATCTGAGTCTTGCCTCTTTCTGCAGATCTGAGCAGTTCCTGGTAGTACTCCTTGCAGCCTGTCACGTCTCTCTCTAGCTGGGCGCAGTCCGCCACTGTGAATATCTCTGACTCCTCGCTGTCTTCCAGGAACTCGTCGAAGTGGGACTGCAGGTTGCTCAAGACCTGCTGATGCTCACCTGGTAGCATGGTCTTAATCTGGAGAAATAACAGTGGGATTAAACGAACATGATGATCAAAACTGAGCAGGATTAACTAAAATGATCATCAGTTGGTGGTGAAAAAGTAATTCAGACATACTGAGGCCACATTCCAGTTGCGGATGGCTCGTATGTCAGCCATTAGGTAATGCCAGGACACCACGCTCTTCATGTTGATGTGGGAGTGATGCCAGAGAGCCAGGACATTCTGGTATAACTGCTCGATTCTGCAGGAAAAGACAGACATAAATAATTCATCCCGTCAAAGTCAGGTCATTTGAAGTCAAGAGAAAACTTTACTTTAAAGCTTCAGCTGGTAACTTTTATAAAAAATAACTGAAACTCTTACTGTATCCTGACAGTAATATATAAGACAGAAAAATCATGTTCTTCTGGCTCCTCCAACGTGCCTGAACGAAAACAACCAATCAGAGCCAAGGAGTCTCTGACGCATGTCAATCACTGCTCGTGCACACACTGTGCTGCCAACAACAACTTACATGGCGAAGACAAATAAACAGAAGAAGACCTGAGTGAGAATATGTGTGGGGAAGTGGGGCTGAGCAGTGCGCGCACAAGCATTGGCATTAAAGACACCTACTGGTTGTGATTGGTTGTTTTCGTTCATGCGCTGTGGATTCTTCCAGGTGCCAGTAGGAGCCTAGGAAGAACCTGAATAACATCCTTTTTTCATAGATTACCTGTCTCATGTATTATTGTCAGTATACAAGGACAGTTTCAGCAAACACGACAGTCATGTTTTTAAATTTTACCTACTGAACCTTTAAAGGACACAAAATGAATCCTAGCATCTCACCTTGCAACCATATCAACAGCCTCTTTGTTGGGTGGAGGCACAGTGAAACAGACAGAGGGCACCATGGCCTCGTTCCCTGCTGGGTTGATGACCTTCCACTTGGCCCGGTGAGAGTTACTGGCCAGTACGCACTCATCATCTTTATAAATGGTAATCTGGGAGAGGAGTGAAAAAGACACAGCATAACATGACGCTTTGAAATGAGATTAAATGAGGTGTAACATGGCATACGGCACCTATACATACCTCTATCTGACGATAATCACAGATGGCTTTGACGGGGATGGAGGATCTCACTGGGCTTTCAGGATTCCTGGGCCTGAGCTGCACAATGTTCTTGGCTCTGCCCACTAGACCTGCTACAGTGCTGCGGTACTGAAGGAGCTGCTCTTTCTCATCCTGGGGGACACACCATACAAAAATAAATATACAAATATTTGCAGCCACCTCCATATGAACACACACACTACATATCTTCCTCTCAGTTTACCATGGACTCCTGGATGAGGTCCTCCAGTCTGTGTAGGCTGCTCGATCGATCACAGCTGTATTTTCTTTGAATGGCATCTTGCAGGCTCTTAAGGTAGTCCATGGACTCTTTGGCATCACGGAAAAACTGCACAGGGGGGAAGTGAACCAGAAATAATTAGATGTGACAAACAAATTCACTTTGCTGCACTGACAGAAAACAGGCAGCAACTCACCTCAAAATAAACAGCATTCTCTTTGAGATGCTGTTCCACACATGAGCAGAGCTGTAAAATCCAGCTCCACTGCGTCTGCATGGCGGCCTTGTACGCCTGGAAGACACACAACTCATGAATAAGAAACACAATAGCCAGGTATAATTACCTGGAAAATTACAAGATTACAGGACTTCAACATCTTTAATTATGGGAGTTGTATGCAGGGTGGAGACGCTGCTGTCATGCTGACCGCAGAGCATAAAACACAGGGCTTACTTCAATAGTGAGCCTGGCTGGGTGGTTCTTAAGCATAAGCCGCTCTGCCTTGTCCTGCACAGACTTGATCACTTCCTCCTTTTCATCCAGCTCCCTCATCAGGTCCTGTATAGAGACATTAGGCTGAGTATCTCTGGCATCCAGCCGTGGCAAAAACCCAGTCACTCCATCCTCTCACAGAATCTTATATCCTGTCTCAGAGTATGAAGTTAATCACTCAGGCCACAATAAACAAATCCCTTCAAGGAGATTATTGTTCTGTTCAATGAATGCAGCTGTAACGCAGCCAAACCTATACACCCAAAAGAAATGTCTGAACAAGCCCTTATTATTCTGTCTGCATGAAAGATTTTACAGATAGAGTTACAGTTAATTAAAAGGACTAAACATACAGCATGGTAGTCTCTTTTCTTGGAGATGTTGCTGTTACGATCGCTCCAGTCAAAGGCAACTTCCTCCTCCTCCTTCTCATTTAGCCAGATGAGCTCCTGAGTTGCCTGCGACACCAGTTCATGCAGGCTTTCCAGGTGGCTCTGTCGCTCTCTTGAACAGCTCTGAGGGAACAGGCATTCATGAAAGTGCATCAATAATTTATAGCATTTATGGCAGCACAGATTTTAGAGCTCAACAGATCACTTACCAATAGCCTTTCATACTGCTTCTCTAGTTTGGTCAGTTTGTCTGAATACGTTAGTTTCAGTGGGAGGGTCATCTGAATCTGAGGAGGGAAAAACAATTTTAGTTCTCATATTTTCTCTGCAGAAACTAAGCAACCTATTTTTTATCTTTATGCAAACTACTGATATTTGACATTTGTTACTTTACAATTGTATTTCGACAATGCTGTGGTTAGCATGTGGTTATGTTTAGGCACAAAAACAACTTGATTACGGTTAATAAAGATCATGTTTTTGCTGCAAAAAACAATTTTGGTGCCATAATCACGGCTGAAAATGCTGCTATGTGATGCTAAATAAACACCCGCTTTTGTTGTTTGTTTGTCTCGGACAGTGGTCTGCTGCTTAGCGGCTGTCTCGCCTAAGTATCATACCAGCCACCATCCCCTCCTCCTCCTGACGACATAGTCAGCTCTTAACACATGTAATCAGAACTGTCACTTGATATGATACTTATGAAACCAAAAAATGTAACATATCAGTGGTTTGCAGAAATCCACAATGCCAGCATTTTTTATCTGGCAACTGGGCTGAACTCATAGTTGTGGCAGGAAACTGCAGCACCATTTCAGACTAACGATAGAGTATGTAGGGTTGTTAATGTTTCCACTTAGATTATGAGAAAGACAGAGAGAACTTCCAAAGCCTGCTTACCTCACTCAGCTTGGCATCTTTAAGACTCATTTGAAATTCTTCAATGGCTCTGTGTACACTTTTGTGGTTCTCTAAATGCATTTCCACACTTGGCAAATCTGATCCCCACTCTGAACGATCCAGCTGCACCTTTAATATGGGAAAATAATAATAAAATAATCAGCGTCTTATTTTAAGTGTGTACAAATAAAGCTATAGTGCATTATAAACACACTGATAGTGACTATTTACCTGCATCTCGTCCACCCAGTTCAAGAGGTCCTGGACAAATTTCATGTTGACCTCCTCTTCCGTCATGTTGGAGTCTGCCAGGGAGGATTTCAGTAATGGCTTGCGGATCTGCATGTGTTTCAAATGCCTGAGGCTGCCTGGGTCCATGCCACCACCGCTCCCCATGTAGCTCTGGACTGAAGCAGGCTGCAGGCCGGGGGTCAAGGCAGGGGTCAAGGACGGGGTGAGGCACGGTGTAAGGCTAGAGGTGAATGTGGACCCAGGGGTAACTAACCCCCCCGGGGTGAGTGCAGGAGTAAGGGCTGGTGTCAGGCTCGTGTTGATGTTCTGGGAGAAGCCGGAGTTCAGGCTCTGCGTGATGCCTGAGATCATCATTTTGGTTTGTTCTGTCGTCAGGGTGCGACCTTTGCTGTACACAGAGGAACACTCTGCTCGCATCGCCAGGAGGTCATCTCGGAGTTTTGACACCCTGTATTCAAAAAGTAAAAAACTTTATGAGATGTCTTTAATGTACGAGAGGATTCAGTGTGTTATCTTTGCTAGAGGATATACTTTGTACCTCTGGACCAATTGATCTGCAAAAGGGAATTTCCCATCCAGAAGAATCTGGATGTCCACCACTTGTTGTCTGAGGATGTTCTCACACTCCAGAAGGTAGCCGGCAATCTCAGCTTCATGTAGGAACTGGATGCCAGACTCAAGACGTTTTGCATCCTTAGCAGAGGGGAAAAAAAGACTCAAAACTCAAGACAAAGAATGTACACTCAGTGCTGTTTCATCACAGGACTCCTTAAAAACTTAGTATTTCACCCGGGGGCTTTGCTTTGTGTTATGTCGCCTACTATTAACTGTAACTTTATTGTATGCAGCATTTAAAATCTGGAGATAAAAATCCACTCAAATGGAGGGGTCTCTGTATTCTGATATAAATGTAGTATCTTGGATCAACAGATGCTCAAACAGGCTTACAAGAGAGACTTGTCAGTTTCCATGCAAACAGGAAAATATAAAAAATTACAGGAAAACATGACCAGTATATTCTACATGCCTTCATACTTGACATGCTTAAAATAAACTGATCTCATATTGTATGCGTGTATTAGTCAGTCTAGTTTGCCCAATTTTCCAAGCTTTAGAAACAAAACTAGCTCATTCTTTGCCACTCAGTCCAACTTCTGATTTCTATTAAACTAAAATAATTCAGGATTTTTGTTCTGCATTCTTACAAAGGATCATTTAAATTATCATATGAAGTATGAACGTGCACTTAGAGCAGAGGTTGAGACAGTCACAGAGCTCGCTGAAGGGTGCACTGCTGCATCCTGCAAAGTCATGCCAATCCGAGCCAAATACCAAGTTTTTAAGGAGTCCCACTTCATGACAACTTGCATTAAGTCAAATATGGATTGTACAAAACTTACAGACTGCAGGGCAATTCTTGCCAGTGCAATCTTGTCCTCTCCATTGACACAATCCCGCTGGACCCTGTTGGCAATCTGCTGCAACGTCTCGAGCCTGCAAAAACAGAAAGATTCAGTTGTTACTTTACAGTTGTTATCCCTTTGATAAAAACAAAATCATCTTCACAATTCACACTGTAACCTCACCTGGATCCATAGGCTATGTTGTTATTGAGAAAGACTGAGCTGTTAATTTGTAACGGCTCAGTGTGAGCTGTATCGTTGGAGCCGAAGCTGGTGAAGCTGCTGTTGCTAACAGACGAGAACCCGCCTAAATAGGCCATCTTACTTCACGTGGCAAACCACCACTGCTGCTGCTATTCCAAACCCCTCAAACAACCACCGCTACATTTCTCATCCTGATCATGAGAGGATTCCAGCCTCGACCCAGCCTTGATAGTTTGACTGCGAGCATTCGCAGACCTAACTGATGGAGCGGCTTTCAACTTGCTCATATTTATAGCAGCGCAGCCAGGTGCGGAGCGTGTAAAGTGACTCCCACCCTGAAATAATGTGCTGTCCTTAGGGGATAAAAATTAAACAGCAGGTTGAGACAGTACGCCTTTGTACCAACTGAGACTGTATAAAGCGCTGCCAAACTGCTGGGATTGCTGTTTCGGCCACCACACCCTACATTAATGCTGTAAATATGTTGTGTTCATAGACCACGACAGCAGGAATGAGGGGGGAAACTTGTCTAAACTACTGTCAACAGAGACGTCTTTGGATGTGGCATCTAGTTTCCATAGAAATAAGATCTACACTGCAAATAAACACTGATGAACAGAGCACCAGATAGAGCCCAAAAACGTGACAGAGCTTGCCATAACAAAACAGAAACTCTTTTTGTTTTTAGCATTTGCAAGTTTCTGCCTTTCTAAAGTAACTAGACACTTGATTAGTCATGATTTTATTCCTGAACTGAAAGCACCTATTTTTCTCACTGTTTTATTACACAAGATGAATTTGTTCTCTCTTTATTTTGTCACCTGATCATCCAAGTGGGGCAAAACTCAACCTTATCATATGCAAACCGAGCACTTTGGCTGCAATAAATCTAATCAAGAAATATTATGTACAGCAGCTCATAAATATGTTGATAGAAATCACATCATAGCGTGCAGCGGTTAAGTGAGGGGATTTCTTCTTTGATAAGGAAAACTAAACACTGACCCTCAGTGTTAGGTTGTAGCAGCAGAGACATTAGTACGCTTGCAATGTGATGCTGAAGCACTCAGCCTGCACCAGCCTCAGAAAATGTTATGCTGACTCATGTAGCATATTAGCTTCGAAAAGCAGCTCATGATCACAATATTTTATGGTTCATTTGCTGCTGCTGTGGATGAATACACTGGGAAAATTTGCATCTATCCATCTATCTGTTTCTTGCTTTTAATCCTTATATTTAGCCTCAAACAGTCACACATTTCATCCTATCAAAATACAAGCTAAGTGTCTACATGTGTCAGTTAACTATTGACTTTTGGCTGACAAATAACCTATAATATTAGGTTATTAAGGCCATAAAGATTAGACCTTTAAATCCCATTATGTGGAGCGAGGCAAGACATACTCTCACTGCCCTCACATACCTTTCCACCTCTGGCCTCAGGCTCTTTTCTCTCTCCAGCATGGCAACAATCAATTTACCCCATTCCTTCTCCACGTCGTTAGGATGATGACCCGGGGGTAACTGAATACGCCCAAACTCGATCCACATCTGTCAGATAAGCCACAAACACAGATTTGTTAACACTACACTACCAACGCTGTGATGTGTGAATCAAAGCAATATGATCTTCTGTTTTTGGATTTGCATACCTCGAGCATTTTATAGAGATCATTGATTTTTGTCTTCTCGTTCTCTTTGAGCGGGATTTCATGTTCTTTAAACTGCAGATACTGTGTATAAAGTGCCTGTAAAGGGAAGCAGAGATCATAATAAAAATGTTTTAATCTTATACAAAGCATGAGAGCAGATATTAACCAGGATCTTTAAACATTTGTCAGTCCCCTTGTCTTTAAAACAACTGCATAAAAGTGCCTGCACTGTTAGAAGCTATCAAGTTCTTGCAGTAAATGGATGCTGCGCCTCTCTCATATCCATCAATATCACTTTAAGTCTCAGTTACAGCAGATAGAGGCTGCATGTGATCTATCTGAAGGAGACACTTATCCTCCCTGACGCTACATGCAGATTGTAAGCACTCCCTAAAATGAGGCAGCTGATGTTCAGCTTATGCAAACTAAAGCTAATAATGATAAATCTTTAATACCTTGAGTTCCACAGGGTTGTTGGGGAATGATCTATCTGACATTATGGCCACGTTGTGTTTGATCCACTGGCTGAGGTATTTGATCATGTTCTGGTACTCCACCCATTTGATATCCACATCCTGTTCAGAGAAAAAGGATCATCAGCACATGATGCACCTCTCAGCACTTTCACTCAGACTGGGGTGGAGTTACTGGTGGACCAATGCCATCAACTTACATTAGGACTGATTCCTTCAACACCATCTGGTACTTTGGGGAAGGCATCGTACAGTGTTGAGACGTATGTGATGACTGATTTTTCATCAGGGGACTGAACGTCTACGTCTGATAGGAAAAGTAAAAACCACAAGGTCACAAACATAGCAACGTGGCAGTGAGCTGTGCTCAAAGGAATTATTCCTCAAGCCAAAAATATCTCAGCTTCACTCAACATGATTTCAAAATGTTTTCAGAATTAAGCCAAACATAACAGTGTGTATGGATCTCACCTTCCGGGTCCAGCAGTCTGGCCACCCCCAGCTGTTCAGCTACACAGAACGCGTGCTCTAAATTGGACCGGTTGGCCTGTGCCGACACACGGCTCATGTCAACCAGGTCTGGTCTGCAATGGAGAGAAAGAGTTAAGTAAGTAAGGCCTGAAAAACAAGGCATACCAACTAAAGGGAAAAATCAGGATATAGAGGAAGAAGAAGAAGATATATTTATTAATCCCGAGGGGAAATTCAATTTTTTCACTCTGCTGTCATACACACACAGGCCCGAAATACACACACATGCACAAACAGGACCTATCATGCATTAAATGGAGAGATGTCAGAGTGAGTGGGCTGCCAATGGACAGGCACCCTGATCAGTTGGGGGTTCAGTGCCTTGGGCCAAGGGCACCTCGGCACAGTGTTTTTCTTTTCTGCAAAAACCCTGCAGTTCCTTTAGTGTTAAAGTACCTGTATTTATGAATGATGGCGTTAAATAGCCTCCCGTCCCTCCATGATGTTGTGAAGTTGTCACATCGTACACCTACGTAGCCCTCTGTCATCTGCCTGGACCAGAACAGTAGCCTCTCCTTGGCTGTCATGTCCTCAGACTCCCCTATCACATGGACCTCCGAGATCTGTCACAAAGAGAAGTACAGGATTTTAAATACAAGATGCACTGATGTAAAATGTGAGCTGGGTTCAGAGTAGGGCTGGGCAATATATCAATATCACATTGATATTTTAATAGATATCATCTTAGATTTTGGATATCATAAGTGCTGTCTTTTCCTGGTTTTAGGAGTAGTAGTTGCAGTTTATTTCAGTAATTTTCCAACTTATACCAAATATACACAAGGAAAAAAAAAAACATTAATAATATTAATAAGAATAATAAATCATTATTTTTGAAGCTGTGACAAACCAAAGCATGTTAAGCTGACAGAAAAGGTGTAGCTTTTTGCGCCTACCCTTTTTACATTAAGAGTTTTGTAATGTTCTCTTTAGATTTATAAAATAAAATGAAAATAAAAGAAACAAGTAAAACACAATATGTTCTATACATCCTAAAGTCCCACACAAATATTCATATACACACACTGGCATTCATAACTCTGTTTTGTATTTGTTACTCATCTTATCTTTAATATTTTCTAAATCTTTGAAGTGTTTCCTTTTCAAAACTATTCCACAAATGAACTCCTGACTGTTACACATCTTTGTTTTGCATTTGTTCTAATATTTGTCTTTATAAACATATAAGTTCCTCTTAATTCATACAGACTCAATTTTGAACAACTTCTGGATACAGTCTGGAAGCATCTTATTTTTTATTTTTTACATTATTTGTGCATTTTTTAAGTCCACCAAATCTCTAAACTTGAGAGCATGTGAGTTTATGAATAATCTGTTGGTTGGTTCATAGTGACCAGCTGTGTCTAGGATCTTTACATTTCTCTTTTGTAGCATAAAAATTGGATTCGTGATTGTTTTGTATATCTTTTCCCAAAACCTCCACACAGCAGGTACTTTATGGATCGATAAAATAATGATACAATATATGGAATGACTGAGATTGTCTTTTGTTTTGTGCAATTTGGATTTCTTTCTTTTTATTTTTCATTTAACCCATATTTAACCAGGTAAGGCAGAGTCAGGCAGAGAGAGCAATTTACATAGTTTCAGAGGAGAGAAGAGGAGCAGAGCACATAAAGGCTTTCTTCCCCGGCACAGTCCGTGCACCAGGAACAGACAACACTAATTGTCATACGACTGTATGGAGGGAGTTTGCTCAGTATGGCTTTATAAATTAATAAATACTGAGCCTACGAAGGGTTAAAGATGTTCAACCAGCCCTGGAATAAAGCGTACAGTGATGAGTGAGAGATTTACAGTTTGTGACAAATCTCAGTGCACTCTGATATGCAGGATCTAACATGTGCAAACAATGTGCAGATGCATTCATGTACAACAGATCACCGTAATCCAGAACCAGTAAAAATGTCGCAGCAACCAGACTTTTTCTGTCCTCAAAGGAGAAACAGGACTTGTTTCTGAAATAAAAACTTGAGCCTCAGCTGTGGCAGCCTCAGTGTAATACAAGACACGTTGACAGTTTTGACTTTATGTGATTTATATGTAGTTTCCAGGATAATTTATGGTCTATTACAACTCCCGAAAATCTATTTTCATACACTCCTTCTATTTCAACATTGTCTATCACAATTTGTGCTTGTGCTTATTCATTTTTCGACATCCAAATATTATGAATTTGGTTTTATTTAAATTTAACAACTTTTTAATATCAAACCAACATTTTAATGTTTTCACTTCTGTGTCCACTGTATCCAGAAAAAGGCTTCATTGCAGTAAAGTGATGTACTTTTCTGAACTTACCAGACTGTTCTAGCTGTGGGTTTTTCATTTACCCACCTATTTATTATCTCCACATTACTGATGATTATTCATCAAGAATCTCGTGTCAGTATTTTGTGAAAGCACCAATAGTCAACCCCACAGTCAACCCCCTTCATGTCCCAACAAAGACTGGACATTTTGAGCTCCACAAAAATATAATCTATTGTGCAGAGTGAATAAAAAAGATGTAATGTATATATGGCATCTATTTGGAAAGATTCAAGTGTGCATTAAGTGTAAATTGGGTAACAGTTTCCTTGAACACATGGAAAATGTCAGCAGGTCAGAAGTGTGAGATAGAGTTGTGTAACAGATGACTTAATTGTTTAACGATGTGTTATAGATTAAGACGACCTCAAACAAACAGTGCCACTTCAGAGGTTGAGCTCCACAGCACTGTTGGCGCACTGGGTTCAAAGCACATTTATGACTGTGCAAGAGTTTCTATCTTACATAGCATTCAATATTGCTGATCAAAGCCTTTGTTTTCCTGTGACACACATCCCAAACAACTAAAATTATGGCGACACCACATGTCAGAAATACTGTAATTCCGGTAACTTTTAAAAGGTTTGCGTCTTTTTACCATATCACAAAGAATTTTACGTCACAACATGAGTCGAACAAAACCAAGAAGCACAATAGCAGAGTGGATTTTACAAGATGAACTTCAGTCAATCAATGAATCAACCAATGAATCAATAAACTAATCAATCAATCTTTTCCAGAGAGGAAAGCCAGCCAGCTCGGTGACATCAGTCTGTCAGCCCAGACAAGATTAATGGAGACACAAATCATATCATCCTGAAGAAAAAAATCCCCACAGACCAGCTCATACAGACTGTACAACTTCCAAAGGCTGACACATGTCTATAGTCCAGTTAAGAGAAAGTATGACAGGGGCCGGCTGCACAAAACACCTTAAGTTAAGATTTTCCTAGTTAAGGTTGCCTCAAAATAAAATTGGTCGCACAAAGCACCCTAAAGTCTTCTCCCTAACGTTTATTTAATATGTTCACTTAAGTATTTATGGTTTCATCCTTGTCTTGGTCTAATACTGAAGGAATCTCAGGACCGTTACACAAAAGACCTTAGCAACCAAAGTTAAAAAAAAACAAACCTAGGTACCTCTAACTCTATCTTACTACAACATGAGCAGGTTTATGGTGATAAAAGAAAAAAACTAACACACCAAATGGATACGCTTTTGATTTTACATCATAGATTTGACTGAATTCATTTTCATTGCAATTTCTTCCTACAGTTGTTTTCTATTTCTGGTAACTGGGGATCAAATTCACTTTGTATTATGAGCTGTCTATGATTGTATTCCTCCAGAAGTATCGTCTTTTCCTCCTCTTGTGAGATGATAACAGGCATCACAAGCGTGAGTCCAAGCAAACAAACAATCTCCATTTTTACCGCTGTAAAATCTTTTTTCAAGGCAGTAAATGAGTTAACGTTTTTCCTTTACTAAGAAAACCTTTTAAGGGATTCTGTGCAACTGTGTAAGCAGCACAGCTAAGTATAAATTAAGCCTTAAATGTCATACTTAATGAGCAAACTTAAGGTGTTTTGTGCAACCTGTCCCAGGAGTTTAAGAGGCCACCGATTTAATCATTTTAGTCTGTCCAGCTGGAACTCTATACAATGACTTTAACTGCCTTAGCCTCAGCCTTCCAAAGAACACACTTAATATAAACATCAAAAAGCTGAATTTTACCACACTTTGACATGATTGTTGCATCTCTTTCTACTAGACAGACTGAGGTTTCCAGAACACACCACAATGAAAAAAGATATAACAGATCACACCTCCGCAGAGGCCAAACGCCCTATCTTGCAATTTGTGTATCCACAATGTGATTCAGATCCACTCCAAAATCTAATGGGTTCTTCCTTTGCCTATCATACATCCGTCTACCAAGGTTCATGAAAATGGGCCCATAGTCTTTCCATAATCCTGCTGACAGACAATCAAACAACCATAACCTCGGAGGTGGGGGTAATACAACTGAGAGTCTTTATGGACCCACAGGCGTGAAAAGATGCTGCTGTGCTTTCTTTGTTTCAGCAAAATTAGTTTGGTGTCGGTAACTGTCCCCAGATATTTGTAATTATCTACCAGGGTGATTTCAACGTGCTGTACTACAGTTAATGTTGAACAAGGGAGATATTTCCTGAAATCAACAATAACATCTTTTGTTCTGTCGGCATAAAAATGAAGGAATGACACCACGATACAAACTCATTAACTGTTCCTGCTGCTGAGGAAGACCGACAATCACTGTATCATCAGGGGATTCTTTCACACAAACTCTGGCAGCCATAGGTGAACAAAATATAAAGAAAGGGGGACAAACAGCAGCCGTCTGTGGGTTGGAGGATTTTAAATATATAATAAAAGAGCACCATTTACTGTCACACATTTCAGCCTCCTATAGACCCACAGTAATCACTATAATATCAAACAAAACCAAGTGTTGTAACAAGATCACTGATGTTTTTCATCCACAAACCAAAGCCCCACCGGCGCCTACATTAAGCTACTATTCTTTCTGAACACCTGTGAACTGTTGATTGGGCGCTAACAAAAAAATTATGTCAACATAATGTTCCTGTCTCTACATACACGACAAGCAGCGTAAATATTTGCACACAGGCTTCAGATAAATAATGCAAAATTATGCAGGCAAAGTACACAATCTTCTGCACATGGAGATACCTGTAGTGTGTATACATTCTACAGAGTGTGATGTTTGAGTTACTGTACGTCCAAGAATGAAGTGAACACAGACAGAAGGACAGCAGTGATGACATAATGCTGACTGGGTGTAAAATTATGTGAAGAGGAAATTAGACAAACAAGTGAACTGGCATTGCTCTAAAGAACTTAAGAATATTTTCATCGTAGTGCTACACTTCCATGATTTGAACACCAGCCCTGCAATGTTCCAGTCACAGTACACCCCTACTCAAACCCCTAATTAATCTATCATGAATCACACCAATAACAGCTACAAATAGCACGCTCTTGGTTTACCTCCTGTTCGTTGGAAATACATTTGGCAGGGGCAGGAAGATCTTCTGCGTAACCAGAGCAGGTGTGGGCCCTCCGTGTCCTCCTCCTGTGTGCCTGAGTGCCCCATATAATCTTGGCAAACGTTTCCTCACTCCCAGGTCTGTCATTACCCCTCAGAGTCCGCAGTGTGTGCTCCACTGCTCCAAAGCTGACGGCCCTCCTTAACTGGCGCTGCAGCAGCTTCTTCACAAGGAGACCATCCTTTGCTGAGACGCCTCTGGAAGTTGTGCTTATACAGTGAAGCTTTTCTTCTACACTGGACCTGCTTCTGTCATCATCCGTTTGCTCTATGGAAAACCTCCCCGGCCTGTAAGGTAACCTCCTGGTTGTCTGATTACAGGGATCTCTGAGGATTATAATTGGTACCTCTCCAACGTAGACACCTTTGCTGATGCTGCCCTGCCTGGAAAGATGTGTCTCCACCTCTGGTGGTTTATCCAGCTCTGCTTGGGACTCCTCTGCCTTCCCATCTTGGCCACCTTGAGGCTGTGCACTACTGCAGATGGCCTCAGTTGTAACAGCCTCACTTCCAGGACTCTTGAGAGATCCAGCAGGCTGAAAGTCCCCTGATTTCCTCTTCTTCCTCTGAAAATAGCGGCGACCCTTGCGCTCTTTAGCTTCAAGGCTCAGTGGAGCTTTCTTAGGGTCAACATAGCATTCCTCTTTAGGGCCTCGAACACATCCACAGATGTTTCCCATGGCTGACAGTCATACAGTCTGTTACCCATTGACAGTGCTGAATTCCCGACAGCAAGCTCCTTTTCAGGCAAAGTATCCAGTGAGCTCCGCTTGATCTGAAGAGCCACTATCCCACTGACAGAAAGCCATTTTCACGCTGTGCGAGTAGCACACAATAAACAGTGACAGACGAGCCGGCAGCCAGACGGAGAGCTCACTCCACTCACAGCAGAGTTGACTTTTTCCCTGCGTTGACTCACAGCTGAGAAATGGTCAGCCTCTCTCCCTCCCTCTTTTGCCTGCGTGCTCTCTGGCGAGTCTCTCCTCTGACACTGGAATCCTTTCTGACCTTTGAAACATTTACCGGCTTCGCTAATCCAGCACAAACACCATAAATGCACACACAGACATGGCCCGTGTGCTTATAGTCCTCAGCTGAGCAAGAATGGGAGACTTGTGGACGGACCTGTTTTGTGCAGGTTACACACACAACATGACCACGCCAGAGATGCCTCTTAGGTTTCCTAATATTTGTGTCTGTAATCAGAGGTGGAAGGGAGGTTTCAACTGTAAGCAGATGACAGCTGATGGCCACCTATTATGCTGTGAGAAATTTTGGCTCAGCAAGTTTGGCTGCGCGAACCAGACAGAGTCCCAGGCTTTGAAAAACAGGACAGCGTAGGTCAACAAGAGCGGCAGAAGCACGGGCAAATCCGTGCTGGACAACAAAGTGCTTTCACTTTGTCTATTAATCAAGCTACGTACAATGCTGGAGCCAGAGGTGGGGCATGAGTCCAATGGTTTAAACAAACACTATTATCTAGACAGATCACCAACACCGCAGTTCACAACAGGGCAAATGCTCTGACCAGGAAGTGATTCACCACATAAAACCACATGTCCACTGTAGAGGAATCTATCGATACTTTTATGACATGGCAAAAAAAGACATAAGTGTGTGAAAGAGTAAATATGCTGTCACCACACAGCTCCACTAAAAATAACACTGAGCCAACGCCAGCTTACAATATCTGTACACCACTGAAGTTTCCCTGAAGGTCAAAGTCACCTGACAGCCAACACAGTTCAACCTACAGAGTATCATTACTCACTCTGCTACTTAGCACCTACCTATCAATTACTGGTATTACAGCAGCATTAGATTATGATGCCTTATTTAACATGATTTATATAGCCTTACTTGGTACAGGATTTTAATGTTTTTTCCAAGTGTGAAACAGATAAATCAAAACAATATGTTTGTGTGCAAAGCAGTGGCCATCACAGAGACAGTGACACTAAATCAGGGCAAAACAAACAAGCAAGACAAACGAGTAGAGAAACCCCTGACCACAGTGCATTGCCATGGTGGTGCATTGTCACCAGCTGGACTAAAATAAACATTAGTGTTTTCAACAGCACGTTCTGGGTGAAATACAGCATGGTGCGATGAAATCAGCTTCTTATCTGTACAGATATGATCAAACAATAGATGGTGACTGAAACACCTTAAAGGGCAACTTTTGTGTTTTTCAACCTGGACCCTGTTTTCCTATCATTTTTGCCCAAGTGATTAATAGGAACCACAATTTTTGGTTCAGGATTAAGCATGGGAACTGCAGCTGGCTGCACAGAAACGGGCTGCAATGTAAACACTTGGGGCAATTGTGCATCGTCGATTTATGTCCACTAAAAGTGTTTGTTTTTGCCACTGACAGGCTCAGATTGTTAATGTAAGTGTCTGACAGTATCAAAGAAAGCATCCCTACAGAGACAGACCTTTAGTTAAAGAGTGAGATTTATTTATTTATTTAGAAATAGGGACAATGCATATTAATGAACAAATACATGAGTATATGTAAATATGCCAGATTGTAGCCCACGGCTAATTTCCATCAACTATCCCTATAGGCAGGTTGATGTAAAAAACGTAGTGAACAGCAGCAACAAAAGACAGAGTTAAAATTCATAGCGACCACATAGACACAATACAGAAGACACAAGATGTGCACAATATACATACTGAAAATACATCAAGTGTAGCCCATGACAACCCCAGAAGTGACCAGATCTTTTTTGTTTAACTAGAAACAGCCCAAAATCGCTTTTGCCAAATTCTATTTAAATAAACAGTAATTATAGTGTGTACAGAGGCAGCATATATTTACATCTAACCGGGTGAATGAAGGGTTTATTTCATCCAAAGCAGAGTTGATTGTTGGAGCAGTGGAAAGACAAACCAAGAAGGATTTTGTGAGTTTTATTTTATTTTTGTTGACTTTGAATGAAGTGTGTTTTACAATTATACAACTACTGTTTATTTAAATGGAGTCTGGTGAGTTTGGTGTGATTTTGGGGCTGTTTCTCCTTAAACAAAAAGGATCTTTCTCTTTATCAAGGTCTGTCTCTGTAGGGATAATTTCTATAACGTTGACACAAATTTAGGATAATAATCTGAGCCTGTCAGTCGCAAAAACAAGCACTTTTATTGGACATAAATTGACTGTGCACAATTGCCCTGAGTGATTACATTTTAGCCTGTTTCGTCTCTCTCAACACTGAACCAATTTCAAAAATTCTTGTTCCCATTCATCACTTAGACAGAAAAACAAGCAAAAATAGGGTGAGGATTGAAAAACACCAAAGTTATCCTTTAACAAAACTTCAACAGCTACAGTATAAGCAAGCAAATTGAGGTCAGTCATTACAAAAAACACGCCCTGTCAGTTCTCTCTAATACATAAAAAATTAGCCAGCAGCAATAATAAAAGCCCATAAAATATGTCCTTAAATCAACTCTGTCCTTTAAACAGGAACAGATCCTGAATACTTTAAGCAGTCATATCAAAGCATGTATGATAAAAACATTCCATACATGTCAATCTGCTGTCAGTTGTGCTTAAATAAAAAAGCCAAAGGTGTATACTGTGACTGAAGGGCAACATTTTCTCCTGCCCTGCCATCCCTCTGAATCAAGAAGAAACAGGCCCATTGCCCTGCTCAAGGGCTTGCGTGAGACTGACAACGGCAGGTGTTGGCACCATCACCAACGCTACCTGTCAGCGAGTCCAGGCAAAATTATTTTAACTACTTTATTCACCATCATTTCACAGAAGGCATTAGTCAGACAGATGCATTCTTGTTCCAGTATCAAATCCTAACTCAGTTTCATCTCAATCAAAGCACCAAACATGAAAGACTACTGCAACACTCCCGTCCCTGACCAACCACTGAGTCACGTGAGTCACATGTGTCAAAGATATTAATAATCCAATGTGAAACAGTCAGACAGAAGGGAGGAGAGAGTGTGGGTGAGAAGTAGTTCAAGTATGAAGTTTCCGCATGCTGTTTGATTTTGGATAGAAACTTGGGTCGATAGATTCTGTTGGCATGCACATGCAGACTAACCCACTTGACATGATTTGTGTCATTCCAGCAATAAAATAAAAAACATTCCTGGAAAGAATATTTTGAGAACATTCAGGGGGGAATAAAAACTTAGCCCAGAGCACAAAAAATGTTGAAAACAATCCCAACCCTCCAAACTGCAAAGCTTGATCTGTGCACAAACACTCAGAAGTAGATGCTACAGATCTTAAAGCCTCTATAAAACCCTGTAGATTCTAGGAAACACAACATTTTGTGGATCGCACTGACATAAAAAACCTACTTTCAAGCCATTTCCTGCTGTATTCAAACATTAGCTGCGTTCCAAACTATAAATTTTTTCTTTTTGCTTTAAGAATGTATCGCACCTGCCCTTACAAAGTACGTACTGTTGCATGCAGTATGCACAATACTAGGACACTTTGTCACAATACTGCACCTTGAACTTTGACCCTCTTGCAAAAATCAGTCACAGTCTGCAGCTCCAAATTTGAATAAAAAGAAAAAGTATGCAATTTGGAACGCAACACCAGACTCATCAGACCTGCGTGCAAGGACATTTTCCATTTCTCAATACATCTTGTGAGTACCAGCTACTACAAGCTACCTGATGTTACCTTGTCAAATTACAACTCGAGACGAAACAAACGTGAATTAAAGAAACCCCGGCAACCACAACATTCAACACAATACATGCTGCACAGCTCTGACACCTGTGTGAACTCATTTTAAAAGCATTAATCTGAACGCATTTGACACGCTATTATGTAACTCAATCCCAAAACATGGCAGCATCTCTGTCGCACTGAAATATCTTTTAACTCCGCACAGACAAAGGCAATGGTTGAAAATCTGCTGCATTCAAATATCTAACAGATCAACACTGAGTAGGATGTAAAAAAAACCAGTTTCAAATCATCAGCTCTTATTGGCATGAGCTCATCACATACCATATAATACACAGAAATGAAAGTAAGCAATCATGCAGTATCTGGGTGATAAATCATCTTGATATTGTGGCTAATAAAAGGAAACCATGAGATGACAACACTAACCTGAAAGTGCAGAATTATGGTCCAGATCAATCCCAGGGTAAGTTTTGGGTTGCCGTCTGTGATGTCGTCATTCCTGATATTTACAAGTTTGACCTGATGACAGGAAACACATCATTAAAATATTGCATATTTACAATATCTCTAATTGTCCAAACTTTTAATTAAAACCTTTATATTTATTCAGATCAAGCACAAAATATGAGTGTGACTGTGTCTATTGACTAATATGCCTGTCATTTAACAAGCACCACAAGGTGGCACAATTGTCATGATATTATTTCAGGGAACACTGTCACTATGATCACATGGGGCTGAGGTGACAGAGAGAAAAATGCTTGCTACTAATTAAATGCTGTAAACCTGCTAAAACTGTTGAATCTGCCACATATCAGTGAAAAATGATGTGAATTTAATAAACTCACACACACAAGCAAACAGGAACCAGAAAACAGAGTTGAACCACATTGTTGTTTTAATTGAGCTGTTCATTCATCGCTCCGGTGTCGGCCTGATTATCTGTAATAGCCGTAATCAATAAGCTGCAGGGGGGAGATTTAAGGAAGTTTACGCAGTTGGATCGCTGTACGTTTAATGACTACAGAGGATCCATGGATGTGTCTGGTATGTACTGCAGCTAAAACAAAAGAACAACTCATTTGTGACCATCTATGATTCCTTTGTCTCAAGTCTTACGTCACATCTGGCTACGGCTCAGCCAGGCTGTGTTCTTCATCACATCCTGAGCAGTGGGGGAGGGGAGGGCAATCAAAGCACTCTCCCAAAACCCCACTGATGGGATTTGTAGTCAGCGCTCCCTATATGCTGCCATTACTGTTTGTGGGAAGTGAATTGGTTCATCAAGAAAGATGGAAAATGCCTGGAGTCCAACAGTGTGTGATGTTGGGGGCTGTGTCTAGGTAATCACCGCTGAATGGAGCCGTCCCACACAATGTGGCACTTTGTGTCTGAGCCCAGACATTCAGACACAGTGTGCCACTTGCATTCCCATTTCAATTACATTTGTCCCTTCGCTTGCATTTGTCTGCCTTTCTGGTTGCGAGTGAACAAATGTCTCATAATATGATGCAGCTCCCAAGATAGACAGTAGCTGCACACAAGAGCTGATGCATTTACATGAGCCATTCAGCTGCTATTCTGTATCAAGGTGTGAAAATACCTAATTATTATGTGGACTTTAGATGCTGCTATAAATCCATGAGAGGACAGGAAAGGCAGAAACATAAAATTGTTTTTGCTATTGCATCACTGTATGATGGATGGGACTCTGACTGAAGGCTGACACCCAGCGTCTCAAACAGGCAGTCTAAACTTCGAAAGGTTTGGCAAGTATTCAAAATGAATTAAGAACGTAGTTTTTAGAGCTAATGATGGAAGTAGCTAAAGGATTGAGCTTTCTTCTCATCTCTGTTGAGAGTTGCACATATGCAGAACCAGAATCAGGAGCTCGTGGTGAAAACGGTTATGGTAAAGACACATTTTCCACATTTGCCTATCCCAGCTGACACTGGGCGAGAGGCGGGGTACACCCTGGACAGGTTGCCAGACTATCACAGGGCTGACACATAGAGACAGACAACCATTCACACTCACATTCACACCTACGGCCAATTTAGAGCCACCAATTACCCTGCAAGTCTTTGGACTGTGGGAGGAAGCTGGAGTACCCAGAGAAAACCCACACTGACATAGTGAGAACATACAAGGGCTCCTGCATCCTTGGCTCCAACCCCCCCACCCCGGGTTCAAACCAGAAACCCTCTTGCTGTGAGGTGACAATGCTAACCGGCCACATAACCACTAACAGACTGAGCAATATTTATAGGGGGCAAGCAAAAAATGACTTTGGGTGAGTGGATTTCTGACCCTCTTGCCTGACGGGGCAATTGAAAAAAGGCAAAAACACACACATTCACATTGAACCCTGCTTATAACAATGTTGGTTCAAATTTATTCCAATCAAAAGTGTGACTGAACAATAGCTTAAGAGTGTGTTTAGATTGATCCTTACCTGCCGCCTCTTTAAATAATCCAGTGCTATTTGTACATTCTGGAGTCTGTGGAAGCGCATCCTCCCTCTCTCCCGAGGCTGTGGACATAAAGAGGGAAGAAGGGACATGTATGGTAATCCAGTTCTTTTCAATACCAGTGGACAAATAAATTAAAAAAAAAAAAAAAAAGATTAGTAACATGGTGGACACTGGACATGCTTCCAGGTTCTTACCCGCTGATCTGGTGAGACACACACAAAAACTCTACCCACAAGTAGTGCGAGTGACCATTTCTGCAGGCCCACTCAAAATCTGTGCATATACAGAACATTTTCCACCATTTGCATCCCTAGAACTGTGCTCTTACAGTGTAATAACAAACCAAGTCACCCTGCTGGTTAGCACACGCTAACAGCTAAAGTATACATAAAACATTTTAATACTGTGCTGGAGAAATTAAATGTCAAATATTAAAAATGATGCTGCATTGTTCGAGTACGTATCCAATCTCATGTGGCAAATGCACATGGACAGTCAGGGACCACAGCATGAGGTAATGAAATGGAAAATGCATTAAAGCCAGGATGCAGCGGCAGCAGCAGAAGACTTGTGCTGCATTCAGCCATATCACTAAGTTTATAATAGCTGAGACAACTATTGCTCATCTCAATAACAAAGCAACAATATTTAATGAAGAATATTTAATGAACCCATCTCCCACAGCCTTCATACAGTGAATCTCATACTCTTATGGAGCCCTGTTGAGGCGTCAAAGCAGCAAATGAAAAATGTCCTGATGCTCACGAAGGTTTGGAGCACTTTGATTTTATGGCTCAATGATGGGCAAAGCTAGTGAGATGGATATAAAGACCCAAGCTTTATGGGCAATATCCTTAATGTCTTTGGAAGGTTAAAGTGCCAAATTTGCTGTTGATGCATGTTCAAAAGAAAATTTGAGCATGAGGATGCCTGGGTCTTTAGATCATGTGCACATCCCTCTGCATCATCGGTATCATCCAGTCATGTAAAAAAGGATTCTGATTTTATTTCCTGATCAAAAGAAGCAGCATTATGGAACATACTGTTGCATAGAAATCACAGATGTATCTAAATCAGGAAAAGGAGAAACTCTACAGCCATATAGAAGAACTACAATATCTGCTACAGCAATTATGTAAGACTACAAAAAGACAAATCATACAGTGGGATTGTTTCTACACTCCTGTTAACTGGCCACAGCACAGCTCTGAATTAGTTTGTTAAAAGGGGGCGGAGGGGCAAGCCACACGTACCCCCTTATCATCATCCACCGTGTCCTCATGCTGCTCAACTGCACATGCTTCTGTCCCACTCACCAACCGCAATGTCTTCAGAAAATCACGCTCCCTCGGCTTATCACCGAAAAGGCAACACATGGGGGGGAGAAAGGAAGACATGGACACACACGGGCGGCCAAATCAAAAGGAAGTTAGACAATGGACAGAAACCAATGAAAGAGAGGAGAACAGAAGAAGGGGGGAAAGTAGAAGGGGAAACAGGATGTAAACAGAAAACAGATAGATCCTTAAGAGGATGAAAGTTAGTCACACTGAAGAAGGGAGTATCTGCTGGGGCTCCTTGCACAGGAATACATGCAGTTTAAATACAGTAAGGGACATCACAGCATGATATCATCAAAGGAATACTTCACCCCCCAAATCACCATTTGTGTATCAATTACTCATCCAATGTTACACTGAATACATGAAGAAAACATTTTCTTACATGCCTCTGGTGAATGAAGAATCAAAAACAAAGAAGTCTTGATGAATTGAAGTCATAGGGGTCCACATTTAACAACATAAGGACTATATGAAAATGTCCGTTTACAAACTCTCACACAACTTCTACAGTATAAGACAAGTCTCATTTATCCAGTCATATGCTCAGCACTGCTGCAACAGACAACCTTTTCTGACAGGGAAGTAAACTAAAAGTGAAATTTATCTATGCTCCAGTCAGAGCCAGACTCCATTGACAAAAACAGTAATTTTACCTTGCTGAGCTCAATAGCTCCTGATCGACCACTGCCTTGATCAGTTAGTTTGTTTGTGTTATTGTGTGACTTATGTGAATTTCAGCTTACCCTTTAAAACACTAAAGTCACACATTAATACATACAAACTAACAATTGGGACAGTGGTAGACCAGCAGCTCCCGTGTTCAGAAAGGTAAAATTGCTGTTTTTGTCAATGGAATCTGGCTCTGAAGAGAGGAGTTTCACTTTCTATAAAGTTTCGTGTCAGAAAAGGTTGTTTGTTTTGAAAGTAACAAGCATATAACTGCATAAATGAGACTTGGATTATACCGCATGAGTTGTGTTAGAGTTTGATGATGTTAATCGTAGCCCCCATGACTGAAATTCATCAAGAATTTTTTGTTTTTGGATTCTTCGTTCACAGGAGGCGTGCATGAAAAACAAAGTTTTCTCCAAGAATTCAACGAAACACAAGTAACTTGATACGCAGATGGTCATTTGGATGGTGAAGTTTTCCTTTAAGGAACTCAGGACTGCACAAAGACAGTATCAACATACTTCAATATAAGATGAAAGAATGACATGTTAACAGAGAAATGAAATAATACTGCACATAGCCTGCTGATAACATGCAGCACCTCAGTAGCTCCTGTCTTAGGCCAGCTACATACTCTGTGCACCTATGTGCTCTATATGTGAGTAATTATACTCACATATAGAGTGAACTTTACCAGATTTTATTTCATTTTCAATTTCAGTTTTACTTCTAAAGCCCATTAACACAAATCACAATTTGCCTCAGAGGGCTTTACAGCATACGACATCCCTCTGTTCTTGGACCTTCACAGTGGATAAGGAAAATCTCCCCAAAAAACCCTTTAACAGGAAAAAATGGTAGAAATTTAAGCCTGCTTATACATTTATAAACGTCATGACAGTTCCCTCTGTTTGGTTAACATAAAGTGTGATTTGGACATTGTTTATTGAATTATAATACTACAGAAAAACTCAATTTAAATGTGGTAGTTTTGCATTACAGGTTGCAAAGAATTTTGTCCCTGAAGAAACTATTGTTTCTGTATTTCATTACTATATTAAAATTGTCTTTCGATTTAGTTTCTCTTCACATGTTGCACAATTTCTACAATCCTTGTTTTAACTGCTTGGTTGAATGGCAGCTTGAAAGTAACCTGTTGGGCACCTGGATTAACCTTCATAATTGTGAAAGGTTTTGGTTTCTTAGCATCTTAAAAATTTAAAAAACAATCAGCTTCTAGTTTTGACAGAGCCACTGTAACAGCGATCACTCCAGCTGTGTTTTAATCACCATTACAGCACAGCTTCCTGCACTCAAAAGACAAACTGCTCATGACTGTAATATTACTCCATCACATTGCAGTTTTTTAAAAACAATACAACATTTTCATGCTGGCTATGTGTCATGTGCAGTAATGTCTGTCCTCTAAGGTTAAATATTCATGAAAGGGCAGCCTCAATAAGACGTGACGTGAATTTCATATACAGAGGCAATGTTTGTCTCCTGAGGGTCATAGAGTTCAGGACACAGCTGTGACCAGCTGGGGACAGACAGGCATTTACATACAGAAGTTTTAAATAACTGCTTATGTAATTGGTGTATAAATATGTTCTCCAGTGGGAGCACACACAGAGACTCTGTAGCAATGTGATGTTCAATTTCTTGCACAGCTAATACATTGGTGCTGTTTTTTTCTTACCTACTGTATTCTGAATGGGACATATTATACTAGCAGTTCATGTTTCTTATTCTAATATGCAGCTTTCTGATGTCATACTCTTATTGCCAAGCTTTAATGTTCTGGTTAGCTCTTGTTTGAGGATCCAAATAAAGAACGAAAGAAGCCTTTGGCCGTTAGTGCATTACAAAAAAGCTAGTTAGCAAGTTAAACTTTGTTAATTATAATTATCAGCTGCCAAGAACTCACCAGAAACTCCAGTGGGCAACGAAAGAGCTTGTTATCCTTCTTGCTAGCTTTTTGCTAATATGCTTACATTTTACTGACTTAAAGACAACAACCTTTTGTGGATAATCAGAGTATTTAATATCGCACTCGAACATGTTGCTACTTGAGCACCACTACTGCTGTAGCTCAAAGCGCCCCACCCCTCAGCCTACCCCCTGATCTAACAGCACAGCATGACTAATCACAGTGATGAAGACATCAGTCAGTATCAGAGCTCCCTGAATGGATGAGGAAAAAGACACAAAAAAGACAAGGTATTTTGATGTGTTCGAAACCTGCACACAGTACACAAAAAATGTGACTTTACTGAGTGGGATTTGGTGGATGTAAAATCGCAGCAGATCTGATTACAGACCATCAAATCCCAGGATTCCCTCTCATCAGCAGATATGTAAGAGAAAAGGAGAAGTACCAAGTGTATCACTCAAAGGTGTGACAGGTTGCTCTATGGGAGGATGAACAGATTTTCCTGCTGGTATCTAATGAAAATCTAAATGTTTTGTGATTTCGTAAGACTGCCCTCAATGGCAATGACGCTAAGAGCTCAACAGGATCAAACAACATGCCCATATGTGCCAAAACATCATCAGTGTTCCACAACTTTGTTGTTTTAGGAGCTTATCTCTTAAAGAAACACTGACAATGACAGTTAAGACAACAAAAAAACGTTCACTCACCAGTGTGTCTCCAGACAAAACCTCCAGCAGTGAGATCAGGTTATGTCCATCTCGTAAGTCTTCATACAGGTCATTTATATGCTTTCGTACCTGCAGACGTGAGGAAGAGAGCAGAATGTGAGCAAACTGTAAATATCATGTTCATTATGTTCAACAGTGTCAGTGTGTTGAACTGGTTTGAGAGTGGGATTGGCCAGTAATCAGGACTTTCTGGTGGCACCTGGGCCCAGTGCTCCCAGTATATAAATGTAGGCTCTGTAAGTCATTCCCTCTCCCTCTCTTCCTGACAGGCGCTCTCCCCTTAGTGATGTATCAGCTTTAGTTCACCCTTGGTTCCCTTTTTGCTTCTTTTGTGCACTCTACAACATACCCACACTGCACTGATCACACATGCACTCCCTACATCACTGATCTTACATGCTATTAAATTTAAAGAACAGATCTTTGCGTAACTATGACTCAATCTTTGATGTTTTTTCTTATGCCATTCAATCACCTTGGTGTTCATTTTAAAGGGGTACTTCGAATTTTTTGAAACATGGCTGTATGAGGTACTTATCCATAGTCAGTTTATTACCGACAGAAGGTGATGGTCAGCCTGCCCCAAGTTTGGAGCATGCTGACCATTATCTAATGATAAAGATGTCCACAGACAGTGTCACAAGTTGTATGCTCAAGCTAATAGGCTTGCTCGCAAATTCAGTACGTGTTCAGTTAATGTGAAGATAGCTCTTTTTAGAGCATTTTGTACTCCACTGTATACTGCCCACTTGTGGCGATCCCATAGGAGGAGACCTTTAATGATGGAATGAGACTGCTTCTTAAACATCCATGATGGTGCAGTGCCAGCCAAATGTTTGTAAATGTGGGTGTGCCTACCTGCCCTGGTTTAATATGGAATCGTATACATCTCTTTAAACATAGGTAGCATGGTAAAGCTGTGAAAATGTATTGCGTTTACTTAGACTGTTTTATATTTTTATTTTTTGGACGGCCTGTTTTTAGGTGGCTAAAATATGTTTTGCTGCTGCCCTCTGCACACAGCTGTGCATAGCTGTGTGGTGGTACTGCTGTCTGCTTCTCCAAACTGGGGGCGTGCTGACCACTATCTACTGTAGGTAACACACTGACTGTAGATAAGTACCTCATCCAACCCCACTTCAAAAATGCAGAAAAAAAAACTGTTTTACACACTTTATGACAAACTTTTTTTTCCTCTTTGTTCTCCCTAAACTGTAATTAATGTGGCATAAAACACTCAGGGTATCATTGTGACACCTTATCTAAGCACTTGAGCGAGGCACTTAACAACTCTGGTCCTTCCAGCAGGCCCATCTCTCCTTCCTGTCCTAAATACCACGCCTCTGAAATCACCCCGCTGCCCGTTGACCTGCTTTCACACAGGGCTTTCAGCACTGTAATCCCAGATAGTGGCCACAGCTGTGGAGCCAAAATAGACCTGCACCCTTGTGTTATTGGGTCAACAAAGCAGATCCCCAACTATTACTCAGCACCTCTGATTTTTCATGGATGAAACAGACTTTATGACAAGCTTAAGGGGACTTACATCTGTCTGTCGTGAAATAAAACACAAATATTCAAACCTATAAACTCAAGTTCAACAGGTTCAAACATTTACAGTATCTGGCATATTGTTTTTACACACATGTGGCTGTTACTCTGTGCATTGTCACTGTATGTGTCATGTTTTATTGCAGTGCTATAGACATTATTTCCGTCTTTCTTCTGAATGTGACAAAGTTTATATAATGTAAATCAGTGTGAGCTGTAGCAGGTACTTCTTTAAGGCAGAACTGGAAGCTCCTTAGAGACTCATGCATCTGTCTTATGATTACTTTAATACTGGAAATAATAAATACATTCCTGTTTTAAAACATCACATGCCACTGATCATAAAACCAGACATCAGCACTGATCAGCAGAAAAGGACTGATACTTATATTGACCCCTCAGGACGGGTTTATGGCTCACATCACACTTTGAAGATGATGATCAAAGAACAAATATTCCCTCAGAAGCTAAACAATAAATACAACATGATCGGGGTAAAAAAAATGGTCCACTGTGTCATGTAAGAGAACAAGACTGTAAACACAGGGGCCCTTTATTTGCATTTCTGCGGGAGAAAGGTAGGTATGTAGCAGCCATACAGCTGTGTTACTGGTTAAAGAGCATCACCAAAGATTTTGCTTTAACCTGTTAATGGTGTCTGGACCAGTGAAGTGGACCGATGGTATGACCAACACTACCATCCCTAGATCCACACCGTGAGCGTGGCTAAACGTTGAATATGCTTCAGAGCACTGTTGTCCATTTTCCAAAGCATACGATTCATTTTTGATTGACTTAAAGGGACATTGTGTAACATTTTCAGTTGTTTATTGGCAAAAATCAATGTCTGCATTCATAAATATGTAATCATTGGTGCACTATTACCTCCACCAATAATCTGACTTATTCTCGTAAAAGGAGAATTTCGGATTTGTTTGTACATTGTGCAGGTCAGTCGTCTGGGGGGCTCCATAACGTTTCGCCCTCTCTTTGAATACATCCGCCAGCAAGGGACATACAGCACCGCCTTCAGCGTTTTAGTTGAGAGCCAGGCCAGCACTAGTCTCGCCACCAGACAATCAGAGATCTCCGCCTTCTGATAGTCTGGGGACACTCCTTTCTAAAGTGTGTTTAACACACCGGCAAAAACGGCTGGCAACAAAGCAACGCCTCTTGCATTTTTGAAAAGGACATGCCTTCTCGGAAATGTGCGCTCCCCCTTTTCTCGTCTGCAAGGAAACAAACACACAGCTTGAAAATGGATGCAGAGAGATTAAACTCCGTTTTATCAAACGTGTGCTCATCCGTGAAGAAAATATTTTTTCCAGCGGATGTCTTAGTTACAACATTATTGAGCTAACTGGAGTAGTTTCATGTCGTATCCGACAACGGGAGGCTTTTAACAGATGACGTCCTGATGTTAGCTTTGCTGCTGCTGTTAGTTGTCCCTGTCAGCTGCAGCCACTGATGCTTTCTAGACATCGTGATTTCCTAAAACTGAATAAATACCACACATAGCAACACAAAACTGCTTTGCTAGCTCAATCATGTTGTAACTAAGATATCCGCTGGAAAA